TTTTCATTTTAATTTTTTAATTAATTATATTTATTACTTATTAATAATCTAATTTTTTTTCATTAATATAAATTATTAATTTTATTTTCTTTATATTTAATTAATTTATTTATTTTTTTTATTTATTTAAAATAATTATATTTTTATTTAATTTACTATGCATATAATATTAAATTATGTAATTCATTATATATATATTATTATATTTTATTTAATTCAAAGCATAAATAATTATATATATATTATTAATTAATTTTACAATTAACCTTTTTATTTATTCTAATTAATTTTATTATTTCTATATTATTTTTTATTTTTATTTAAGAGATATACATTGCTTAAATCGGATATTACTACTATAGTAGAAAATATATTTATTAAAAGTAAATCACTTTTAATTGTAACTTCATTTATGGGATGAAACTGTGTTAAATTTATCTTAGATTAATATATATTTAAATACATAAAGTAATAAATAACCCTACTTAAAAACTTTAAAATTTCAAGTAAATTAGTATGTAGTTCTACTTATCATTTATGAAAATTTATTCAAAAGGATTAGCCATTTCAATTAATTGGATTTTAATGACATGTTATAATTATAACGTCATTGTTTACATATATACTTCTTTAGAAAAAGAGGAAATGTACATAATTCACAAAATTATACACTTAGTACCCCTTCTTTGAACATAAATCGTTTTTTTTAGGTTCTTTAACAATTTATGTACTTTTTTGACAGTTTAACTCACAATATTCTATGTTAAGAACTCCGTGGTTATTACACATGAAATGTACACACATATTTACACAGATATACATATAATGCCATTTAATTAAAAATGGGAATTTGTACAAAAAAATTATTTTAAATTAGGCTATAGGATTAAGCTTAAGGTCCCTTTTCGTTAAACAATATTTAAGGCATGAAATGTAAGGCGAAGAGTAGTTAATAAGTCTTTATATCCCTGTCTGAAATTTTGCAATGCCATAATAAATGTCATTCCTTTTTCACAAGTCCGTCGTATTAACTGAATATAATGAGTTTAGAATTGTTGTAGTATTAATTCAAAAGAGGTTTAATAAACAAGAGCATGTAGTAACGCATTCTTTGCTTTGATTTGAGTAAGGATGACATGACTGTTTATGTATTTACCATTGCTATTTGTTTAATCTTGTTTGTAATGTTTTTTTTAAACACACATATTCTTATATATAGCCTTTTTTAATCGAGTAAACAAAAAAAGAGGAATAAAAAAGCATTGAGATGGGGGGGCAAAAGTGCAAGATAGAACACAATTTTTTTAGCATGTATTACTAAGTAGTCCTTCAGATGTATTCACAAAAAAAGTGAGCGTCCATTTCTTAAAGAGTGTGAACATTTAATTTTATCGAACCCTTAACAAATATTCGAAAATAAAACGAAAAATGCTCAACTTGTGTAACGCTTTTTCGAATAAAAATGAGATATACGCATAGAAATCATAAGAAAATTTTGTTTTTTCTTAAGTGCCATTTCCCTGTCTTCTTTTTGTGTATAGCCTTTTTAATCTTTTCTCACAACATTTTGAAACATAATTTTATAGGGTATTCACACTTGTACCAACTTCAGTCCCCACTTAAAGATCATGTAATTTCTTATGTTTCAGTGTATATAAACTATTATAAAAAAATTATGAAATAATTATTATTACAACCATAAGAGCATTTAATGTGCACCCCATATTGTTATTCACATAAAAAAGTGTTTTAGTGACACTTAGTAGCACTAAAATAATTTACACCCAAAGTTTAAAATTCATTTACGTGAATGTGTCATCATATTTGTTACGTTGCTGCAATGTTTCATCTATATCAGTAAACAATGAAACTAGATGAAATTCTAAAAATATAAAGTTTCTTTTTACGTCGTCGAACAATATGGCAATAAGCCCTTTTTAAAGAACAGTTTCTTCGTTTTTCTAAAAACCTTTAACATTTAAACTCTCTTGCGTGAAGGTGTAAAACAGAGAAAATCTATCTATAGGTGCAGTGATACAATCGCATATATGCGGAGAAGTTCACTGATTATATGCTTCCGTTTTTCTACTAGATGAAAGTGAAAATAGACACCTGGTAAGTTTTTCCTCTTTTAGAACAATATGCATTTGGTAAAATAGCAATCGAGAATATTATCATGTGTACAAAAATTGTTATATTTTTTACAACATTTTGAATAAATAAGAAATTTAAATGAGGAATATATATAAAGGTGCGTATACTATAAAAAAAAAAGATGTTGTTATGACGCGATGCTATTTCACGAATATAATTTTTTTACTTCTTTCTAATGACTCTGTCTACACATTTATTTTGTATTCTTTCAAACATGGTAAGGGACCCCATATAAGGAAGAGGATATGAAATTAAGGAAACAATGTAAAATATTTATCTTCTCTTCAGCATGCTTCAAGGATAAAATAAAATACTCTAATTCAAACTTAGACAATTTTATTTACACTAGCTGCCTAAAAATTTATTTTAAAATGAAAAGAGAGTTTTATAACCCATTTAAGGAAACTCACAGTTTTACTAACTGAATAATGAAAAGATAACACATTCAAATACCTTGAGGTTTAGATAGCATGGATGTATTTTTCTTGCATTTTTTTTAAGGTTCTCTGTTAAAAATCCTTCTTCTATAAATATAATTTTTATGGTATAACCTATTTAGTTTGTTCAATACCCCTCTTTCTTAAAACATTTATTAAAAAAAATATAACGTGTGTATTTTGCATAATTCGAATGTTAGCATTGTGACACGTTAGATGGAAATTTCTACGTGTCTATAAACAATTCGTAAAACTCATCATGTGTTATGGCATAAAGTGCAAAAAGTATATATGTTTACTATGCCTATATTGCACTTTCGGTAGGAATCATACATTCTTAATAAAACTTTCCTTTTTACGCTGTTCACTTATAAATTTATTCGCTCATTATTTATTAGGCTAAGGGCCTCATTTACCAAAAGGCAGAGGGAAAAATATAACATAGGTGTTTTTGAATCTTAATATGTTTAAGCAACATATGTCGTCAAAAGAGCAATTGTTGCCTCTTAAGAAGAATAAAAGTTAAACAAATGAAACAAATAAATTATAACTGTTTTAAGGTTAATAACACCATAAGACGCCTATGAAGCAATAATCTTACTTTTAAAGTGTAATAAAGCAAATTGCAAATACTAAAAAGGAAAATATATGTGCCTAATTATGAAAGCTAATGAGAATTTCTATAAACTTGCACAACCACTTATTTCTTTCGTTAAAGCGTGAAAATTTTTTCTTAAAACATTTCTTATTCTTATGAAAGAATATTCTTTTTAATTTTCTGAGTCTCTAATAAACTTTTTAAAATTATTCTGAACATGTTTTATATGCCTCCTTTGCGGAGTCTTTTAAATTTTCATTATCTATTATGTATAATGCCTTTGTTTCATAACAGTTATGTGAATACATAGCTGAATGTGAACTCTACAACATTATAATTTTTTTTACTGAAATGAAAACATCCAAAAGGACAAAGTAAAAGCATAATGAATTAAGCATCTTCAAAGAAAGAAAGAAAAAAATTATACACATTAAAGTGCAATTACAATACTGTTCCATGTTTAAAGTTTTTTGAATGGTTTAACTGAGTGTTTGAAAGAGATCAATAGAATAATTGTACACCAATGTTAAAGAGAACTACGCTTTTATTTTTGTTTTCATATACCCATTTTACACATCCGTTTTATTATTCGTATATACTACCTTACACTACGTAAGGTGCATTTTTAATTGTCATTCTAAGGTGTAAGCAGACAAACATAGAACCAAGTTCATTTAAATGGAGTTTTAGGGAAAAAGTATTTTATCATACAAGTCTAAAGGATAATTTTAATTGGTTACCATATGCGAATATATATCTTGCACATGTTTTGCTCCATTCTTTTGCATTACAAAAATAATTTTACAACAATTCTTTCTAAAGAACAAGAATAACGTAGTTAAGCTAAAAACGAATGCACATTAAATGAATGGCGTGGCACAATATAATCTTTTCTTTATTACGATTTTGCAGAAAAATGCTCCCTTCATTTAGTGGTGTCATACAATTGAATGTGAAGTTTTTAGTAATTGACATATCATTAAATATATAAAATAAGAAAAAAGAAGAGAATGATGTTTTTCTTTTTATCTTTCCGTTTCTCATGCTGTGGAATATTAATAACTAAAGAAGACAGTAAAACACGTTTGTTTTATTGCTTCTTTTAATTTCTCCCATGTAACAATTTATACTCGCATTAACATTTCTTATGTACATGTGAAATTAACTTGTTTTAATTTTAAACATACGTTTTTATATTACAGGTGCAACTTTTTTTTTCTTTACTTGGGTACACTTAGCTAAGTGAGTAGATTTAATCTGTAGCATAAGCAACAAAATGAAAAACATAAGTGCACCATTCTAAATGTTTTTGAAATTAAAAAAAAAAAAAAAAATTAGGCTTAAACGTTAACAAAAAATATTTTTTTACTAAAAATATTTTAAATATTTCAAAAAAAAATTTAACAATAAAAAAAAAAAAGTGTGTAAAAATTATTACATTGTGAGAAAATAATTTGAAATTTTTTTTAGTTTTTTATTGTTCATTTTTCTTTTTTCTTTTTTCTTTTTGGTAAATTAAAACTATGGCATATGGCATTTGAACAATTATTTTTAAAAATGGATTAAGACTGTAAAAAAAAAAAAAAATGGTAAAATGTACTAACACTTCGGTTTAAAGGACAAAAATTAAAAAAGGGGAGAATATTAATAAAATGGTAAGTATATTTTCTATTAACGCTTTAACATTTTGAAAAAATATGAATATTCAAATAAAAAAAAACTGAGGCGCAGCATTTCTGAATACCAACAAAGTTTCACGAATCAATAAAATTTTGCAATTTGTGTAAATGTAGCACTCTCTTAATCTCACTATGTATTGCCTATTGAAAAATGCGTTAAATTTCGACAACTTTAAGAACATTAAAATTGACCTAATTAATAAAGTAAAGACCTCTGATGCCACAGATTCTCACGAAGAAAATGAAGTATTCAATTTTTTAAAAGATAAAGATTTTTTCTCTGAAAACTTAAAGTTGAGTAGACAATGGAATTTGGAATGTACATCTTCAGTTCAAAAGAAGTTAAAGCACATTAATAATTTAAAGAGGCATTTAAATAGCATAACAAACTTTAGACGTGTTGAAAAATCAGGGTTAAATAAAGACCTATATAGGATTAAAACTGCTCATGGGAAAACTGAAGAAGTTTCTTCATTTTTAAAAAATGGGCATACTGACGATTATGACTCTAAGAACATGGAAATATTTAATAACTATTCTGTGCTCGATGGGGATATTAGAAGAGGAGTGCATAAAAATGAGTTCCGTAAAATACTGTCCAAAAGGATCCAGAAAAATAAATTTATAGGAAACAATTTTTTTAAAAGGCTCATCTATAAATATATTTCTCAGTTAAACAATAATAATTCCAAGAATTATATAGAAATAGGTAAATTTGAGCCAATGAACGACAAAATAATTGCTTATCTTCACTGTTATAAAAAATGCATTATCGAAAAGGGTAATCCCACTAAAAACTTACGGGTTAGCTTAAAAAAGCGAATTTATTATAAATCAATTATTACGAAAAAAAAGGTCAGTTCTATAAGAAGTAAAAGAATGCGTATGTACTTAAGGAGACAAATTTCTGAAAGATGTTGTGACAATAGGAACCAAGTTAAAAGTAGTTTGAATGATGAAGTGCACATTGCAGATAAAAAGTTATATATAAAACTTAAAAAAGGTAGAAAAAAAAACATTAACAGTGATAATAGTAGTTCTAATGTTAATGAAGAACTATCGGATTTTGAGAAACCACTAAGGACAAAAGAGCTTTCTGATAAAAATGGCGCTAATTCTGTAATGGAAAAATCGAATTATTTACACACATCTACGGACATAATGGTAAATGTTCACCTTTACTCCTGTTGTAAAAAACTAGTTTTGAGTGAAGTAGAAGATTATTTAAAATAAAAATACATTCGTAAAAATAAAGAACGAATCTGCTTTTGTTCTTACTAAAAATGTGAATATAAATGAATGTGCATATAAATGAATGTGCATATAAATGAATGTGCATATAAATGAATGTGCATATAAATGAATGTGTATGTATATGAATGCACATATATATGTTTGTATGTATGTGTGAGGATTTATGTAAATTTTTAACTTTACAATTGGTAATTCTATTTTTCCGTAGGAATTTCACAAAAAGACAAAGGGAAACACAATCATGGGGTCTATAAACAGGTGCGGAGAGGAAAGTACAAGCGAAACGGTCAACAATTTAATAGAGGATGGGTGCAGAAATAGTTTTAAATTTGGCAAACGCAACAACCTTGGAAATGGAAAAATAACAGGATCAAAGAAGAATATGGAAGTGTTTAAAAATAACAATTTAGAAAATGTACATAAAAATTCATCAAATTTGAAAAACATAAAATTGAGTATACTTCGTAGAGTGAGCACGAATAATCAATATGAAAATAAAAAGGAATTTAAAAGAAATAGGGATCCTCGTTTTCATTTCCTTAGTAATAATGTTAATTTTTATGAAACTGTGATTAATAATGAGAAATGTAAAGAGGAAAATGTAAAAAAAGGTGAATGTTTTTCTAATCAAAATATAATTCAAAATGGAGAAATGAGCGAAATAAAACAGAAAATAAAAACAGCACTAATAAGCTTGAATAATATAAAAAAGAACAATTATAAATTAAAATTTTGTCTTGAAAAAGAAATAATAGACAACACAATTCATCAAAATGAACTAAAAAGAAGTTTATGCTCGATTTTCAGTGAAAACAGCTTACAAAGAAAAAATACTACAGTGAAGCAACAAAATTTCTCAGGTGGTCAAATTAAAAATAAAGATGTTCTCAGAAATAATAGACACAATGCTGACAAACATGATATGCAAAAGGTTAAGACAATAAGAGAGGAGAAGACACAAAATAAAGAATCTACATGTGAACAAAATAATTTCAGCAATAATATTATGAATGTGAGCTTTGATAAAAAGGTTACGTTGGAGAAAACAAGGTGCAAAGGGGGCAATAATGTAAGTTATGAAGAAAATGAAAACATACGTTTTCAGTTAAGTGAAGAGTTTGTAAAATCAGCACACAATGTTGTAACAGATAATCGCTATAAAAGCAAAAGTAAGTTAATTAATGAGAAAGAGGAAAAACGGAGCTATTTTAATGAATCCAGGGATAATGAGATGGTTACAAAATCTTATACATATCGGAAAAAGGAGCAAAATTTAAAAAAAGTGGACATAAATGTGCAAAAGCATACATTTACATTAAATAGAGAAATATCGAATGAATATATTTGTCGTAAAAAAAGTCTGAAGGACAAAGATAAAAATGATATTATTAATAACATAAAAAAAATGTATAATTGGGAAACAGTTATGCAAGAAAAAAGTAACACTTTAAAAAATAATGAAAAGGAAATGATTCATGGAATTGGAGGAAGGTCACGTAGTAACTATTTAAGTAGTCTAAAAAATAAAACTGAAAAGGAAGCTAAAGGTGCCTTAGGAAATGTCGAAAAGGTAAAGATAAAAGAAGTTATAAGAAAACATGAATGCAATAAAAATGAATGGAAATATAAAAATATAAGCGGGGTAAGCATGTCGAATGAACAATTTAAGGACAATAAGGGCTATACTAAAAGAGATAAAAGTAATGATGCAAATAAAAAGTGTCAAGTAGGCGATTTTAATGGCCCGTTGGGTGGTAACAGAAAAACAGATAATGGTGTTGTTAATTCCAATGTTTATATGAACAAATCTACTGGTTCACGAGAATTAGTTCTCGATAAGACAGATAGAGAAAGGACAGAGTTTGATTTAAATAATGTAAGAAATATAAAAAATATAATAAGCTGTGGAATATATGTAAACAAAGAAGTGGAAAGAATAAATAAAAGAAATAAAAATGCAATATGTATAATTGAGAAATATTTAGATAATGTAAATAGGACATCTTTAAATTTTTCAAAAGAAAAGGAAAAAAAAATATACTTGCCAAAAAGTTGCACCCTTAAAAATGAATATAATAAAAAGCAGGCTAAGACTTTACCAGGGTTATATGATCATTATGCATTTTTACTCCTTAACTTCAGAGGTTACAAGGTTGTGTGATACACGTAGATAGTGCAACGATTTTAATTATTAACAGAATTTCCGTCATGCGGTTGAGTTTTTGGTTATTTGTTCTGTAAAACAAAAGATATACAAATTTAGGGCATGGTAAAGTTAAAATCATAAATTTTTTTTTCATTAAGGAATAGGGAATATTAGCCCCTTCATCTTCTCTTTTTATTTTTTTTTTTTATTTCTCATTTTTTTTGGAATACAAATTAACTACCTTACTTTTTTCGTCCTTTGTTAATAACTAATAAAATTAGTACACTTATACATTTGCATAGAGATTTGGAAATTTCACTTAATTTAAGTACCTAAAAAAAATACATAATAATGCTACATAGGTATGTACCTATGTAGGCATTACAGTTACACAAAATTAATGAACACTTTCTTGTGCACACGATGCACACTATCCACAAAAAAGGGTAAAAATTAATGTTAGTTCTCTCAAACTATTAAAGACGGATGAGAAATTTTGCAAAAGAAAAATAAATCCTTGTATTTCGCGTAAAATATGGATGTGCTTACTAATCCTACTTTCAGAAAAAGACGAAAAAAATTAGAGATTTATCCTTAAAAAAAAAAAAAAAAAAAAACGTGTTTCTTTTATTTGAATCGCTGGTAAAAAAGGATATGAGTTAAAAATAACCACTCCAACAATTGATAAGTTCTTTTATATTATAAATTTATGGAAAAACATGAAACCAATGTTTTCAAAGAAAAAAAAGAAAATTGCTAAAAATGGTCACATACCTATTTGTATTTTCCGCCTTTAAAATGAATGTTTGGAGTCAAGAAGTTTCTGCTTTTTTTTGAATAACAATATTAAAAAAAAAAAAGAATTTATGAAGATATGTTATTGATTTTTAAAATTATTTATGTTTTCCCACCCTTAAAAAAAGAAAAAAAAAAAAAAAAAAAATTGCGATAATAGCGTTGAAACATTGTCCTGAATTAAGAAAAATGCTATTATCTACACTTGATACATTTATATAAACCTTCAGTAAAAGAATGAAAGCGTATTCTGTAACGTAAAATAGACTCTAGGAATAGCCACGACAATCAGTTTTCAAAGCATAAATAAAAATGTACATATTTTCATATTGCACTTGCTGTGCGGCCGCATGTTCATTTCATTTCACTTTGTGTTTTATTCTATTATTACCCTTCTTTATGCAGACAGAAGAATTTTTTTTTTTTTTTTATTATGTTTATTACTGTGTTTTATTTTTTGTAATACTTTTTATTTTCAATACAATGAATAAGCATTAGGGAACATTTATAGTGTTAAATAAAATTATTTTAAAAATGCAAAAAAGTGGGAAATTAAAATATTATATAGACACATCACTTTCAATTTTGTACTGTTACACATTTTACATTTTCCCAAAAAAAAAAAAAAAATAATTTGCATTTATATTAGAACAGTTTCGTTCGGCAAAAAGAAAATTTAATTGCAAAAATGTTAACACATTAGGAATTAAATCTTTCACCTGCAATACATTTCAAAGATTATTCACTTATAAATACCCAAACAAGTTTATAGTTAGCACATATTTGTGCAAATATTTGCGTATATGTACATAAGCATACGCACCATATGTATCAAAAGGGAAAACATTTAAGCGGAAAAAAAAAATATAAAAAAAATTATGCCAAGAGTGATAAATGAGTTTTATAGTGTGCAAGCATGTTAGAAGTGTGGCATAAAAAAGATATATATATATATATATTTTAAGAGAATAGAAAAGGAATTGTACACATTATAACAAAGAAAAAAGTAAAGTAATCCTACATATGGAATGTAAAACAGACTTTCTATGTACATAGATTACACAACACATTTTTTTTTTTTAATTTATTTGTGGTCACTCGTTTAATTAGCCATTGCAGTTAAATCGGTATTAATATAGAGAGTCCGGTGAAGGGGAATTTTTTACTTTTTTGAATTATGAAAAACTACACAAAAATAGGATAAATGCAATGAATGTGTAATTTAGAATAACATATATATTTGTGTAAAATTTAGAACTTTTAAGACTTTTTTTTTTTTTTTTTTTAATAACATTCCTACACACACATTTTTTAGTTTTGATGTAAGGTTTACTTTTTTCTTTTTTTCGTTCATTTTTCCTCACAGCATCTAATCTCATCTTGTCCAATTATGTCTTATAGGTAGTCCATTTATGGATACAAAATTGACATAACATTTTTGTCAAAGCACTATCTCATCTTCTGTCATTTTTCATGCAGAAGTTCTTTCCTTAAAATGCAAATAAAACAAAAAAATTAATCCGTTCGTGAATAAATAAATATACATATTTACATGTATATATATATACGTGTCCCTATTTCAAAATGACACATATATCATTATGACAAGATGGATGGTAATTCAATTTTCAAAATTTTGAGTGACTTTTCAAATTCATACGTAGAAAAAATTCAGAAAAACAAAAATGATAACGACACTAACACATCATTACTTTGCAACCGAAAGGAAGCAGCGTTACATAATAGCAAGGTTAACATTGAAAATTTATACATAAAAAATGAATACAATTGTTTATCAAAGCAAGATATGTTTAATAAACACACAGCAGTGGAACCCTTAAAGTCAAACATTTCTAATAATCTGGAGAAACCTGAAGGGCAGAGTGGCAAAAAATTGGGATCTCATTATGTAGAAGACACAAGTGGGCACAAATTGAGACAAAAAATGGCCTCTAAAATGAGGCATGTAGCAAGGAAAGGGGTCGAGCAAATGGGGCGAGAAAATGTTAAGCAAAATGTTAAGGAAAAGATGGAGCAAAAAATACGATCAAATGCAGCACAAAAAATGGTCAGCCAAAAAATGCGACAACATGCATCAGAGAAAACGGGGAAGGACAATGTAATGCTCTGCGTGGAACCAAAAGACGAGACACATGTAAATGAACAAAACAAAGACACAGATGAAGAAAAATACCTGTGCAGCCCCAATTGTTCCGCTGAATGGTATGAAAAAAATATGTACAGTAATTATTATCTTCTGAACAAAAGCTGTTCATATCTAAAATCTAAATGTGTTAGAGAAACAATTTTCGATTCATGTAGAATAAGGGGAGGGAAAAGAATCATAGAAAACAACTTAGTAAATGTTTATAACAAAAATGATGTGAAAAATAGTTACACATGTGTCCAGAATTATCCTTATGATAGCACAAAAATGAGTGAAAAAAGATCGTTTCATTTCAAAATGAATAAAGAAAAAAATACCTTTTTAGGAAAATCTAATGATAAGATATACTCGGATATATTACTATATAGTAATGAATATGATGATGGTAAATATCCAGATAAACTGGAGATACATGAATTTGGAAAATGTACATATGATATATTAAATGAATGTGAATGCAAAAATAGCTCCAAATACACGGACAAAACAATATGTGATGAACATGATGGATCATTTCTAGAAATAAAAGAATTTTCTGAAAATGAAAAAAGAGTGAACATTTCAGACATAAATAATTTTAATATGACAACGTACTTGGATAAATACGATAGAGAAAGTTATTTTGAACTAAATAAACCATTATCAAATAATACATCTCAGTTAATGAAAATAAAACTTTTAACAAATAAAAAAAAAAATTCATCGCACGGAAAGAATGGAAGGTCTCCATTTTCTGATTATAAAAATAGGAACACATTTGTAAAATTTCTCATGGCTGAAATAAAGATAGAAGTAAAGCTATATAAGTTAATTTTATTTGTGTTCATTTTAATAGTATTGTCATTATTTAAAGATATGTCTAATTACATAGTTATTACTAGAAAATGCTATAATATATATGAAAATCCAATAAAATCAATTAAAAGAGTATTAAAATACATAATTATTGCTTTAAAAATTGGATATAAATTTAGTTCACCACTTATTCTCTATATGCTATCATTTTTTTGTGTCATCATTTTACGAATTTTTATGCTTCTAAATATCCCCATTCTCCTTTTGTTACTCTATTGCAAATATCATTTGAAAAATGAGCAACCTACTCTTAAGCTATACTTCATTTTTCTTCTCAATATGTACAAGTATGTTGTTTTCCAGTTTGTTCAAATTTTAAAGAATTATTTCAATCCAAGTTATTTAAATGGTTTTATGTCCTTTATTTGTGTCTCATTTCGTGTCATTTTTATTTACATATATAAAATTATACATAAAATTTACATTCATAAGGTCTGCTAAATTTCACTGTTCAGGAGGAGCAGCGAATAACTCAATGATGTGAATTTACGTGTGCAGCAAATTTGCTATGCGCTGTTATGAGTGTGCGCAAAAATTTGCATATATATATATATATATATATATAGTGAAAAATTATAAAGACTTAATTACAAAAATGCTCAGTGAAACATTTAGGGAAAACATTTTCGATCGCTCAAAAATATCACCCACCCTCCTGGAACTAGGCACTAAGAATTGGGGAAAGACCCTTGATATACATTAGTTTACCCGTGTGCTCGTTCATTTTTTTACGGATTTCACTCTAACACACTTCATCACCTTTCAGCCTTGTTTGTGGCACTTTGCGCTTACCATAGATTATGCACTAAAGTAATGCACCTCAAAACGCTTGTCATGTGTAAAAATATGATCACAAGTAAGATGCTACAAATTGAGCTAATAAACTGCGAAGATTTCTAAGATATGTTTTTGCATGAACACTTTTATAGGTTAAGTTTTTTTTTTTTTTTTTTTTTTTTGTAGAACATTCTCATCGTGGCTTTTTATATTAATTACATTTGAAATAAGGGAATTAAATAAAACGTTTCACACATTTTGCACATTTGTCAACATTGCGACGATTGGAATGATTTCTTAAAAAGGAACAGAATTGAGAATTTTTAGTTGCACATTATATATCCCACATTGCTTTCACAATTTAATTTATTTACTTTTTTTTAAACTTGCTTAATGAAAAAGAAAAGCTAAAATTATAGCAAAGAAAAAAGTACGCGTTGCTTTATTTCTGCACACATATATGAACAGAAACTTGTATGCTATAAAAGTTTTATGACATTTCGTATCGTCACAAAGAACATCAAAATTTTGCAAAAACGTACTTACTGTAATTTTTACTTTAAGGTATTATAATATTGACGTACTTTGAAAATTTCAGAAAAAGGGGTTAACATGGACATTCGCTCGAATATTATAAATTCCATGATATTCTCATTAAAACGATGCACGAACAAGAATAAATGTAATTTTTTCTTTCCTCCATTTTGTGTTGCGTGTATTAATAGATGCCTATAGGTGCACGTATGTACGTATATATATATGCTCACAGATTTATGTACACATGTGCACATATACTTTTGCGTTCACTCATTAATCCTAACCCCCTTAACACTTTCATGGCATTTGTAGATGTTCTTCTGTTAAATGAGCTCCTTTCGCTTTTCCCACTGCATGCCGAAAAGAGCCTAAGATTGTGTCTAAAATCTAAAATTAAAAAATATACCTTGATAAAGGAGAAGGGTTCTACTAAGGATTATCCGTTATATACAAATCAGTTCAGAGGGAATAAAAGAAGGTACTGGAAAAATTATGATGAATGTTTGAGTGATTCCACTTATGTTGCTACAGCACAGAAAAGGAAGAAGGGCATTATAGGAAAACATATACTTAGAAATTTAAAAAAAAAAAAAAGTAAAAAAACTCCTTTACATTTTTTTGTAGTTTGTGGAAATAACCAGAAATATCTTGTATTCAAAAATTTCTGTTCATGTTTTTACTTTAAAGAAAAAGTATTATGTAATGATAGTGACATAATGTGTAAGCATATTCTATCTGTCCTTTTGGCGGAAAGTTTTAATAATTATGTTAATATTTTTTTAGATTCGAGTTTGTTTTTTGATTGGTTCATGAAAAAGTTACACACTTGATTGGTGCTTATATCATTTTAGGGTGGAAGAATGAACAATTTATATAGGCAATGTTATATAGCATACATTATATGTGGAATGTGAATATCTATAAACAATACATATATTTATTTATGTTTCCTTTTGTATATGACAATTTAAAAACCTATGCAAAAATAGATCTGGTATTAAACCATAAATTGTAAATGTAAAGAAAGTACATAACTTAGGTTGTGTTGTCAGCTTCGCTCCTTTTAATCATTTTCCTTTTTTGTTACTTTTTTTAATTAATTATAAAAAAAAAAAAAAATAATAATAATAAAAAGAAAAAGAGAAAGCAGTTTTTGGAAATAATAAAAATGCATATTTTATATCAAAATTAACTACAAATATAATGTAAATCGTAAAAAAACAAAACAGAACGAAATAAAACTGGTATATGTACCATTTGCATATCCATTAGTACACACGCATATGTACATGTAAACGTGCTCAACTTGTTATATATGTTTTTTTTTAAAAAAAAGAAAAAAAAAAAAAAAAAAAGCATACAATGCTTTTCAAAGTAATAACACAATTATTTCTACTAATTATTTTGGGGCGTCAGGGTAGTTACATGTATGTATGCATGTTTGTACGTATGAACATTTACATATAGCACTGGCGTAGGAATGTAATAAACCCAGCAGTGCCTTTTCCAGTTTTATGTGCATGTTTTTGAGTGGGGGCAAAAGTGGAATAAATAAGTAAACCTTACTATTTATTCGTGTTAAATTGCCTTATCCCTATTTTTACATAAAATAAATATCACAGGTTTATACGTAAAAAAAATGCTTTAAGCCATGGGTGAATTCACCGGAAAAAATTTTCACACACAGGGGAGTGGTGTTTTGATGTGTAATGGCATTTCCTCATTTGTTTGGCTTTTTACAATAAAAAATTAAAAAAATAGAAGAAACAAAAATACAACTTAAAAGCGTTTCAAATAATGCAATTTTTATTTTACTTATGGGTATTCTTATCTAACCTTTGTGCTGTGTTTTTTTACTTTTCCATGCTTTGTTTCACTATATTTTTTTGCTTCATTATTCAGTTCTCTTCATTTTGACATTTTTTTTTTTTTTTTTTTTTTTTTGTATATTCCCATTCTACATCTTCACTAAACCTATTTGTGCGAATGGCCGAGACTTTTAACCCTTGGGGGGAAAACGTGTGACCCGTCAATGCGATTGCACATGTGCTCCTCAAGGTCTTTTCTCAAGTGACTTCTAACGCTTTCATCCGGCATTGTCGTATACCATATTTCAATTCTTATATATCCATAGCGTGTGGTACTTAATTTATCTACTAACCTAATTCCTGTTATTAAATTATAATGTTTTAAAGTGCATCCAATAATAGCTAATACAAGATTATTCCAAAATTCATCTATCTGACTATATGGGAAATCTTTTGGTAAAAATTTATATTCAAAATGACCACCTTCAGAATTAGCTGGGTCTTCCCACATAGGTTGAATATTATCTCGAAAAATCATAAGAGCATCTACTATACGAAGAGTTCCATCATCCGATAATCTTGTCATACTTCTCTGGGCAAGTAAATCACTAGGCTGTGGCAATCTATTCCATAATTGCCAGAATTTCTGTACACTATTAAATTTTGCCAATGGTCTTGTGTAATCCTTGTAATTATTGCTTTGTTTAATTTTGTTATCGGATACTTGTTCCCATATTACCCAACTATACTGTAATAACAAAGGGTTTGCTAGGTCTATTTTCGTCGCTTCCAATTTTTCGCATAAGTCAATTGCATCTCTATTACTTCTATTAAAAGTTAAGTACTTCATTTTTCTTAAAGGTGTTTTGTTTATAATAAATTATCTGTTACTGTTGTCTTCTTTGAATGTGTTACTTGAAATTTTATGTACATATAAAATGTAAATATTATCCTCTTTTATCAGAGCAACTTTTTTTTTTTTCTTCACAAATAAATACGGTATATATTTTTAACCAGTCTTTGATCTGTATTATGCAATTTGTGTTCACAATGAACGGTTACTTTTTTTCCTTTTCAGGAAACACGAAAATCGGAGAAGCAGCCCCTCGTTGCATGGATAAATTGATTTTTCACTCTTTCTTTAAGTGAAAAATATAGGAAAAAAGAAAATAAAAGAATAGAATATACTTCAGGAGTTACATGTACATACGTAAATAGTATGCTCCTTCATTCCTTTCTGCATAAAATGGTGATGACTGTTCATAAAGGTACAAATTTTAGGTACAAATACATATACACTTGTTTATATCCAAACAAGCAAAATAAAATTTTCGTTTATTTAGCATATTGTTTTATGTGAAAATAATATAAAAGCCCTACAGTTTAGTTAACGTTTTAAAGCCTCTACGCCTCTTTAATACCAACAGAGTAATTAAAAAAAAAAAAAAAAAAAGTTAAAATGCGAAAAGGTTATATTGTATCCATAAACAGAAAAATTAATATAAAAAAGAAAAATGATAATCCTTATGATATGTAAATGAAATTATTATTTTTTTTTTCTTATTTTCTTTTATATATATATATATATTCTTTTTTTGCTGTAACAAATCAAAAGTTTAAAATAAACATTTTTGCGCATAAAAAAATTTTAAATCAGTTATTTCATATATACACCTCATAATGTTCATGTAGCATAATTACTACCATATTGGGGATGTAATAAAACCCTATTTGCTTTAAAGAAAATTGGAAGCAATAAAATATAATAAAATTTGGAATATTAAAATTTCTATTTTGTTATATGTATATAAAAAGGCTTACCTTATGGCACATATATATATGTGAAGATACCCTACATGTAACATTTGCTTACAGAGATATAAAATTAAAAAAATACATATATTTATTTAAACGTTTTGCATGTAAAAATATAATGAGAACGTTATTACATTTTTAAGCATAATATTTTTTTCTTTTTTACAGAAGATCAAAAATTTCCTTAAAAATACCTTCTCCATATATATACTTCGAATAATCAAAGATGAGGTGTATATACTCAGATGATAATCGAACGTAATTCAAATTGAAGAAAATAAAAAGTAAGTGAATGATATGACTTCGCCATAAATCTTTTCATGATTGGAAAAAAAATTGTCTTCTTATCCATTTTCGTTTTAAGACTGATAGGAACTACTGTATACATTTTTACATTTCCCACTATTCGCAAAGGTTCGCGAACACAACTGTTGTTTGTACCTTTGCCTATCTCCTTCCGTCTGTTTGTCGACATGTCTGCATTCGAGATAGCGTGTTTACCCGTCTGTTTGTTTACTAGTTTATTCGTATATTTACCTTTTTATTATTCCCATTTAAGCACGACGCTTAACGGAAATTTACGTATGTGTTAAAAGATGGACCGGTAAAACAATTTTAGAGATTTTGTACTTTTGCATATATATATAAAATTCATTCCCACAAATGAAAACAGAATCTCAAAAGACGCTTGTAATAATGAAAAATGAAATGCACGCTTGAAGGGTGTGCAAGGAAATTTAAGGGAAATATTTTTTAAAACGACATCCTTGTAATTTTACACAAATATTTTAATTTTTGCCTATATTTTACATTAAATGTAAGGAGAGGAATGCAACTACATGTCTTTAAAATTGAAATTTCTATCTTTATTATTAAAAGTGAATGAGAAATCCTTAATTGTAAAGATCAAATGTATGGATGTTTTATTCAAAATAGTTTCTTTTTACACAATTTAATGTGTATTTCAGAGAACTTTTAACCACTCAATTTATTTTTAAGGTTTTAAAAAAATGTAATTTAACATATTTTTTCCAAAATGTGAAAGAAAAAAAAAAAAAAACTTTATTCCAAACACATATTCATTTGAGGTGCAATGAAATGGACATGTGATTGTTTCATGTGTTTTTTGTTTTAAAACTGTTTTTAATGAATATTTGTAACTTTTATATTATATTTTCTGCTTATTTTAATACCTCAAATCGGGTAGGATACCTTTTGTTATTTATGATTTTGCAAGGTTATTTTCAGTGATAAAATTGGTTATTCCCTTTTTTTTCTTTTTTTATTAATTTGTATTTTTTCCGCATTTCCATTTTTTGTTTTATAATAAATTAATTTATAAATTTATGATTTTTTTTTTTCTTTAAAAGAGATCATGGTTCATTGTCATTTTTTTTTTTTTTTTTTTTTAATTGATGCTTTAAAAACTAAGAATAAAAGACATAATTATGAACAAATTAGGGATAAAATACAACACGTGTTAATTTACGATTTTTATGTTGAAAGAGTGAACACATAAGTGGAATTTTATCTTTCAAAAATGGTTTCTACATTTGGACTTTGAAAACAATAACTATACCTGTAATGTGTCAACAATTATTTGTTGTATGTTCCTCAAAGGAGTTCACCACGAACAAGTCAAAGATAGCACCTCAAACAGAAGACGTCTGAAAAAATAGTGTAAATATATGTAAATACATAAATTAATCTTTTTATTTTTTTGGATGAATGTTGTTCCCAACGTAGGTATTTGGCTTTTTCCTAATTTCTACTACAAAGAAAATAATTTGGTTTTATTTTATTTATTCTTTTGGACATCGTATTTTTTGAAATTACATTCAGGCACTGTTCTGCTTCATAGCTTGAAGAGAAAAAAAAAAAAAAACTTAGAAAAAGTGCAAGGTTAAGACTAACCTGAATTAGCCAAAATAACTTTTATGTTGATAAATTTAGCTAAATGTTGTGCACAGGCAATATTAAAAGTGAGTGTATTTTAATTTTTTTTTTTTTTTTTTTTTTTTTGACTTATTTAAAGTCATAGCTAGAATAGCTACCTAAGAGACAACGTTTGTGCAACATGAACAGCTACAAATGTAGAAAACATCTGTTCTTTTTTTAAGTTCAGGTGTACAAGTGCAATTATGCTCGTATTTTTTAAAGTAGTATTGGAAATTAAGAAAAAGAAAGAGAATAATTCATAATTTTTTAGTTTTGTGGCTAGCTACTTAGCTATTTAAAAAAAAAGAAAAAAAAAGAAAAAAAAAAAAAAGAGCTACATTATTACAACTTTAATATTAAAACAAGATTGTGTTGCAATAATTAATGTTGTTTTTATTCGATATTACTTATTTAATTAATAATTTTTTTCTACAAAAGTTTATAAGTAGTACATTTTTTATTTCTCCATTATTATAAACTTATTATGTCTAATTAACAGAGTATGTTCCTTGTATTTTTTTTTATTATTATTTTTTTGTTTAACCCTTTTTTTTTTGTTTAACCCTTTTTTTTTTGTTTAACCCCTTTTTTTTTGTTTAACCCCTTTTTTTTTGTTTAACCCTTTTTTTTTTGTTTAACCCTTTTTTTTTTGTTTAACCCCTTTTTTTTTGTTTAACCCCTTTTTTTTTGTTTAACCCTTTTTTTTTTGTTTAACCCTTTTTTTTTTGTTTAACCCCTTTTTTTTTGTTTACCCCCTTTTTTTTTGTTTAGACTCATTTTCTTACTTGTGTCTTTTTTGCACATTTCATCATTTTAAGACATCCAGACGGTTTTATATACACCCATTTACATCTTTAAAGATAGTTTTCAATATATACTTTTTTTTAAATATGCTTCTCTATCTGAAATATCTTTAACAATTCATGCTTCTTATTTCTTATTTCTTCTTATTTATTTATTTATTTATTACATCATACATTTTTACAAGATTAGCTTCTTTTCCTTTTTCTAATCCTAAATGAAAAAAAAGGACGTCACATTTCTCTTTTAAAAAAACCAAATAAAAGACAAATGAACAAATCTTTTTTTTTAATCGTGTCCTACTTCTTACTTGTTGTTCATTTTAATACTGCAAGAGCACAGCGCAGTCAAGATGAACTTTCTCATGGGTACGTTAATCTAACAGGAAGTGATGGCAACATAACGAGGGGGATAGTAACCCTACATAAGGATAAATCGAAAGAAAATAAATTAATAAAAAGGTCCTTTCTTCAATATAACACTTTATCAAATAGATCATCATCATCACCATGTGTTGGCGATGACTGTTTTTGTCAAAATTTTTACGATTTGACTTTGATTATAGATGAATCTGGAAGTATAGGAACTACAAATTGGGAAAAATATGTCATCCCATTTACCGAAAAAATTATAAAGGATTTATATATTAGCAACGATGATGTACACGTAGGAATTTTATTGTTTTCCATTTCTAATAGAGACTACGTTACCTTTGATGATAATGAAAGCTATGACAAAGATGCACTTTTGAAAAAAGTAGATAAACTAAAAAAACAATACGCTGCTGGAGGTGGTACCAAGATTGTTGAAGCTTTAAAGTATTCTTTGGAAAAATACACATACCATAAAAAAGGAAGAAAGAATGCTCCTAAAGTAACAATACTTTTTACTGACGGAAACGATAGTTCTTCAAATAGCTCTAAGCTCCTTGATATGGGATTGACATACAGAAAAGAAAATGTTAAATTACTAGTTCTCGGTGTTGCATCAGCGTCAGACATTAATTTGAAATTAATAGCTGGATGTAGTGATAAGAATGCTCATTGCCCCTATTCTATGAAAGCGGAATGGGAAACTATAAATGATATAACGAAAAAGTTAACTAACAAGATATGCCACACAGAACAGGAGGATGATTCTGAACCAGAAGAGGGGGGAACTGCTGCCCCTCAGCCAAACCCATGCCAAGGTGATGACTGTTTTTGTGAAGACTACTATGATTTAACTCTAATCCTAGATGAATCTGGAAGTATAACCCTAAATAAATGGAAAGTTGACGTTGTCCCATTTGCAGAAAAGGTTTTAAGTAATTTGAATATAAGTAAAAATAATATACATGTAGGAATTATGCGTTTTGCTGTTCGAGTAGTAGAAGATGTTGGTTACGGCCAAGAAACAAGGTACGACAAAAATGCGTTAATAAATGTAGTTAAAGGACTGAAAAACAAATATGGAAGTGGAAAAGGAACACACATTGTAGATGCTTTAGAACATTCACTGGCAAATTTTACAAGACATCCAAACAACAGGCCAAATGCACCTAAAGTAACGATTCTATTTACGGATGGGAATGAAAATCATAAACGTTCCAGTGACGTACGAGATATAGGATTAAAATATAGAAAGGAAAATATAAGACTAATTGTGGTAGGAGTTTACAAAGCCACCACAAAGAGTTTAAAAATGTTGGCTGGTTGTAAGGAAAATGAGCCCTGTCCGCAAGTTATTAAATGCGACTGGAACGAGTTGACTAGTATAACAAAAGTGATTACAGATAAGATATGTGACATAGATTCTGGGGAACTTCCAGGTTCGTCCGAAAATCCAGGCTCTTCAGGCAATGATACCAACCCAGATTACACACCCTGCACCAATTGGGACGATTGTTATTGTAAAAATTTCTACGATATAACTTTAATTTTAGATGAATCAGCCAGTATAGGAGATTTTAGATGGAATAACGAAGTCGTTCCATTTGCGAAAGAAATTGTATATGGTTTAAACGTGGGTTATTCAACTGTGCATGTAGGCATTTTGCTTTTTGCTGATTCGAGAAGAGATATTGTTAGATTCACTGATACAATGAGATATGACAAATCGATTTTAATGCAAAAAATACATGATTTAAAAGGAGATTACACAAATGGAAAGAAAACTTTTCTTATTCAAGCTCTAACATATGCATTAGAAAGTTACACAAAAAACTCAAGTAGACCTAAAGCCCCTAAAGTAACAATGCTATTTACGGATGGTAACGATTCGAGTGAATCAAACCAGGGGTTATATAATATTGGATTGGCATATCGAAAAGAAAAAGTGAAATTATTAATATTAGGAGTTTCTATGGCCGATGAAAACAAGTTAAAGTTGTTGGCAGGATGCACACGGGATTCAAATTGTCCATTTGTGATTAAGGTTGAGTGGGGACAGTTACATAATGTGTCGAGCGAACTTGTCAGGAGGATATGCAGCACGGGGCCTATAATACCTCCTGAGATTACTCCACCTGAGGTTAGCTCGCCTGAGATTACCCCACCTGAGGTTAGCTCGCCTGAGATTATTCCACCTGAGGTTAGCTCGCCTGAGATAGAACCACCCAGTCCATGCATTGGAGATGAGTGCCTTTGCCACAACATCTACGATTTAACTTTAATTTTAGACGAATCAGCTAGCATAGGAAGTTCTAATTGGAAAAAACAAGTGTATCCCTTTGTGGAGAAACTTGTAAAACATTTAGAAATTTCGGAAAGTAAAGTTCATGTTGGAATTATGTTATTTGCGAAACATATGAGAGATTTTGTTAAATTTTCGGATAAAGAAAGTTATGAGATGAATAGTTTAATGAAAAAATTCCCTGATTTAGAAAAGACGTATAAGGCTGGATCTTATACATACATAGTAGAATCTTTGCAACACGCATTACAACATTATACCAAAGGAGTAAATAGCAGGTTAGATGTACCCAAAGTTACCATATTATTTACGGATGGCAATGACAGTAGATCTGGAGATGATGCTTTATCAAATGTGAGTTTATTGTATAAAAAAGAAAATGTAAAATTATTGGTAGTAGGTGTTGGAGCAGCAAGTATGCATAAGTTGCGATTATTAGGAGGATGTCACAAAACGGAAGGAGATTGTCCATTTGCTATAAAAATAGAATGGGATAAACTAAAAGACATATCAAAAGGAATGGTTGATAAGATATGCAACACAGAGGCAGAAATAGAAACAACACCGGAAACGGAAACGACTCCATGTGAGGGTAATGATGACTGTTTTTGTAAAGATTACTTCGATTTGACATTTATTGGTGCTCCATCGACAAAAAAAAATTATAAAAGGAAAAATGAACTTACAAAATATGTTACAAAAATTATTAACAAGTTTAATATAGCGAAGCAGCATGTGCATGTTTCACTTTCTATCCATTTGAAAGCAAAAACTGTGAATACCGATTTTAATGACGAAATAGCTCATAATAAGAAGGAATTATTAAAAGTACTCGAAGTGATGGATAGTGAAAATTTGAATAACAAAACAAATATTGCAGAGGCTTTAGAGGTGGGTCTCAAACAATCGTTTTCAAATGGTAATAGGGGGAAAGCACCTAAGATAGCGATATTACTAACAAATAGTAACAATGATATATCTGAACAAGCCATGTTACAAAATATTTCCAAAAAGTATGCAGATAAAAAAGTTAAACTTTTAGTAGTAGGTGTAGGTAAATTGCCAAAGGAAATATTATTTATAGCAGCTGGATGCAATTTAGACAGCAATGAGAATACATGTCCTCATGTGTTTATATCTACTGGATTTTCATATATAAATAGCGTCGAAAAGTTTTTAAAAAAGAATGTATGTGACAAAGTAGGTGATGATGGAACACAGCAGGTTAATCCTCCATTACCTGATCCAAATGTTCCATGTGATGATGACGAATCGTGTGAAGAATGTGATGATGATGTTTGCAATAATAACCCTACATGTAAAAAAGCTTTCGATATAGCAATCGTTCTAGATCAATCACGTAACATTAGTAACGAACAATGGAAAATGTATGTGAAGCCTTTTACTATACATACTGTTAAACAGAATTACTTGTCAAAATACAGAACACATGTAACAATAGTAAAGATGAGCAGAACGGCAAATGTGCTTTGGAAGTTGGACAGGAAAGTAAGCTATAAAAAGAATAAAATGATTAAAAGGATAAAAAAATTAATAAAATCTTCATCGATTAAAAAGGACATAGCAAATAATTTAAAATATTTACGAGAAAAGGTATTCAATAAGACGCCTTCAAATAAAAGAAAGCTAATCATCATGCTAGTTGAAGGAAAATCAAATACCGATTTGAATGAATTACGAAGAGAGATTGAACTACTGAAAATAAACAAAATTGACATATTTGTATATGCAATAGATAACATAGATGAGAAAGAGTACAGAATACTTGGAGACTGTGAAAAAAGCTCATCATCATCATCATCATCCGTGGTATGTAAAAATATAGTGAAGGTAACGTGGGATAAATTACTACCAGCTGTAGATATACATAACAATTATATCTGCAATCAATATCCTGAAGATGCAGAATGTTCTGAGTGGGGTGAATGGAGCCCATGCCAAGAAGCGTCATCATGTGATAACTTAGCTGTTAGTAAGAGAGAAAGAAAAGGGCCACCCTACACAGTAAAGGAAGAAGGATTTCTTGGAGATATGCATGGAAGTTCGTGTGTGGATTTGGGTTCCATTGAATATAGATCGTGTCCAATAAAAGAGGAATGCAATGACATTTGTGGAGATTTTGGAGAGTGGAGTCAATGTAATGCAACTTGTGGAGATGGAATAAGAACAAGGCATAGAGATACATCTTCATCATCCTCTGATGACGAGTCGTGTACAGTATTTAACGCAACCGAGGTTGAAGCATGTAATATTCAGGATTGTGATTCTACAGAAGTATGCGAAGATGTTGGAGAATGGAGTGAATGGACCGCTTGCTCAAAAACATGTGGATACTCTACTAGAAGAAGAACTTTTACTATTTTTCCCGAAGATATAGACGAATATGCTGATTGCAAAAATTTTAAAAAAACTGAAATGGAAGTGTGTTCAGTTCCAGCATGTGAAGATGAAAAATGTTTCGAATGGGAAGAATGGACTGAATGGTCAGCTACATGTGGGCCTAGAAAGAGGGTTCAAAGGGCACGTCGATTATTCACACGAGTGAGCAGTGGTACTGGTGCTAATAAAACTGGTGTAGCAACATATCCAGCAGGATTTACATTGGATTCAAGAAATGATAATAATGTCAACAACCCATCTGACGAATGCGAGATTCACTATGAGAACAAAATCGAACGTGATGATGAATCTGCATCTTCCCCCCCGTGTACGAATAATCCATGTGGTAGTTGGTCGGAGTGGTCAGAATGTGATCGTACTTGTAATACTGGAATGAGAACGAGACGCTTTATTTCGAATGTAACTGATTTTACAGGAGATGATAAGAGTTTGTGTTTAGAATATCACAACGAAATAGAAACGGAGCCATGTTTGAACTTGCCTCTATGTGATGAAGGAGAATGCAATGATTGGGAAACATGGGTTGAATGCAAAACAGAAGAGAGCCCATCGTCGTCATCATCGTCACTATCACCATCGTCATCTTGTCATGCACCACCAAGGAAAAGAACGCTAACGAGAAAATTAGAACTACTGAAAAATAAAAAAGAGAATACATCAAAAATTTGTAATGATTACAAATTATTTAGAGAAGAAGAATGTCCTGTGTTCGATAATGCCGCCCCGTGCATCAATGCCTTATGTAATGAATGGGAAGAGTGGGAAGATTGCTCAGCAACTTGTGGCAAGGAATCATTCAGAATTAGAAGGAGAAAAGAGCCCCTAGAACTCATACCTCCATCGGAAGATATGAATGGAAATATGGGTTTAACCTGTGAACAGCAGAATATAAAAATTGAAGAAAAGGAAGCATGCAACGTTCCAGATTGTGGGACACCTGGTGCAGGTAATGGGGGAGGCAATGGTCAAAACAACAATAATTCTAATGGAGAAGGAAGTAGTAAAGGTATGGGAACGGCAGAAAAGGTTTCACTAGCTGCAGGAGTAATAGGATTAGCAGCTTTAGGAGTAGGAGGTTTGATATATGGTTATAATGCCTTAAGTGGAGGAGAGGTACCGCACAATTCCAACATGGAATTCGAAAATGTTGAAAGTGATGGTGGAGAGGTGGAAAAATCCAATGAAGATTTTGAAGTAATTGATGCAAACGATCCCATGTGGAATTAAGGTGTAAACAAATATGTACAGTCATGTGTGTAGGTGAAATAAGTTGTGTGTGTATGTGTGCACACGGTTTCATGGAAATAGGTTTGGAGAGGAATACGTCACACCAAATGAAGTCAAACGTAATATTCGCTAGATGTAAATTTGTGTTACACATACGGACACTCCTATATACAGCAGCCCTGTGTGTATGTATGTATATATATATATATATATATATATATATATATTTTTATGTGAGGACACTTATACACCATTTTAAGTGTAGAAACATTATTGTGCACACAGAGTTTTATTCGTTTATAACCACCCTATATATGCATTTTAAAACTTGTGTGCAATACAGTTTTTTTTTTTTTTTTTTTTTTTTTTTTTTTTTTTTTTTTGCATTTGTTTTCGTTCATTTAAGACTTGTTAAATAATTTTGGTATATACATATTAGTAGACTTAAAAATGCGTTTTTTTTAACATTTTGGGATTTGTTTAAAAGGATATACTAAATGGGTAGTAATAACATCACTTCAGAAGCAAAGATGTATGAGGTGGTGATGGTAAGATAAGCAAATCCTTAAAATGGGGTCTTTACACATTATCATTTGCATATGTGTGTGGTTCTCTTTTAATGTTCCTTCCTTCTCTTGGAAGTTGAACTTTGTTAAAGTGCTACACATATCACGTTCGTACAATTATTCTTACGTATAATATGTGTGAACTCGAAGTGGCATATTGTTTCTAGATGGGTACCTTGAAGATATTGACGATTCTACACACATCCGCATACGTATATATACATGTATATATATATATATACATGATTACATCCTATTATTAACACATGTGTGTGATATTTTATATACAGTATGTTGGAGAATATGTATGAATATTTTTAAGCATCCCCTTCCCCTATAGGTAAAGTGGTAAAAATGAGCTTTCTAGATGAAACTCCAGTGAACTCATACATAGCACTTTGCAAATGGGGAAAAAAAAGGCTACTAGTACTAATTTTCTTGCTTACATAAACAATATGTCTACAATTAAGGATGTATAGAAGGGGCTACTATAGACATGGAAAAAATGTGCACGTGTATATTTTGATTCCCAAAGGGAGGTAAAATTAATCCAACTAGAAATGAATTTAAAAGAAGAGATAGGTAGAGAGGCAGATTATATAAATTATAAAACAAGGTAACTTTTTCAAATTTAGTAACCTTCTGATCCTGTAATTTATTTTTAAAGGAACATTTTGTTAAAGAAAATTATAAAGAAAAAATGATGTCTATTGTTGAATTGGGTTTAACAAGTAATGAGTTTTTTTTTTTTTTTTGTCACGCAAAATGATGCAGTATAAATGATAAAAAAAAAAAAAAAAAAAAAAAAAAATGTGCATACATTTTACATCTCAACGATCCATTGTGCCAAACTTTTCAAACTGGTTCATTTAGATGCATTGAAAAATATGTATGAGAAATAAGAGGATGCATAGGCAAGTAGTTAAGTTTTATATCTTTCTTTGCTCTTTTCATCCCTGATTTGTTTCTCCTTCGCTTTATTCTCCCTTTGGAATTTAAAAAAAGAGTATAGATAATGTTAATTTATCATCATGAAATTTATGTTTAAAATAGGTTTAGTGATGGTACAAAAGTACACAATTGTCATAAATGGATAATGTAAGAAGACACTTTTGCAAATGTTTTGGAAAAGAAAACTGCAAAAAGATAAAATATTCCCAATTGAAAAAATCCCTCCCCTCAACCTATACCTTTCTGCTTCCATGCACACATATAAGAATATGTGCATGGCACGATTGAATAACTTGAAAGGGAAAAAATGGATTCTCAGCTTTTCATGAAGTTTAATAATTTTACGAAAGAAGAAAAAAAAGATGGAAGAAATATTAGTCATTTTGAAAATTTCACCATAGATATTAATAATGAGAGATTTCAAAAGGATTATGAAAATTATTTAAAAAACATGAACAAAATGTTCATACATTCGCGGCATGAAGTATTTTCTGCTTGCCACCGAAATAGATTGGAAAGAGTATGAACAGATAAAAAAAAAAAAAAAAAAAAAAAAAAAAAAAAAAAAAAATCAAGACGACTAGCTAAATGGGAAATAAAAATGCACACCAAATGGGACGCTAAAAAGAGTAATTTAAAAATACAAATAAATTCATACAACCTCGTGAACTTTTAATTAATGCAGATTTTGTCTGATTACGGATCCAACGATGTTGTAGGAGCCTTCAATGAGAAACTAACTCGTGCGTATAAGTAACTGTGAAGATGAATAAAACGAGCAAAACGAAGGAAATTATGTACCATGATCTCGTTATTGCTTCGTTATCATTTCCATATTTTTTTATTTTAGTACATTTGCCTTATTCCTCTTTTTGTGCACATTCCACGTTTCTTATATTTTTGACACGCTTTGTAGTTTTAGGTTGGAGTTGATTGAAAGTTATAAGATGCATAAGGAGGATATATACTTGGTAACAATTTCACCTTAAAAAAAAAAAAAAAAAAAATTACATACGTTTGTTTTTATACGAATTTTAAATGCACACCCTTTTACTCGATTTCTCCTTGGAATATATTTTAAGAGAATACATACATGCACGTATTTAACACCCACGTATTTAATTTTCAGAAAAGTGCTTTAGAAAGAGATAATCATATTAGACACCATAAATTAATACAAAGGTAATTGCATTTCATCATGGCAACTTCAATCGGATGTTAGTTACTTTCTTGTTGCTTCTTATTTTGTTTAATGTTTTCCACCATTTAGTCCACGCGTACGAATTTTTGCCAATGGCAGTAGCATCCGTATGCATTTCTCCACATTCGCACTCTTTTAAACAAATTTAGAAACTATGAAAAGATGGAGAAGCAGATGTACACAATGAATCAGAGGGAGTATTGTATTTTCCAAAGGAAAGAATTGGTAATTAGGGAGAAGAATATTTACTGGATATTTCAGAAGGGATGTATCTTTTCTCACTTTATGAGTTCTTCCACAGTGTGTCTTCTCCCACAGTGTGTCTTCTCCCATTTTGTGAATTCTCCGTTTTGCAGGAAAAGAAACGTGAACGAAGGAAAAAAAAAATGGATGCCATCATAAAGAGTTTTATAAAATCTGCTTTTGAGGTGGCCAAACTTGGTACCACATGTGGGGACTCCTATTTTTATGAAAATATATTTTTTTTAGAGAAATTATTTTTCCTTAAAAAAATAAAATATATGAATGATATGGTTCAGAACAATTCGCATGAGAACGAAGCAAATATATCAACAATGCCCTTAGGAACATGTGCAAAAAGAGAAAAATATTCTGCAAGTATATCTAAGAGATGCAGTTTTCAGAATCTTCATGAAAATTTGGATTTTATGAGGTTTCAAGGAGGAATAGACAAATTTTTTCTGTTGAATATGAGAATTGCTCCAGGTTCGCTAGGGGAATTTTACCACACCCCAAACAAAAACTAACATATAAATATGTTCACCGCGTGTATATATCCACATATGCACACACATCGAACTTGTGAATGAATGTATATATGAATCCCAATCAGTGTCCATGCTGAAGTGGGAAGAGAGTTCTCTGTGTACTTTTTTTTTTTTTTTTCAAATTAACCACTAATCATTGTCTTTTTTAGTAGGAAAAAAAAACAGCACAGAGAAATTTGCCTACATCCTCTTGTTGGCATATTTAAGCGGTCGTAAGGATTGGCTTGGCATGAACGGGAAAAAATTTCATACTGAAGATTTGGATCTGCCCTATGGGAAATATTATTCTGATTATAGGAAGAAAATATTGGAAAACGTCGAACAGGTTGATTTGGATTCCTTGAGGGAGAGAATGGTTAGGTTTGCACACCACAAAAAGCGGGGCGATTTACACATGAATACGTGCATATACATATATATATATATATATATTATATGCATGTATACATTATGTTCATATATATGTGTATTTTGCTTGTTTTTGTTTTTTTTTTTTTCCTCTTTTTTAGCAAAGTAACGATTCGCATTTTTCTTTTTTTTTTCTTACATCCCTCTTCCACATGATCTATTTAAATGATTCCCTTTTCTTCCGCAGGGGGACAAATATTTCCCTTTTTCACAAAAAGAGGACATGGAAAAAAGTTAATCTTTTTAAAGTGGAAAAAAACGATGTTTTTAAAATGGAAAATGGTGTTTTTTTTTTTTTCCCATTTCTTCCCGTTTCTTCCCATTTCTTCCCGTTTCTTCCCTTTTCTTCCCGTTTCTTCCCTTTTCTTCCCATTTCTTCCCATTTCTTCCGTTTTCTTTTTTTCTCTACTCCAAAGAGCATTATGTTAGCTCCTTCTACATGGTGTCTACTTAAGTGCAAGTGAGAACAACCGCCCGGTCCCTCTAACCCTTCACATCTCACTCATCATTCTTGTATTTTTCCCAATCAGAAGTTAAAGAATTACCACTTTTGAAGAGTTTACTTTTGAAATTGTTTAAAAAAAGGTTCGCGTAAAAAAAAAAAAAAAAAAAAAAAAAAAAAAAGATGTATCAAAAAAGAGAGAGGAACTTTGAGTGGTATCCTTTCTATACCATACGCGCATTCAGTATTGTTCTACAATCACGTTCTTTTTTTCCTCCTTTTTCTCCTCCTTTCTCTCCGCCTCCCTTTTCTCATCTCGTTTTTCCTCCTTTTTCCCAGCCCGAAAGCATTCAAATTAAGGGGAAAGTACAAATTTCCCCTAAAAATTGTAATTACAGGGAAAATAAAAAAAGGTACCGAAATGCACATTCTCCTTTTCCATCGAAAAATGTGTGACCCAAGGGGCCCCTTCTGATGCTGGCTTATCTCCCGTATTCATCTATTCAATCTCCACCACACCATTACTCCAGTATCCATCACACCTCATTTTATCCTCACATGATTAGATACTAAACTTTTAGCTGAACATTTGAAAAAGACGTTTTCCCTGAAGGTGTACGACTTTGATAAACTAAGAAAGGAAGTTCAAAGTATATGCAAAAGAGAAATTAGTTACACAGGTAAGTATACATATCAAAATATCATATGCTAATATCCAACATATGTTTAGCAGTTTGAAAAGGAGAGAAACTGCTTTTTGTTTCTCTTCCTTATATAGATATTTTCTTTCTCTAATCCTTCTCTTGTAAATAATATGAACCAACTTTTCAAAAAAAAAAAAAAAAAAAAAAACAGACTCGAGGGATAAGGATACCCAAAGTTTCATTAATAAAAATGAAATTCTCAACAAGCTAAAAAATATCACTAAAAAATTAAAAGAAAAAAATTATAAAGAAAAACACAGAGACCATTTATATGTAGACTTGTTATACTATCGAATAAAATATGATTATGATATGTTTTATGACAGTGCAAGGGAGAACAAGTACTTTGCACAGGATAAAGCCTTTTTCAAAAAAGACGAAGAGAAATCCGCTAAATATAAAAAAGACGAAGAGAAATCTGCTGAGTGTAAAAAAGACGAAGAGAAACCTGCTGAATGTAAAAAAGACGAAGAGAAACCTGCTGAATGTAAAAAAGACGAAGAGAAACCTGCTGAATGTAAAAAATACAAAGGATATATTATTACAAACTTTTTTTATTCCCTAAAACAGTATATTCTGTTTGAACTAAAGTCAAAGAAATTTTTTCTTTTTAACGATTTTTTACATGAACATGTTCATAATTTAAAAAGGGGAGAAACGACATATAGAGAAAACGCTCCTTACAATCGTTACACTCCTAAAATTCAGAAAATAAACTTGAAAAAAAACAAAATGAACGGTGACTATAAGAAAAGGAAACCACAGGACGAGGAAAATTTCACTCTAGGGAATGACAATACAACAGTGGTTAGAAATTCTCAAAAAAAGAATAATTTTAAGAGGGAAAAGTCAGGTAATAAAGCGGAAAGTAAACAAGACTCTGAAAATAACATAACGAGTAGAAAGAAAAAAAAAAATGGTAAATCTGACAAGGATTCGAATATACTTACAAATATCAACAATACAGAAACAGAAAAAGATGCATTAAAAAAATTTGATAATAACGATATGGAAAAAAAAAATATCCTATTTTTTTCTAATTTTATATGTAACATTGATGATATTTACAATCTCAAGGGAAGACACAAGTTCTCTGGTGCAATTGATTTGCACTTTCATATTGATAGAAGTAATAAACAGATTAACAAAATCTTATTTAACACCATAAGTAGGAGGAGAGATGACAACTCATTCTATACTCCTCGGGAGGGGAATCGAGGCACAAAGATAAGTGATTCATTTTCACTAAACAAAGGAACGATAGTAAAAATGAAAAATATAATAACCACTTCTAAGATTAGAAGTGAAAGTAGTTCAAAGCGTTTGAACCAAAAATATCGCATAAAAAAGAAACACCTAGTTAGATGCAAATTTGTAAATCTTTCGAAACCTTTAAAAGATACACAAAGTGAAAAAGACACAAAATGTATACCTTTTGCTAACCAACATTACAATGAAAATGAAGAAAAATTTCGATCAAATTTCCATTTGATGAAGAAAATTTTTCATTTAGACAAAAATTATGAAAAAATAAAAAAATTTTTAAAAACGTATAATAAAGGTACTACATATCCAAGATTTCACCTCCTAGGAAAATATATGTACAAATCAGCAACTCTTTTGGTTTCAAAAATTATCTACTTAGCTGAAAAGAAGAAGCATAGATTGAAAAGAGTCTTAGACCTAATCACTACACAAGGGAAGGATTCAATTGAAAATAAAATGGAAAATGCCCATGAATGGAGTAATAAGATCAAATATGATTACCAACCTATTGACGATTTCTTTGGTGTAAATAAAACATTTCCCCTTGTAGACAAGTACACAGGTTATTACTTCCGACAGAGGTATTTCAAAATAGTAAGGAAATATGTGATTCATCTATTCAATCTGTTTATGTGGAAAGTGAATTTGAAAAAAAGCATAAAAGAAACTGTGAAGTATATACATAAAAATGTGCATATATTCATTGAGGAGATAGACATAGAACCGATAAACGAGATTATTCAATCATATAATGAGTTAAAACAATGTGGTGGTGAAAATGAAAAAATACAACTATTGCTTTATGATAAAATAAACACAATTCAAGAAAAAATATGGTTACTCATTTTGAAAGGGAAAAATTATTCTAAAAAGAAAGAGAAAGAAAATGTATATAAATGGATTCAAAAACAAATATTTTTCCTTACATTTCATAATTTGTATTTAATCAATATAGAACATGAGCTATATATAAAAATTCACAATTTTGTGAACGAATTCACACATTGTATGCAGAATCAAGATTATAGTTTATCTTTTAAAAATGAAAAGGAAAAACACATGCTTATTTTTAATTACTTTCCAAAAAATAAAAAAGAATTTTATATATTTGAAAAGGATAATTATTATTTTCCTTTCATAAATCATATAAAAGAAGATGTTAACAAATTTTTAATTGAAAATTATGATAATAAAAATGTGAACAAGACAAAAAACGAGGAATCCAATTCTTATGATAATTTATTCCATTCAGAAAAAGAAAAAGACATTTTTTTTTTAACAAAAGAATTCCATTTTTTAAATAATTGTAGATTTATTTACAAATTTTATGATCTTATTAACAATACTGTATCTAGTTTGAGGAAATATTTTTTTATCTTTCACGATCTTAACAATTACATTAACGATTTTGTCAACTTGCATTATTTTTCCATCTACAAACAGGTAAATCTCGCCCTTTCACAAGTAAAAGTGTATATTCAGAATAACAGACGCATTCCTTTTTACTATTCAAGGACTCTTGGGAAAAAAAAAAAAAAAAAAAAATTGTTAAAAAAAAGAATTATCAAAAATAGTCAAAAGAAATACACACAATCTAATTGTGTCCAATCATGGAAGATGCCCTTTCCGAATGATGATCATCACCACCAAAATAACGAAGAGCAGAAGAACTTGAGTTTAGATAATACCAAAGGAAAACTCATATTGAAGGGAAAAAAAAAAAAAAAAAAAATTACAAAAGGGAAAAAAAACTGCATTTCAAGTGGCATAAACGAGTCTCATCACTTTTTTAACATTACGGAGATGAAACAATTTTTACGAAAAAATTCCATGTTTACATTTTTGAAAAATATCTTAAGTTATACATTTGTTGAGAACCATTCTTTTATCATATCAAAACGTGATTTACAAAATGTTATCATAAGCAGTTTATATTTTATAAAAGACAAATCGGAAAAAATTAATGCCTATGCATTAATAGGTACTAATCTTCTAGACACATATTTTAAAACACACAGTGTTACAATTGACTCGTTTCTACTTGAAGAACGTTGGAAAGATTATGTCAATATGAATTTGTCACATATGCATTATGAGAAGGAGAAAAGGCAGCAGAGATATATATATTTTTTGGATTTTTTCTTTTTTCTCCTTTTTTTTTTCTTTCAAAGGGGGGAGAAATCTAACTGCTCCCAGCAGGTTAGTTTTGCATCTTTCACGTCTTCTAAATCTTTCACGTCTTCTAAATCTTCCACGTCTTCTAAATCTTCCACACCTTCCGATGCCATCATGGAAATCTACCCAATTTTCCCCTTCCTCCGTGTGATTAGATTCTCCCAAATTATCTGAACATTATGGAAGAAAAAATGAACGCCGAGGGAATGCTAGATAAAAGTGAAAAACTAGAGGTGCTGAAAAGTTGTCTTTCTTTTTACAACAGAATAGCGAATGGGATAGATACACGCGAAGGCAATGATTCAATCGAAGAGACGGTAATAGAGACAGCAGATCGTGCCTCAGATCATGCTACAAATCCCCACGCGAGCACGGGAAATTGGGAAAATGGCAGAACTAGCCAAATATGTACTGAAAAAAATGAGCTACTAAACAGTTCAGAAAAAGAAAAAAAACAATTAGAAAAGAATATGGAATATTTTACATTTGAAGAATTTGCATCCTTGGGATTATTCCATTTTATGAAAAATGAACAAAAACTTACAAGGGAAGAAACGAAAATGAAGAATTATGAAATTCATCTGCTGAATAAACTTCTTTTTAATTCTTTGTTTTCATTCAGCTTATTACCTAAATTTTATGAAAATTTACAAATTTATGTAAAACAATATTTATTAAAAAAAAATGAAGAATTTGTTTTCTCATCATTTCAAAAATGTATCAAAGAGAAAATAAAAAATGTGGAATCGAAGAAATTTTCCTCGTACGCCATCGCCCCCCTCACCTCTGTGTCGGAAAAAGGGGATGAACCTACATATAAGGATGGAAAAATAAACAATTTAAAAAAAGAACAAGAAAATTCTGTTACATTGTACAATACAAAAAAAAGAGTACGTTTTAACTAATGTAGTGTGTGTTAATAACAAAATGTGTGTATCGATTAACATGCTACTTGACATGTATATTAATTAATCACACATAATCCGTATATTTCTGTGGAATCATTATGCATACATGTATAACCATATGTATAGTAAACATATATCCCACGTACACACAAAATACACCAAGTGCATATAAACAGATGAAGTTCTACACACATTGTGCTTTTTGTATTCCTTCCTTCTTTTCTCCACAGGTACGAGTAAAAGAAATACTAATGTTTTTTCACAAGAGCTATCATTACAACTTTTAAAAAAAAAAAAAAAAAAAAAACATCTTAAATAAGTTTAACGACGCAAGTAAATAAGTTTAACTACGCATGTAAATAAAATTAGAGGAGACATTAAATTCGATAATGCTCCAGTAATCGTGTCCATAATTTAAAAAAAAAAAAAAAAAGGTCATGTTAAGGCAGTTGGGCGGTTGGCAAAATATAATGTTCGTCTTTATATAGATGGTACAGGATCCATTTACTGAGTTCATAATTTCTAAACTAGAGGTGAATACATTTAATGTGGAACTATTACTAAGTTCGAATCACACACACACACACACATACACATCTCCTACGTAGGTCTCCATTGCTACATCGTGTGTCTTTTTTTCTGTGTACATATTGTAACATGTTCATCACAATGGGACAGAGCAAAAAAGAAGGGGCCTAACAGATGTACATAACATGAATCCAAACACACAGATACACTTTGGGGCCTTAACGCTTCTCTCCTGCTGCACTCCCGAATGAGTAGATTCTAAAAGAGCGTCTCGTCAAAATTAAAAAAAATAGTGGACTCCAACACACGCTGATCATATTTGTTAAAAAAAATTTCGATGAATCTTTGAAACTTTTTCATGTATTCAGAGTTTTGAAAAAAATCCTTTAAATAATCCACCATGGCAAATTTGGATTCACTCTTCATTTTTTCACTACTACCTAATATGTGGAGTGCATTTTTCTTATCTGTGATGTACTTGTCGTTGTTACCTCCTCCTCCTCCTCCACCCCAGCTACTAGTAATGATTCTGGTTTCTCCATTGGAGGTACCTTCTGCATTGATGCTATTATTTGCAATGGTGGTCTCATCTTCGTTGTTGCTACCTTCTACAATGATGCTGTTGTTGTGTAGAAATTCCCCTGGGGAAACCAAGTAACTCCCTGAAAGTTCTTTGTTCATAATATTTCCATTTGGGAAATGAACCCGGCCGCGATTGTGTCGCACTACTTCATTGCCATTTCTCCCTGCTGTGCCATATGTGGATGATTTTAAAATATCGTAATCTTTATTTTTATCTTGGATTTCGTGTTTGGAATATTTACCCATATTGTTCTTCACATGTTCATTATATCCTTGATTTTCTCGAATTTCTTCTTCCATTTCCATCTCGTTCGGGTACAGTGTGCTGTACAATTTATTCACGTTTTTTCTTATTTTAAAACCATTTCTTTCTTTTCTTGCATTGGTTATTTCGTCCATACTTTCTCTAGCTTTAAAATACCTTTCTTCTTCATTAGCCTTGGGAGACCTTGTTGTGGTGCCCAAAACATCCACATTATTCCCTTTGCCTTTGGATTGGTTAAATGAATATACGCTTGCATATTGAATAAAAAGTGTTATGTAAGAGAATAGAATTATAAAATTTATTCGTTCCATTTTTTTTTTTTTTTTTTTTCTTCTCTTTTCACTTACATACGCGTGAGACTTATAACTTGTATTTCTAATTACATGAAAAAAAAAAAGTGTTCACGTATCGAGAGGGAAAACTTTTCTCAAGAGAAGTATACACAACATGTGTAGCTTTGTGTGCACATGTAAACCTAAAAATTAACTAAGCATACATGCAAAAGACTAACAATCTTTGCACTTAAGGGAAAAAGCAAAAAGAAAAAAAAATATATCTGTATGCAAACATATTATACTCTTCACTTAAAACGATTTTGTTTTTCCTGATTTTTTTCCTCTTCTTTCAATTCGAAGCGGGGGACATTTTGTTCCGTTCCTCTCCGTTGGAGAGATGTTGTTAATTTTAAACCCCTAACAAAAAACCTTGGCATAACACATAATATAAATTATCAATCTCTAATTTACGCTTTTTTTCTTTTTCTTTTTTTTTTCCAGTGACTCATTTACACATAAATATTATCATGTGAACTTTTGCCATTTCAAGAGAAGCTTCTCCCCCTCCCCTTGTAATATAAAAAGGTATGAGATTCTTTTTTTTTTTTACTTTTTTTATTTCTTCTTATTCTTTATGAAATCCTTAATCATTTTGTTTCGACGCAGTACTTAGGGGGAAATAAATATACATATATATATTCCCTTTTTTTTTTTTTTTTTTTTTTTTTTTTTTTTTTTTTAAAAAAAAAAAAAAGCTGGCATAAAAAAAAAAAAAAAAAAAAAAAAAACAGGCATATACATATAATGTGCGTATCCTTATTTTTTTTTTTTTTTTTTGCTCTTACAACGAATTTCACAAAAAATACTTAATTTGGGTTAAGTTTATTTTTTTAATTTGTTTTACAAGTTCATTTTACTTTCGCTCCGTCCAACGTCCTGCCATTTGGTTTGACTTGCCTTGGTTTTGACTTGACTTGATTGACTTGGTTTGATTTCACCTGGTTTGACTTGACTTGACTTGACTTGACTTGACCTGGTTTGACTTGATTTCGTTACAATTATTTCATTTTATTATTTTTTGCCTCATTCTTTTTTTGCTCCTTGCACTTGCGTAGTTTAAAAAGTGCAAAGATAGAGTAATGCTTTTAGTGAGCGCACTTGAAATTTAGCACGAAGAGAAAAAAAAAAAAAAAAAATTCTCAGTTTTTTGGGCCGGGAAATGAAATAAAATGTACGTATTGTTTTGGAGGAGGTATATATTTAAGTACTTTTAACTAAGAAAACATGGAGGAAAATAAAAAAAAATAAAAAATAAAAAACATCTGTTATAAGCACATACAAATGTGCATAAAAAACATCCACAAATATAGCACCTTTTCATCTAAAGATTAAAGCTTCTCCCCATTGGGCATATACAAGTAAATCCATAAATATTTAAGTATACTTGAAAAAGAGCATATGCTATACTTCCCTCTTTTTTTTTTTTTTTTTTTTTCAAATAATGGCAAAAAAAAAAAAAAAACTTAAAAAATTCCCATTTATATGAGAATACTTAAAATAGAGATAGAAAAAAAAAAAAGCAAAAGCAGAAGGAAAACAAAAGAGGGTTTACCCTCGTTCTGTATATTCATTAATTAAGAATGACAATGAAAACACACAATGATTTTACAGGTGAGAAGTTCACAAGTAGTATGACACAAACTTTTAAAAAAACTCTTAAAGCGCTAAGCTGTAAAAAACTGATAAAATGCTAATTTTACTCCTAAGCCATAAGTCGAATAAATCAAGCAAAATGATTATGCAAAAAAAAAAAAAAAAAAAAAAAAAAAAAAAAAACGAATAAACCTTGGTAAAGAAGGGGCACACAACCAAAATGTTATAAAAAGGGGCAGACTTTAAAAAAGTTTTTTTTTTTTTTTTTTTTTTTTTTTTTTTTGCGTAGGAATTGCTCATTTGTTCAACAATGGGGATGGCCTTAAGGCACTTACCCGGATGGGTGGTGATGGTGGTGCACACGTTTTGCCTCTCTTATGGAAGGATCATATATGGACATGCATATACATAAAAGGAAATGCAAAAAATAGGATGCGTATATATCTCAATGTAGTAACTACCTGTTTCACCTTTCCACCTTTCCACTCGTCTATGCACACACTTATCTGTATATATTTTGAAGTCAACGGGGTTGTAACACTAGAATTCCTCGAATTTGTAAAAATGAGGCTCCCCAATCCACCCGAGGAGTACTACCCCCCAAAAAAAAAAAAAAAAATAAATAAAAAAAGTGAAATATGAAACGTGAAATATGAAACGTGAAAAATAGATATCGGGTAGGATATATAACGATATGATATGGCACTCCTTGGTAGAATTGGTTCACGCTCTTCCACATCTGCCATCTTCACATCTACCATCTTCACATCTGCCATCTTCACATCTACCATCTTCACATCTGCCATCTTCACATCTGCCATCTTCACATCTGCCATCTTCACATCTGCCATCTTCACATCTGCCATCTTCACATCTGCCATCTTCACATCTGCCATCTTCACATCTGCCATCTTCACATCTGCCATCTTCACATCTGCCATCTTCACATCTGCCATCTTCACATCTGCCATCTTCACATCTGCCATCTTCACATCTGCCATCTTCACATCTGCCATCTTCACATCTGCCATCTTCACATCTGCCATCTTCACATCTGCCATCTTCACATCTGCCATCTTCACATCTGCCATCTTCACATCTGCCATCTTCACATCTGCCATCTTCACATCTGCCATCTTCACATCTACCATCTTCACATCTGCCACCTCCACCCCGTGATCAGTAAAGGCGGCCCAACTTGGACATGTTGTTGCGAAGAGCTACGACATTTTGCTTCTTCCATGATATGAATCCAGGTAGATCAGAATACTTGCGTTGGTATTTGAAATTGGGTATAAGTAAATGCATGGTGTCCTTTCTAAGGGGGTTTAAAAGTATATTGAGCTGGTCAATATTATTTTCAATTTTGCTTATAGATAAACGTAAGGAATTTTTTTCTAATGATGAATTATTTTTTAAAATATTCATTTTATGTTTTAAATATAATAATTGTTCTTCAAGTTGAAATTTCTGAGTTTCATAAATTTCTCTCTCTTGTTGTTTTTTTAAAATTTCCTTCGCACGAATGCACTGTTCATGTATCGCTCGTCTTGATAAAACTGTTAAAATTCTTTTCATTGTAAGTTTAATTTTCTTCAGTCTCCCGTGTTGTATCATCTTAGTGCTGTTTTGAAAATTAAAATATTGTTCTCCTAACAATTTATTCTTTTCTTTTAAGCTAATATAGTACAACTTGTGTAAATCCTCAAAACTTTTCTTCCTCAGTAAAACACATGGCCATGCATCTCCCGTTTTACTGTATTCAATTTTTCTTTTCATTGGCACATTGTCAAGGAAGCTGTTTTTCCACAATTCTTCTATACCTCTTTGAGGTACAAAATTCATGGGGCTCTTCACCTTGCGTAGTGCCATCTGGGGTTGTGGTGGTTTCTTATGTTGGTAGAAATTTGCCTCACTCTGTCGTTGGCTCTGGTTGTATGGCTCTTCGTTCCAACAATTTATATGTTCTCATATATATGCATTTATACATTCACCCTTTTTTACTGTCTTCTCTCCCTTCTCCCTTCACGCCTTTACAAATAAAGGAAATTTTCTCAGTATTTCCCACACGTACTGTCGCACACACATATAATCTTTCAAAAACAAGATGATAATTCTTAAAATGGAGAAAAAGATTAACCTACACCTCTCCTTAATGGTCTTATACCTAAGGTACCATATTTGTATGTAAATCAGTAGCATGCAAATCTGTTATTCTATATTCCTACTTCTTATTTGTAAAATGTTGGATAAATAAAAAAAAATTACATTGTGTATAAATGCACTACAATTTGGACCTTTTTGCCAAATGCACATTAGGGAAAAAGGGAGGGGGAGGGGAAGAGAAAATCCTCTCTCTCATAGGTACTTGTAAATCAGGTTCTTATGAAAAACTTTCAACATTCGCGATAATTTGTTGTGATTGAAAAGATCCTCTTAGATGATGTTTACCCATGATTGGAAGTTTCATAAAATCGATTAGTCCAAATTGTTTGCATGTTTCAGTTACATTCACAGGAATATGGGGAAATAAAGGGAAAAAAAAGGGAGGCAAAAAAGAGAAAAAAAAGGAGAAAAAGGGAGGGGAAAAGAGCTTATTCGGATTAACTTTTTAAAGGGGAATTTTATCTCCAAAGTCGAACGGCCCTTAACTTTACGATTCCAATTTGTGTTCTCTCTCTCTCTCTCTCTCTCTATATATATATATATATATATATATATAAATCCTGCACACGTGCATGTGCTCGTCCTGTGCAGAGAAGGAAAGAAAAAAAAACCTTGAAATGAATGGAAGAAGAAGGAAGGAATAAATTGACACTACCCCGTTGTCGAATTTATTCCTCCTTAGCCCTCCTTTTTGTATCACAATTTGGGATTATTCTTTTTCCTTCTTATTCTACCGATTTGTGTGTTTCATTTTATTTTACCCCTGTTACGCAGAAAATTATACAGAGATTTGACCTGCATTTATTTTCTACTCATTTGAAAGTTTGAGTGCATTTTACACTTCATATTTTAAAATAAGTAAAAAGTTCATGTAAGGAAAATGTTCGGTATAGTGGTTACGCAATATTTGGAAATCAGAAGATGGTAAAGCGAAATGATGGTAATGCGAAGTGATGATAAAGCGAAGTGATGATAAAGCGAAATGATGGTAAAGCGAAATGATGGTAAAGCGAAATGATGGTAAAGCGAAATGATGGTAAAGCGAAATGATGGTAATGCGAAGTGATGATAAAGCGAAATGATGGTAATGCGAAGTGATGATAAAGCGAAGTGATGATAAAGCGAAGTGATGATAAAGCGAAGTGATGATAAAGCGAAGTGATGATAAATATTACATGCGTTTATAATGGTTCACGCCGAATGCGTAACGTAGTTTTATTTTATTTTATTTTTTTTTTTCAAATGGGAGAAGAGAGACATAGTCGAAGGAGAGAATGGCATACGAACTTGTGTTTCTTTCCCTTCTTATGTGTGTATGATGGTATTTCTTTTAGGCAAGATATTTCATATGAATATACACTGTTTTTCTCACATATATTTTTCATGTCTTTGCATGCGTTTTTACCAATTTTGTGAATTCCGTAACTTGGAAAATCTCATTGAATTAACAAATGCAAATATTTATTAGCCTTTTTTTCGAGCACTTTCTAGGTGTCAATAAATAAAAAGATTCAAATTCAAAGATGAAAATATATATACTACGTGTTCAAAATGAGGTACATGGGTATTGTATAAATGTTCGAGGAGATATATAGGTTTCCATATCTTGTACTTTTATGGATACATGAGAATGACCTGCCCCTCCCCCAACCCTTCCTTTCAAAATCCTTTATGTGCATGTGAAAGGTGCATATGCCAATATGGGATACGGGGAAAATGAAAAGAATGTTAAAACAGAGTTAGAGATCCAAAATAACAAAATTGCAAGCTTCCAAAAATTTGAAAACGTGTTAAATGTGCATAATATTGTAATACACACATTTTACCTCCTCGTCCGATTACATGCACATTTTTTTTTTTTTTTTTTTTGCATCCTTTTTCAATGATGTAAAATTTTAAAGAAATCACTTCAACCCCAAGGATGTGTGTATATAAGGATTGGTTTAGGGTGGTATCAAAACAAGGTAGTTCTAAAAAAGTGTCACCTTAATGCTCATTCATTTATTTGAAATATACAGATACATACACATATAAATACATATACATTCAAATAGATATATATGTATAAAACAATTTTGCAAAAAAAGGGTTTTTTTTTTTTTTTTTTTTTTTCTTCCCTATTTTCTATTCCCCAATTTGTGCATGTAAATAAAAAATAATTATAATAATAATAAATAAATAAAAATAAACAAATCCACGTATTTTGAGAAATAGGTACAGTAACATTTCATCAACCTTATATGTGTGGCTAATAAATATGAGATTTTATTCTTGTTCCCGTGGGGCCGGCCACGAGGAATGCTGTCAAAAAAGTGTACTTTTATTTTATTTTTATTTTTTTTCACGAATTTGTGTCATGTATTGTACAAGTGAAGTATGTATTAACGTATGCAAATAAAATGAGAATGGGTTATATCACTTTTGCTATTCCCATGCTATGCATACATATGTGTATGTGCGTACATATATAATTCCTGCATGTCGAAATATTTCGAAAGTTTTTTCTCCATTAACGGCTCTCCTTTTTTTTTTTCTCTTTTTCTCTTCCCTTTTTTACTTCCCTTTTTTTGCTTCCCTTTTTCGCTTCCCTTTTTCTCGAATTAATGTTATGCATGTACATATATGCCATTGCTAGCGATAGACATGGCAAATTTTAGATACTCCTCTTTTTTTGTATTTTTTGTTTAACATGTATACAATTGGTGAGTGAAGTGAGAATGAATCGATTAGAGATATCAAAAGTAAAAAAAAAAAAAAATAAAATAAAATAAAAATAAAATAACCTGGTGCAAATACATAAAAAGGTGTACTTGGGATTAAAACTCTCCGGGAGATAATCAAATTGAATAATAAATCTATTAGAAGACAAAACCTTGTGTACATTTTACTACTATCCTCACGTAGAGTTAAATACACTCCGCATACATGTACGCATACTTTCCATTTTTTTTTATTTTTTTTTTTTCAAATATATGACCAACTTCCCTAAAACCTGATCCATTTATATTTCTTCATATTTTATCTATATCTCGTGTCTTCAGTCAATTTTTCCTTTGTTTGTATCAACGCCTTTTTTTTTTTTTTTTATTCTCTCTCCACATATGTAATACATCTCCGTTTTGTCAACAGAATTAAAAATTATTTCTCTCTCTTTTTCTTTTACTTTCTTTCTTTCTTTCTCTTTTTTTTTTTTTTTTTTTTTTTTACTACTAACTTTAGTAAATCCAAGTAATTCAAAAGTTTACCAACGGAAAGAGAGTGATATATTTTCACAATTTTTACACGAAAGCAGATGTACATTCTTACATAAAAAAAAGTACACCTACTACCATGTACACCAAGACACATGCATGGACATATGTGTACTCATGTATAGGCACCTATATACATATGTAGACATGGTATCGCGAACATCGTACCATATATGCCTAGCTATATATCCATGCATGCATGCAATTTTATTTTATTTTGTTTTATTTATTTGTTTCATATATGTATATTTTTTTTTAATATGCCGTTGTTTGTCCGTCTACAGCGACATTTTTACTGGTACCCCTTGGGGTGTACGCATTTGTAACTTTTTAGTTTTCATTTTTTCATTCCATTTCTAACTAAATTCATATAATTTATTATTTTTTAATTATTATTTGTTTAGCTCAATTTAATTATTTTTGTTTTATTTATTTATTATTATTATTTTTTAATTTATTGTTCTTTTTTTTTTTTTTTTTTTTTTTTTTTTTTTTTAACACATTTTAATTATAAATTTTTTTTTCATTTTTTTTTTTCTAATGTCAATTTTCATTGTGAAAAAAACTATAAACAAAAAATCTTTTAAAAAATCAATTTAACTTATTATCTTGGATAATCAACTTTTATTACACAAATGCAATTTTTCAAAATAAACACATTTCTCCAAATCGTTATGACATGTATTTTAAATGAAAGTGTTCAAAAATTTCCTTTTCAATTCATCTAACATTATAAACCAATCTGATTGAAAAATCTTACTTTTCAACTGGCCTTATTAATGCACCTGACCTTTTTCAACTGGCCTAATTAACACATCTACCTTCCAAAAGAATCCCTTAAACAGATTCTTAAAAATAATCCTTGACACTAATATTTCAAACTAATTCTTAAAACTAATTAATAAAACAAATTATTAAAACAAGTCCTTTACACTAATTATTAAACCTAATCCTAAACCTAATCCTAAAACTAATTATTAAAACTAATTATTAAAACTAATTATTAAGACTAATCTTTAAGACTAATCTTTAAGACTAATCTTTAAGACTAATATTTCAAACTAAACCTAAACCCTAAGCAATCCAAACTAACTTTTTGAATTACTCCTTTTTAATCACATCTGCATCTGGACATTGCTCTTATCGAATTGTGCATAAGCACACGTATTCTTAAAAACCTTTCCCTTTTGATTGCTCCTTTCTTCTGTGTCCTCATTAAACTTCACTTTCTCTACCTTGTCGTACATAAAAATTTTTATAAATCCATATTTCCTTCTACTCTTCTGGACTTGTGTAAAGAACCCAAGACTGAGTTAACAGAAGTGGCTTACCCTGTTCGTTTATTTCTTTTTGAACCAACACCACGAGCCACCCTTTCTTTCGCGACTCATGTGTGTAACGCATCTATATATGTATATATATATATATATATAAATACACGCATACTAAATTATTAACTTGAAAAAAATAAAAATTGTACTCGCACTTGCATTTGCACGTACATTTACACCTTCATTTGAACTTACATGTACAGATTTATTTACAATTATATTTACACTTACATTTGCACCTCCACTTGTAGACCTTTCACTGCATATGAAAACACCGCTTAGGAACAAGCTTTTTTTCCTTCAGTGTTCGAGCAAATTTATTTGTTTTGTATATTTTTCTCTTATGTTTAGTGCTTGCTTGTGCAATTGGCTTTGTTTACACAAGCATGTTGCATCCTAACACGGATCAACAGAAACAAACATAACCACACAAATATATACATAATCACACAAATATATACATAATCACACAAATATATACATAATCACGCAAATATATACTTAAGCACACCAATATATACTTAAGCACACCAATATACGCATAATCACACAAATATACACATAAGCACACAAATATACACATAATCACAGAAATATACATATAAACACACTAATATACATATAAATATACGCAACCTACACTGATCTGAGAACCCCGCGCCACCATTTCTGTATTGAGTCGACCTGTGCACTGCTCCGAGATGGAAAATAATTCGAGGGATCGCAAATCGGTGCAAATTTCGTCCAATGGAAAGACGGGAAAAGGGGAATGTGTAAACATTTCAGAAACGAGAAAAACGTTGCATAAATGTGTTCATAAGAACCATTTTCACGTTTCAAAAAATAAAGCTGAACTCAATGGAAAAAGGGTTAACACCATAGATGTGGATTTTTCATCTAAAAAGCAAACATTGAATGGAATGTCGAATGGCGGACAGATCAGCATACTCAATTCTAAACAAATTCATGAATTAGAGAATCAAAAGCCACCATTTGATGCAGCTCCTGCTGATATATCCAGAAATAGAGAGAAAACATTCACTGATGCTATAGAATCTACGAATAATTCTATTTTAAGCAGCGATTATCTATCCTTCGGAACGACATTTCACGATAAGGGTGAGTGCCTGCAGATGCAGTGAAAAAAATAAAAAAAAAAAACACACACACATGTACATGCACATACATACAAACATACGTAACAAACGTGTGTGTGAATACACATTTATGCGTAACTCGAGGGAATAGCAGGGACGGGGGCTGAAAAACAATTCTCCCCTTTTGTTAAGACGTGAAATGGAACAAAAAAAAAAAAAAAAAGATAAAACCAAGAAAAAGATAAAACTAAGAAAAACAGAAAAACATAAAATGGCAATGCAACAAAATGAAAATGAGTTTTGGTAAAGAGTCATGTTGCACGCTCACTGGAAAAGCAGGAGAAAAAGCATGAAACCGAGAGCCATTTATGAGAACATATTACACATACTTATATATGTCCTTCTGACCTCAGAAACGTGGTCTTAGAAGTCACATTCACGGGAAATACGCGTCTCTGAATATATTTCCCTAATGCACACATATTATTAGGAACATTTCAGTCTTATAATTTTTAACTCATTTTTTTTCATCTGAGAACGCACCCATTAGAGTACCCTTTCAATCACCCATTTGAGTATCTCTTCACTTTTTTTTTTTTTTTTCTTCTCTTCCAAAAAGGTACATGCAACCCTTGTAGATTTGAATGGACACGTGGGTGTCACATGGGAAATCATTGCAGATTTTGTCATCACCCATCTCATGTTACTCCAGGTACTGTGCGTGTAATTCCAGATCCACGAACTTTAGCAAAAACCAAAATTAGGCCTGAAAATATTTTACCTTCTCGGAAATATAATGGTACTTTTTTTTTTTTTTTTTTTTTTCCCTGAGATTATGGAAGCAAAGAAAATATTCTATCATCGAGAAAACAATATATAAATGTATACACAATGTAAATGTTAAGTTTGCATGTGAAATTTTAGAAAATAATTTTTTGTGAAAATTACCTAGGGATATATAATAATATCCCTGTGCATATACAATAATGTGTAAATAATGAGCCTATAAAAAGTCGAATGTTTAGAAAAAAAAAAAAAAAAAAAAAAATACTTTATATATATATATATATATTCCGAAAAAGATAAGATTCAAATCTTTTTATACTTCATCTATTCTGATGTTCAGGTTCCTCAAATACCCATGTAGATTATCCTTTGAATGCAAATCCAGAATTGTTAGCAAGTACTTCAAATCACCTTTGTAACGAAAAGGACAAAATAAATGACACAGAAAAAACTAACTCTAAGAACCCATCAAAAAATTTACACACTTACAATGGATATACAAATAATTCTGCTTTGAAAACTGGAAATAATTGTCAAGATTCGAGAATTTATTCAGGTCCCGATGAAGACATACAGAATCATGACTACAGTAGCAGGGGAAGTGTAGTGGGAGTACACGACAGAAGTGAAGTATGCAGGGGAAGTGAAGTATGCAGTGAAAATGAAGTATGCAGTGAAAATGAAGTATGCAGTGGAAGTGGATCACAAAATGGAAGCTATCCGATGAGTGGGAGCTTGAGAAATTATGGTAGAGAAGCAGAGTATGTTAGTGGAATTCACTATGGAAGAAAAGTGAGTTACAGAAGTGTACGATCTGATGGAATAGATGTTGACTTTCCCAATGGTTCAGATCATTTCCGTGTTGTTAACGATTTCCCTGGTGTAAACAGCCCAAACAGTATGAACAGTTTTAGTGTTGTGAATGGTATGAATGATGCGATGAGTGTAAGCGATATAGATAGTAGTCATCATGCGAATGATGGAAGTTATATGAACGATGGAAGTTATATGAACGATGGAAATTATATGAACGATGGAAATTGGATAAATGGTGGATATTGGATGAACGATAGAAATTATATGAACGATGAAAGTTATATGAACGGTGGAAATTGGATAAATGGTGGATATTGGATGAATGATAGAAATTGGATGAATGATAGAAATTGGATGAATGATAGAAATTGGATAAATGATAGAAATTGGATGAATGATAGAAATTGGATGAATGGTGAAAGTTGGATGAATGGGGGAAGTTGGATGAATGATAGAAATTGGATGAATGATAGAAATTGGATGAATGATAGAAATTGGATGAATGATAGAAATTGGATGAATGATAGAAATTGGATGAATGATAGAAATTGGATGAATGATAGAAATTGGATGAATTGTAGAAATTGTATGAATGGTACAGGATTTATGAAAAGCAGCAATTGCACGAATGACACTATATCTACAAAATGTACGAGCCGTACGAACAGTATCAGTTGCTCGAGCAGCGTCGGTTGCACGAACCGCGCTAACTCCTCCAACAGAAGGGCTTCCATGAACAATGAGTGTGAAATGAATGATATGAACTCAAGGGCTCACATAAGTGGCACACATGGAATGAACCACATGAATAATGCGAACTACCCAAACTATACAAGCTGTGAGATGTGTGCGAACCGTATGAATTGTATGCACTGCATGAACGGAATGAACTACAATAATGGTTTTAATAATATGAATAATATGGATTATGTGCATTGTCCACATGATATGAACGGAATGTGCTTCCTTAGCAGGATGAACTATGTTGATTACCTGAACAGAATGAACTATATGAACAGCTTGAACTACATGAAGGATATTAATTACTGGAGACGCATGCACTTTCCGAGCGGAACGAGCAGCACGAGCAGTATGAACTGGACGAGAAGTACGAACGAGACGAGCAGCACGAACAGAACAAGAAGCACTAACGGAACGAGCAGCACGAACAGAACCAGAAGCACTAACGGAACTAACAGAACGAACCGAACGAACAGAACGAATCGAACGAACAGAACGAGCAGCACGAACCGAATAAACCGAATGAACCGAACGAGCAGCACGAACCGAATGAACCGAACGGGCAGCACGAGCAATGCACATAGAATGAATTACGAAAACGGATCGAATAGGAACTTCCCAAATAATTTAAATCAGTACCATGATATGAACTGTTGCAACATTTTCAAAGATAATATGTGTTTTTGCTGTAGTCGTAGAATATGCAACCCCATTTTGAGTCATCCAATGAATGAATTTAATGGAAGGGTGGTGATAGACACATTTTTAAAAAATAAAGATATGTATAAAAATTTTAAAATGTGGGAAAATTTTCCGAGAAATTCCTCCCCTAATGTAAACAGTTCTGACATGCCCACGAATACAAAATATTTCACAGATTGAAAAAAAAAAAAAAAAAAAAAAAAACAAAGATAAAACCCACGTGTTGAAGTATTACGCCCCGTTTGCAAAGAGAAGAAGTTTTTTTTTTTTTTTTTTTTTTTTTTAAATTCATGCATACATTTAACTAAATATGTTTACACATGTGTGTTCCATATGCCAATACATATACACGTACCCTCATTGTAGTTGCACAAAAAACTGGGAATGCATACATGAGGTCTTTTGAAATTACCATCCACGTGTTAAGTATAACAATAAGAGTGTTTATTTAAGCATATTTATGCCCCTCACCTGGACGTAAATAATTCAGTTATTCACCATTCATCATTCATTATGTATAAAAAGGAGAAAAACAAAAGAAACAAAAAAAAAAAAAGTGATATCCCCCTTCTTTTTATTTATGACCTGTTCAGGTTAAACTGAAACACAGGATTGACAGACAAAATAACCTTGCACGTAACTTATTTCTTTCCTATTTGGTAAACATATTTACATTTAACATTTTTTTTCTTTTCTTATACTTCTCCTTTTTTTTTCATTCCATACTTTGTAAGAACTGAAAAATGAAACCATAAAAAAGGCACAATATTCGAGGCAGCAAAAACTACTAAAGACTAAATAACTTTTGTCACTCTTATAGTTGGATTGATGTTGCCTGAACAGTTCATGTTTGCACACACACACAAAAAAAAAAAAAAAAAAAAAAAAAAAAAAATGCAAAAATCAACAATTTAGCTAAATTGGACTGAATAAATCAGATATGGTAAATTAAGAATTTTTTCTTTTTTAAGAAAGAGGTTTAAAATTTAGTTCTAATCAAACGAAACAGAAATTTTTCTAATTATTAGGTCTTCTAAAAATATAGGCATATACCATACTACTTATACGATTTTTCTCTTTTCTTTTTGTATTGAAAAGGAGTGCTTCCTTAAATTGTTGTATATACACATATGAGTATTTTTTTTTTTTTTTTTTTGTCAAAAATTGAACTGCTATATGTTCCTCATTGCAAATTTGAAAAAAAAAATAACGTCATTTAATGTGTACATTTTTTTTTTTTTTTTTTTTTTTTTTTTTTTTTTTGGCAAAAATGGACACCTATATACATATTTACATCCTTCAAATTAATGAAAGGACATTTAAGCTAATTTTTGATGTTATTAAAAGATGTCCTATAATTAGAGAAATGGAAAAAAGCCATGCTTAATATGAAGGGGGAAAAAAAAAAAAAAAAAAACCTGCACACAGACATATATTTATGTTGCATGTGTCAATTTATGATTGTAAGCACGTTTGTCCTATTTAGTATATTTGAATGATTCCCCTTTGGTTAACTTATCCACACACATACACGGGAATACATTGAAGCATAGAAGAAATATAAATCTTCATTTCACTCAAACGAACGATATATTAAATACCGAATGTGTACAGTATATAGGAACACCATTATATACCAGTTCGTCTTGCTTGTTTCTTTACAACTACGACTTTTTTTTGGCCTCTTCTTTTTTATGCTTCTCCCTTTTTACACCTCTCCCTTTTTACGCCTCTCCTTTTTTGCTTCTCCCCTTCCACAGGTGAAACGATGAAGAAGGGAGAGTCTTCAGTGAGAAACAGGATTGAAAAAGAATCCATAGCACTTTTTAAGAAAAATTTACTGAAGGAAAGTTACAACTGGTTTAAGGATACAGATTACTTTGCAAAGCTAAAGAAGGAAAATACGTATTCCAATATCGAAAACGAAAGAGAGACAAAAAATATAGTAACGGGGCGCGTGCAGTTGGGATGGGGAGGGACATTTTTTTTATTATGCTGTGTTGTTGTGATATGTGATAATTCAGGATGGCAATCATGCAACCATTACAACAATAGTATATTTTATTCTCCAGAATCGTTAACAGTGGTTTATTCCTTTTTATTTATAATGTATGCATTTCCTTTATTTATACTTCATCAATGTCTTGGATTATTATCTCAAGGAAATTATGTAAAATCCTGTAGGATGTTATCATCTCATATGGAAATATTATCAATTTTTTCTCTATTCGGAACAATAACATTTTGTGCAAAAGAAATATGCAATTTTGCAATTGAATTTTTACAAAATGTTGTTCGAATGGTGAATAATACATATGGAGAAAAACAATATGGAATGACAAAAGTTTTTATAGATTTGACAAATAGAGGGAACAAGGATTGTACCCTAAATGCAGATACAATTTATGTGGAATCATTAAATCAATGTATATCCTTTAATAAAAATGTAATTGTCAATTTTTATGAAAATTTATGGTTCATAGGAAATGAGGAAAATTATATATACCTAATTTTAATATCTACAATATTCATTATTTTCTGTTATTTTATCTTGTTAAAGGAAAATTTTCGTGTTTTTAAATTTTTTATTTTTGTGATTATTATTAATTGGATAACGACAAAGTCAGTTGTTATTATGAACACCTTTTTTTTTTACATCCCTCAAGAGAAAAAAATATATGAAGAAATTATTCAGATCTTCAAAGAAATTGGCTTTGTAAAATTGACAATCTTTCTATATAGCACCATAGCGAGAAGTTCTTCTATATTTATACTTAGCACTTTTGCATCTTATTTTCATACCAATACAAATATATTAAAAATTAGCATGTACACATTTGTCTTTTACATTTTGAACATGTATTTTTATCTCAAAAATGAAGCTCACGAGTATTACCTATACAACAGTAAAGGGTTCGGGGGAGAAATGAAGAATTTTAATTTCATGAAATGTAATACGTATGTAAATTTGTTACAAGAACTTGGGTCAGCAAATCAATTGAATGTCACTCCATCATTGGAGGAGACACTCTCAAACTCAGCTTTTTCTTCTTCTCCATATGGACAAAACGATATGTACGCAGTTTGGCAGAAATTGTGTCTATTTTTCAGCTCCTACTCATTTCTTTTTTCAACCATATTTATAGTTCTGATGCAGTTGTTAGGCCCATTCAACATTTTAATCGAAAAAAAAAAATATGGATGTGAAGGTAAATATCCGGACGAACGCGGGAAAAAAATTTACACATACAAATCTCTTGTTAAGAAGTATGAACGGGACCGTATGAGTCGTTCCGTTTCCAATAGCAGGAATTCCTTTTCTTCCAAAAAGGGAAGAAGCGCGACTGACAGCCAAAATTCCAGTGGGAAAAAGCACCTCAGCAGTGCAGGTGGTAAAGAAGGGTCGAATGAAAAAAAAAACAGTAAAGTAAAAAGTGGAAGACGTAGAAGAAGTGGAAGAAGTGGAAGAAGTGGAAGAAGTGGAAGAAGTGGAAGAAATGAAAGAGGTGAAAGAGGTGGAAGAAATGAAAGAGGTGAAAGAGGTGAAAGAGATGAACGAAATGAACGAAATGAACGAAATGAAAGAGGCAAAAATAATTTTTTTAGCCTGAGCAATTTTAAAAAATGGTGCTTTTTTCACAACAAGGAGAATGAAGCAAACCGAGAGGAACGAAGAAACGAAAGTTCTTTATGCCTTTCCAGAAAAAGTGTCAACCAGATGCACACAAGTGGAGACACCCACAGCAAATCATCATTTCCAAATATGCACAACGGAGGTGGGGGCACGGCTGCACGTTCCTACCGACAGGGTTTCGATGGAGACTCTGGAATTTTCAATATGGAAGCAAGTTCCTTCGAAAATAGCATGTGTATCGAACGGAGGGGTGAAAATTATCAAATGAAAAGGGTACATTGCCAAGGAAAAGAAAATTCCACTGTGTATTCAGGTAGAAGCAACGGTGGCAGCAACAGTGGCAGCAACAGTGGCAGCGACAGTGGCAGCGACAGTGGTCGTAACACTGGCAACGACGTTTGTGTGAAAAATACACCTCCTTCGTCAGGGGTGAGCAGGAATTTATTCACGGACTCCAGCTGGACGAGTGTGAGTTCAAGCATAAAAATAGCGGATAGGGAGAAACTGAAGCAGAGAAAAATGGTTGGGAAATTTTACGACAACATAGAGAAAGCCAGTAAAGAGTCTAAAGAAAACATAAACAATGATGGGAAGGAGAAGAAGAGACTTTTGGAAATCACGACACGAATCTTACAACTGAACAACCGAATGGTTAACAAGTATGGGACATTCCTACTGTTTATAGTAATATATATATTCACGATTTTACACATACTAGATTTTGAAAGGAACAAAGATATTATAAGTGAAATTATTTTGTACTCTTTATATAGGGGGTTCTTAATATTTATCTTTGCAACTCAAGTTATTTATTCATCATGGATTTTTGGAATCAAATTGCAAATGTCACAATGTGGTGTCATCTCCTGCCTTTTAAATTTTTTTTCTTGGGTTATCATACTTCCCTCATTGTCACTAACCTGTTTAACCCAGGGTAATTGGATTCAGTTACTTATCATTGGACTTTTCATAAACGCAATTACGATTGGAGTGTCCATTTTTGAAGTTACCATTAAGATGTGGAGCAACACATCAGGGGAAAAACAAGATGGAAAGCAGAGATTGGCAAAGAATGAAAAGGATGAACAGAACACTACATGGAATGAAAGGGATCAACATATTGTAGAAATTAATCAACATAGCTATCTGACTCTTTTCAGAAAATGCTTGTATTGGTTATATATTGGAAATTTGGAAGTTTTGCGAAAAAACATGAATATTGCCATTTCAGGAAACGAAGAAAAATATATTCCCCTTTTTTGGAGCTTCTTTTTGAAATACATAAACTCCTCTATGCTGATTGTCATAATTATTTACAACACACGGGAATACTTCTTCAAAATGCTTCATATGTTTCGCAGCTCTTTCAGTCTCCGAATTGAATTCGGTTCCATTCTGCTGATTTTCCTTGGGTCCATTCTCTCACTGGCAAATAATCTGCACAAGGGTAAATTAGCAGAGCGGAAAAAAAAAAAAAAAAAAAGTTAACACTTGAACAGGGAAAAAATGAGGGCAAACGTGCGCGGCAAAAATGAGACTAAAAATGGGAGGAAAAATTGGCTGAATGAGTTACGCAAACTTGCGGTTTGTACAGCCACATGATATATACCAGCATGTTCAGATAAACATCACACTCCTACACTGAGTGGAAAATGCCATCTCACATGCAATAGTCATATCCTTCTCCCTTATCCATTTGCAGACCATTACAGGCCACAAAACATTATCATACCGTCTGTCCCCATGTTCTGCCAGGACAAAAAAAAATACATCTTCCCGAATTAAAGGACGAAAAAAAAAAAAAAAAAAAAAAAAAAAATTTACTCACATGTGTCGAGTTTTATACTTACACAAATACATACATGTATTACAAGGGAAAATGTAAAACCCATGAGCACCTTGACTTCTTTGCATCTTTGTTGCTTCACTTCCGTGCTGCTTCACTTCTTTGCTGCTTCACTTCTTTGCTGCTTCACTTCCTTGCTGCTTCACTTCCTTGCTTCTCTAGCTAGCTGTTTATTCCTCCGTATTCCTGACGCACGATTGAGACAAAATGCCTGGACAAACGAGAACACATGAACACATATGGACCATATACAACCCGTACTACCAATGGCGTTTGTGATATATCATCAAATATGCAAAAGGGTACTATACTTCTTGCTTCAAAGCTTGGGATCACTTCAAAAAAAAAAAAAAAAAAATTAAAGCATTTCTAATCACATAAGATCTTCCAAATTGTCATAGTCCCCTTCCTCCTCCTCCTCCTTCTCCTCCTCAGGGTTACCCTTTACACTCGGGTCACCTAGGTTGTTGGTTGGAGGAGATTGTTCATCGGTTAGTGGAAAATTAAATGAGTTGAAGTCAGATTTAAATGGTACTACTACATTGGTATAATTCCATTTTTCTGAAAATTGGCCAGCGTTTGTAGTTTTTCCATTTGAAATATTGTTACTACCAATGTTGACACTTCCACAATGAATCATATTTTGGAGCGTTAAATTTTTGGTATCGATTGAGAAATTTTTAACATCTAGATTGTATATTCCAAAAGACTTCTCCCTTCCAGGAGCTACGTCACTGACAGAACCAATGTTTCCATGTACAAGGTTTGAACCCATTGGGCTAACTGAACCCATAACATCACTTGAATCCCTTTTGTCAGTATCTTGGGTGTATTCCTGATCGTCTAAGCGATTGACACTGTATTTACTGGTAGCATCTGGATTTTGAAAAAAGGAAGTAGAAATTAACTCACTTGTTGGAATGGAATATGAATCTGGTTTTATCTTATTAGAATTGCTAATATTACTGCTAATTCTACTGCTGTTGCTGTTGCTGCCATCACCACCGTCTCCAACATCATGATTGGTTGTACCAGCACCAATGTTATAACTCTTTTCCTTTAAAAAATCATGCTTGAAATGAATATGATAATTAAAACTCTTGAAATTAAGGAATCCCTTTTTACAATCATTAAATGGACAGACGAATATGTTTTCATTAATGAAAAGAAATTCTACATCGTTTATTTCTGAATTACAAATCACACATATCTGTTGCTGTGCACATAATTCATAACATTTACTGCAGATGATGTGGTAACATGGGTTCAGTCTCATCTTAGAATTAAATGGTATATTGCAAAAGGTACAAAATATCGAAGCCCCATTTTCAATCGAATTTATCTTGTAACTTATGTTCTGACATTTTGGCGAGGCGTTTAGGGTCCTGTTTCGATAATTTCCAGCATTGTTTGCAAAAGTGTTGTTCATAATTTGCACGTTGCAACGAGAAAAAAACAAGACGATTTCAATATAACCACAGAAAAGGAGATATTAGAATTACCAATTCGAATGTGAATAATTCTTATCACTCATTGTAGTGCAGCAACTGGGGCGTAATTGACCCAGCATCTCATTGGAAAAACGACAACGGAGAAATGGGGGCGCGGGAAGGGCAGAAATAAGTAAAATCAAACAAAGTGGAATAAAAAAAAAAAATAAAAATAATAAAAATAAAACCAAATAAAACCAAATAAAACCAAATAAAACAAAAAAAAAAAAAAAATAAAATAAAATAAAATAAAATAAAACTAAACAAAACAAAACAAAAAAAAAATAAAATAAACAAAATAAAGTAAAATAAAAATGATTTAAAACACACAAGATTATATCACATATATGGCATATAATAAACATATATTTAATATGTTGTATTGTGCCTTGCCTGTACGTCCCCTCAAGCATATGCTACTTGCGGGGGAAAAAAAAAAAAAAAAAAAAAAAAAAAAAAAAAAAATATCCATTCGCATTCTATAAATGCGTCCTTTTTTTTTTTTTTTTTTTTTTTTTTGCCTGAATGTTAATAACCTAGCTTGTTTGAAATAGTTAAAAGAGGTTTATTATTTTTATTTATTCGCTTCAAGTTTTCTTCTCTTCTCTTTCCTTCCCTTCTCTCCTTTACCTTTTTTGTTTGTTTTTAAAATGGGAGAGGAGAAAATATCCTTCGAATGGCCCCAATAGCACATATGCAACAAAGTTCACGCGTGTGATAATAGCAACGCCTGAAGTATCATACCACAGTTGCATACATAGACCACCATATAATAAATGGCTTTAAATAAATTCGCTCGTTTTTATTCATTTAAAACATTTCGTTCTGCTGTACACCATACACACCAATGCACTGATAGAGGGAAAATAAATCTAAACAGAACTCAAAGAAAAAAAAAAAAAAAAAAGAAAAAAAAAGACCCCTTTTGAAATTCTCCATTCCAAATGAAAAAGCACAGAATGGATATATTAACAAAAATTGCCTGACCATTACTGTGCTCGCGTGGGAAAAAAAAAAAGAAAAGGAAATCTGAAAAAGGTAAATATAAGAATAACGATTCCAGTATATGTACGAACGTATTCAGAAGAGCAATGCGAGTATAATGGGAAAAAGCAAGAAAGGATGACGAATAAGAAATGAAAAACAACACCTCCTCCTATTCCTCCTCTTACTATGCCACTTTGCATCTTCGTCTACGTTCTCTCATCGGTTCGAATGTATTGAAAGAATGTATTCACTAACGTGTGTTCCACACACCCCATCTTGACCCACTTGATTTGTTCATAAAGCTAACCAAATATTACAAAAGGGTTATTGCATATACATACCTTACACACATACGTACGTACATATATATGTAGGAATGTGTGGGTTGGGAGGGAGTGATGAGAGATAGAGACTATTATCCAATGAAGAAATAAAATAAAAAAAAATGAAACTGTCAAAAAGTATATCCCACTCCGCTTCACAAAAGAGGAATTGTTCAAATAGATTTACATTTTTCAGATATGAAAATGTATACTAGTTTAATGTGATTATTTAAGTATGTTTGTATGCATATGAGTACATAAACTTTTTCCTCCCTACACCCAAGACCACGTTACGCATTCACAAACATTTTTTTTTTTTTTTTTTTTTTTTTTTTTTTGGTTCATCTTTTTACCTATTCGTAAAATTCTCATATTGAGAATATTCGCGAAATAATTTGAGTGCTCATATCATCAGGGTATAGATGGGAGAAGTAAAAAACAGTGAAAAGAGAGAGAAAAAAAAACTAAGGCAGAATAAATAAAAACTGCCTTTTAACGACATTGAGAGATCCATGGAAACACATTTCCTCAGAATGGTCATGGTAATCACACATGTTCCGTAGCATAAAGGTATGAATCGTTCCACACGTTCACATAATTTGCATTTGAATAATGTTTATAATTTGACATAAATTCAACATCATGCAAAAGATGAATATATGATTCATTCGCACAGTCCTTAACACGGCATGTTTACCTCATAACAATTGCAGGGATGCCCTTGTGCATACATTTTTATAGAAGTACACAGGTGTGCATCTTTCAAACGCATGCATGCAAAAAAAAAAAAAAAAATAAAAAAAAATACATACATATATATATATATATATATATATATATATATATACATATCACTTCTTATAGGGTTGTTGTACTTTCCCGCGCCATAGATATTCTTTTGACGCCTTATTTTTTATTTTATTTTTTTTTTTTTTTTTTCACACGTTTCACCTCATGCTCTTTCTGCTCACCTATGTTAATGCACACCATCATCCAAAAAATGCCATTCGAAAAAATGTGCATGGGGGTGTACAAAAGAAATGTGCAAAAATTGTAAGTTTCAAATTACACAGAACAGAAGCAGATGAAATGTACAACACTTGCATATTTTCGTAGACACATTTTTACAATTAATATTTTTTTTTTTTTTCCTTTTTCCTTGCAAAGAGGTTACTGGCTCGATTTTGTTTTTTCTCAAGCTTCTTTTTTTCTTTTTTCTTGCAAAGGGGTTACTTGCTTGATTTTGTTTTTTCTCAAGCTTCTTTTTTTCTTTTTTCCTCCTCTTCATGTTGTTTTAACACAAGTAAAAATGTCAAAGAGGTATGCCTTCAATACTTTTTTCATATTAACACTTACATTGCTCCTATCACAAAATGGTATGTCGATGGGAAAGGAAGATGAGCAAGATCAAGGGAAAGAACTACATCTCACAAGAATAAAAGAATCATATAGCTTCTTGGAGGCATCTTTAAACGGATTGGAGGTTAATGGAACCCATTCTAATTATGAAAATATTAAACGGAAAATATCACACGTTGATTTGAGTACTCTTCATGAGACATTAATAAAAAATTTGAAATTTGCCAAAATGGAGAATATTGTAAATTTGAAAGATGTTATTTTGAACTGTATCACCAAAACGGTAAGTGGACACTCCAAATGGGTGCTCATAAGGGCAACGCTTCGAAGATGAAAAAAAAAAGAAAAAGAAGAAAAGGAAAAAAAGGAAAAAAAAAAAAATAAGAAAGGGAAGAAAAAAAAAAAAAAAAAAAAGTGTGACACCAGCAAGTTGTACCATGCAGCCCACTACAACAGCTCGCACGCAACTGAACGAAACAGTTTTTGTCTGTGCAGAAAAATATAAATTCATTAACATTAACGAATTTAATTTGCTTATATTTTATAACTGAATTGATAACATATTTTCTCGTACCCTAAAATAATCTGGCAGATTTTACACATAACACGTGCAATGGATAGCATTCTGGAAGAAGTACTACAATATGATGAATTTTGCACAACATTAGATAAACATTTTTCATATTTATACGATAAGAACTTAACAATCAAACAAGTAGTAAAATCGTGCAATAGGATTACAAAAAAGAAACTTATGGATAATTATTTATCTTTATATAACGATGATGTTAATACAATTTTGGCTCAATTAAAAGAAAACAACATCAAATTTCAACACTTTGATCAAATTTCAAATTGCTTACATGAATTTTATAAAAAAATTACCTCCTCTTTCGATAAATATGTATATGAAACAACTTTATACAAGGAATTTATGCTAAATTTTAAAGATTCTGGTAATCCTTTAGTTCCTGTTAATAATGTTAAAACATTTCTTAAAACTCTAGACTCCAACACTCCCGAACCAGTAATATTACTTTTCTTTGATGAGCTATTTAACATTTACACTTCCAACACCTTTTCTCGTCCTTGCTTTTACGTTGAATAAAAAGAGGACCCTTCACGCTCGCGGGGCTGGGGTCTGTGCACATTTGTCCGTTTTTTTTAGTTTAACCCAATTCAGCTTAGTTTCGTTCCGCTCTGTTAAGTTCCATTCTGTGTAGTTTCACTCAGTTTAATTCCATCTGTTTAGATCGATTCAGTACGATTTAATTCAATTTAACATTTTATTTTGCAAATATTTACATGAACTGTTCAGAATTTTTTTTTTTTTTTTTTTTTTCTTTTTTTTTTTGGCTAGCTTGAAAAAGCTGGACATGTTATCGAGTTCCAAATTTAGATAAAGGTTGAAAACAAAAATATAAATACGGGAAAAAAGGGGGAATTTCTTTTTTTTTTTTTTTTTTTCTTTACACGTATTAATTGGCGCCTTTTCTTGGTACAGAAGCAGTGATGCAAATGCGTATGAACAGATGAACAGCGAATGAGCTGCACGCACTACATGTAACTGAACTTGCGTATGCCAAAGGTTTCCTCAAGCATGCGGACACTCTTCAGAATGATGTTGGAGTTTATTCTCTTCTCCAGCTGAGAGACCTTGAGGGCGCGCTGCCAGTGCTTGTTAAATAAGTAAATGGAAATAAAAAAAGATGAGACAAAAAACATTTGTGCAAATCTGCTGCTTAGGAGTTTTTTTAATAAAAGGTAAAAAAATCCATTGTTCTTTTTTTTATTATCTTGTATTTGACTAATTGCATTTGAAGCAACTTCTGTTTTGTTATTTATTATTATGTGTTGGGGTACTACCTTTGATGGACCCATTATGGAATGATTAGCTAAAACTTGTTTTTGTAAATTTACGTTCATGATTTGTAGTGCTAACACATCGTTTTTTAATTTTTTAAATTCTTCATATAAAAAGCCTTCTTCCTTTATCACTTCGTTTGTGTTTTTCACACACAAAATTTCCTCACCTTTGTGGCCATACTTCTCGTACTTTGGAAAAAAGTGTTTTAGACACCCATTCCTGTGCAGGTCGTGCATTTTGTGCTCCTGTTTGGTGTGGCTGTCGTGGTTGTTAGGGATGTCGCGATTGTTATGAATTTCGAGATTATTATGGATGTCGCGACTGTTATGGTTGCTATAATTGCTGTGGTTGTAATTGCTGCTGTTGTAATTGCAACTGTGGTTGTTGCTCTGATTCCTGCTGCCTTCTCTGTCGTAAATGGCATTTAGGTCCGAATTCTCACTTTTGATGCTGGCACTTTTCTCATTTGCAAAATTGTTATAGTAAGAGTAAATCAATTGTTCATTTAATTCTCTTTTCCCATGGCTAGTGGTGTGTGTGCTGTTGCTAAATGAGTTTGGAGATGTCCCCAAGTCCATCCCGTTTCTCCTTTCATCTTTTTTGTAATTAGAGCAATTTCTGTAAATACTGTTAAAAATTCCGTTATTCAGCAGATTAAATTTAGTCCTTATAAAATAGTCGTGCATTAGAGATTTTTTGCAGACACCGCTGGTTGTCAATTGGAAATGTGTGCTTCGGTGATTGTCAAATGGAAATGTAATTCTGTGGTTGTGGCAAGGGGTTAAGGGAAAAAAATATATAGGGGAAAATAGAAAAAAATTGGGAAAAATTGGGAAAAATTAGGAAAAATTGGGAAAAATTGGGAAAAATTAGGAAAAATTGGGAAAAATTAGGAAAAATTAGGAAAAATTGGGAAAAATTAGGAAAAATTGGGAAAAATTAGGAAAAATTAGGAAAAATTGGGAAAAATTGGGAAAAATAGGAAAAAAGAAATGCGTCAAATGTAGCAGAAGGAACTGGTAAAATGTGACCCGGCCGTTAAACAAAGCCGTGCCAAAAAAAAAAAAAAAAAAAATGAAAAAAAAAAAAAAAGAACTAAAATGAAAAACTAAAATTAACAGCCACAAGTAATGCACAAAAAAAAGAAAAAAAATGAAATGAAAAGCTAAGGTGAAAAAGTAAAAGTTAAAGCTAAAATTAATAACCCCAAATTACACACACACAGAAAAAATTATCACTAACAAAAGAGTAAAATATATGCAGCGCTGGACAAATCTGATGGATGACAACTGTAGATCCTCCCAACCTACTGATCCAACACCACAAAAAAAAAAAAAAAAAAAAAAAAAAAAAAACAGGGGGAAATTTATAGAAACGAATTGAGCCCAAATAATATCCCAAAATTTTACTACGAAAAAAAAAAAAATTTATTGAGGAGGTACACACACATTGGGAAAATGGAAAGAAGTATGCTTTTCAAAAAAAAAAAAAAAAAAAGAAACAAAAACAAAAAGGAAAAGAAGTAAAATAATATATGGAACCCGAACAAGCCACCTCACCTGACAAACCATCGAACGAACTTAAGTGAAACAAAAAATAACTTTTGCATCAAGACCACTTAAAATTAACCTCTATAGTTGCAAAGTTTATGCGTCCGTGAGGAAATCATAGAAATTCACTAAGCTTTGAGGAAAGTGATTCTATAACTAAAAACGGGTGTGTGTGTTTGTGTGTGTGTGTGCTAGTTGCAATGCGATAAGTTTTATCCCATAAAGGTTTAATCCTGGATGGAGTAGATGAATGTGGTTGTGTGAGAAGAACTCTTCACAAATGTGTAAGTGGAAGATAATGCTACTATGCCATGTACGAATCTGTGCAACTGTTAGAAAATATGCACATATGCATATATACAGTTACACACACGTTGGTATACCCTCATTTGAGATAACGCAATAATAATGATGAGAGGTAGAATTACAAACATTTAACTTTTTTCTCAAAGGACGATGGGAGTAACTTTTCAAAATAGAGAAGTTACATACGAGGGCGTGCAAAGTCGCTACCAGGTAGCGATAATGGCTTAAAAAAAAAAAAAAAAAAAAAAAGGGAAGAACGGACGAAAGGAAGAAAAAAAGATAGAGAGAACGCCCTTGATTACGCTGATATCGACGATGCTGATGATACAGATTTTATGCATGCAAGATAAATGCCAATTTCCTTTCTTTCGGGTGCAAAGACGAATAAAAAAACAAAAAAAGAAATGGGAAAAAAGGGAGGATGGAAAAAATTTACCCATCTCCCTCCTCTCCTCTCAAAAAATCCATTATTTGTCCCACCCATCCCCATGGGCTTTACCACGCTGCGTTATGAGTGTGTGACAAATATGACACATAAAATTGTAAGTACAAAATGGAAAATATTTTAAGCTGAGAAATGTATTATATAGTGGAGAAATTTCATCACACTATTCTTCCGCCTTTGATGCACATATGTTCGTTCATAAATATATGGGCATTCAAGGAATGTTTTCTGTAAAAAAATTAAGGTCTATTTTGTCAATTGAATAAAAAAAAAAAAAATATGCACATGTAAATATACAAACACGCATGGACATATATATATATATATATATATATATCCATGCATGTGTGTAGCTGTATAACTCATTTCGCACACAGATTGGTGTAATGACCCAGTGTTCCTTTGTAAATGTTCATTTCCATTTCCTCAGCTTAAAAAAAAAAAAAAAAAAAAAAAAAAAACATCATGAAACGGTTTTCCTCTCTTGTGTGGTTCAAAAAGTAAATCAGGTTAGAGAAGCAAAAATTACACAAAGTTTCTCTACTCTACACCCGATCATTTTAATCACTTAAAAAATTTCCCACCATGTGGAGAGAAGTTTCACCCCTATCCCAATTATCCCAATTGTGCATCAAAGAATATTTTAGCAATGAGATATGTGCACCTTTATATATACCATGAAACGGGAGGAGCGTGGGTAAGTAGCAACGAAAACTGTTTTGACGATACATTTGCATAAAAAAATGAAAAAAAACAAAAAAATGAAAAATGGGAAAAAAAAAAAAAAAAAATGGAAAAAAAAAAGTAAAAAAACTATTGTTTCTCCTAGTTAATAAAATGAATCGAATCAACCTTTTGCTCCCTTTTCACCACAATTAGAACCAGAAAAAGAGTAGTACTTATATATACATATATGTATGCGTATACACCCATGTAGCACTGTAGTGTCGTAAGCAGCTTACGATGCTCCTGCAAAGGTTCTCTCTTCAGCTGCTTAACTTAAAATAAAAAAAAAAAAAAAAAAAAACAGGATGATCCCATTGCGTATGTCCAAATTTTTAAATCACCAAAAATGGAAAAATGACAAGAGTTCATTGTCACGTATGAAATGTGGATTTCCTTTACCAGTTCGTGGAAATATAACAATACAAAGTATGTGCACCACATCAAGGGGCAAATACCTATTCAAGAATCATAAATTAAACAAGATATTTGTTCACGTAATACAGAAAAAAGAAATGTGCACAAGCAAGACATATAATGGAATACATTCGTTATGTTACAAGTTTGGGATGAATAATAAGAACACATTTCAAAAAAGTAATTTTTGTGTGGAAGAAAGAAATGGTCTTCTTAATTTGTTTAATATATTTAAAAGATTCAAAATGGTAAAGACTAGTTCTTACAGAAGAAAAAGTAGAAGTTCACCAAATGGACAAGGGCAGAAAGCTAAAATTGGAGTAAAACGGTTAAGTGCTGAATATGTGAAAACTGGGCAACTTCTCGTAAAACAAAGAAAAATTATTGCATTCAATTATGAAAAAAAAACAAGAAAAAGAAATTTCAAATATTATCCTGGAGAACATGTCAAAGTTACAAAAAATACTAGTTTAGTAGCTCTTACAAATGGTAGGGTCAAATATACTTTTCATGTTTTACAAAATGTTTTAATTGTTAATGTACTCCCAGAAGAGTTAGACGAATTGAAAGAAGAAGATTTATATCGATATAGAACAGAACATGTAAAGTCTTTTGAAGAAAATAGAAGTTTAATTTATCTTAGAATGAAACATGTTTTTGCATTCCCTAAAAATAAACATACTCAGTTTATCAAGCCACCATTAAAACCTCAATTTTTAACAAAATATGACATCTATGATAATCCGACACTTCGAGAGGTTCCTGTATTGTATCACAAGAGGGAATAAGTTTGTTTCTCAGAAAAAAAAAAAAAAAAAAAAAACAAGTCTGTCAAAGTGTGGGTGTAATTGAGTGAAAATAACTGGAAATGACTGAAAATGAGTGGAAGTCTGTCAAAATCAATCAAACTGCTTTCATGGAATACCTCCATTTATTCCTTTTATTATTTCTCATGGAGAGAGGTACCGATTCATCTTCCCTTGTCCTTTTCCCTTTTGTCCTCTGTCCTCTTTCCTCCTTTTTTTCTCTTTTTTTTTTTTTTTTTTACGAATTTGTTAGAGTAGGAATGATGCTACGTCGGCTATCTATTTTGTGACACATCACATATACATAGCAACATCATACAAACGGAATGGCATGGCCATGTGTGTATACCTCCTTGTTCCTCAGCGTTGTACACAATGTTAGAAGAACTTTAAACATGATAGGGAGGCTGATGGTGATGGTAATTGTGGTCGCGATTGTGATGGCTATTGTGTGATAGCAATTGTGATAGCAATTGTGATATCGATTGTGATAGCAATTGTGATAGCGATTGTGATAGCGATTGTGATAGCGATTGTGACAGCAATTGTGATAGCGATTGTGATAGCAATTGTGATAGCGATTGTGATAGCAATTGTGGGTGATAGGTCAGCACCCTGGGGAACTCCCATTCCCAGATGCTTCTCCATTTTAATGGCATACCTTGCAGTGGTATGAGTCGTCTTCCTAAATCTCCTCAAACATAAGGGAATAATACTGATTGAAGAAAAATGTGTTGTAGATGCAACCCAGTCGTCCGTTTTGAAATTCTCGGATGTGCATAATTAAATGGTTTCTGTTAATATAAAAGTTCTTTATAAAGGTTTGTGCGTCTGGTGATGTTAGTAGAATTATATTTTTTTCAAGTGCCTTGGAGTGTTGATCAAATGTGCGAGAGAAATTCACCAGCTCTTGTTGTGTGTCGGATTCATACGATATGAATGAATCCATGATTCGTTTAAATACATTAACAAGGTTGATAATGGTAAAAATTGTTTTTCTCAAAGATAGAAAATGGGAGGATAAAAAGGAGAAATTAAATATGTGTTCTACTAGCGATTTGTGAAATTCGATTAAATAAGAAAAGCTAGATATTTTTAAAACATTTTGGAAAAAAAAAAAATAATTTCTATAAATATTCATATTCATTACATAGTCGTAAATATATCTAACTATTAGATGCATCTCATTTCTTATTTTGTTAAAATCGTTCAGGATATCATTCAGTATTTTTGCATTTTCCATAAATTTATTTACATTTCTGTTACATCTGAAATGCTTATCCAACCCAATGTTGAAAAATCTACCATTCGTCAGAAACACGCTACAAATTTTCCTCGTCAGGGAGCAATTTAGATTGACATCACTAGCACGACGAGGGACATCTCCAGCAGAGTTCATCACACCCCTTTCTATTTTCTCCTCATCACTGTTTTCACCTGAACCCATCCCATTCGCTATATCATTAATCAAATGTATATACTTAAAATCTTGCGAACGGAAAAAAGTAGAACCCCCTACTGCTTCTGTCTCCTGCTTGTACTGATAAACGAGAGGTTTAGTTAGTTTGCAAAAAATCCAAAAAATGTGATTTAAACTTTGGTGCGTAAAATAAAGAAGAGATGTTAATTTGTACACGCTTCTGTAGCAATTTATGACACGTTCATCAAAAAATATTCTTAACATATGTGGAATTTGAATGCGTATATCGATATAATTAAACATTGTTGAAATGTCTGTACTTGTGAAAAAATCCTTATCCAAATGATAGTGAAGAAGTTTCTTTTGCCAAAAATGAGTTTGAACATTTTTTGTTGTATGTGTATTATTTTGATGAATATTATATGAACGCAAACAATTGTAACTATTATCACTCTTCTTTCCACATAACAAGAGAGACAATGTTTTATAATTCTCCTCCTTTTCATCAAATAGATAGCATTTCAAGAGACATAGGAATGGTAGCAAATTCTTCTTGATTAAAAAACAATATACGAGAATTTTATTTATATTATCATAATGATTCTTAATTGGGATGTATATATTTCTGTATATAAAATAGTTAATACTTTTAATTTCAAACTTTTCTTGATCCTCCTCCATTCCCATCTCTTCCCCCACTGCCATCTGCTCCCTCTCATCATCATTACAGAATTCGTTCGATCTGGAGATAGTGAAATTTCTTGATTTTTCTGAATTTCTCCATTTTTTATATCCTCTGGTAGCTCTCTTCACATATACAACACTGCTAATATTATCCTTATGACCTTTGTAATTTATACAGAACCTTAGCAATTCTCTTCTATCGTAATTATTTTCATCTTTTCCAAAAAGTGTATGTTCAAATGGGTTCAATACACATCTGCTTTCTTCATTCATTTTTATTTCATTCTGAGTAAAACCTACTTGATCATGTCGTTTGATATATTTTAAATTCCCGTTCTTTTTCTTCCATGCCTTACCATAATAATGTCTCGTTGATAAATGAGTATGTAAAGAAGAAGCGGTTGTGTTATCAAAACTTGTGTATAGTGTATCCTCACTGCCACTATTACTGCTGCTTGTTGGTGAAGATTCATCATGTGAATGTTTCTTCAGTTTCAAATTGTGTTTTTTACCCATCTGCCATGCTTCCATTGATTTCATGCTTTGCATAAAAGTTTTTTTAAATCTGTCTGTCGTGGCAGCAGGAGTACCCTGTCTCGATGAGACCCTCTCGTCTGTGCATCGTACTGTATGCCCAAGAATATTCATCTTCTCCATCTTCTCCATCTTCATCTTCTCCATCTTCTCCATCTTCATCTTCTCCATCTTCTCCATCTTCATCTTCTCCATCTTCTCCATCTCCATCTTCTCCATCTTCTTCTTCTGCTGCTTCTGATGACAAGAGCGCAGTGCCGCTGCTTCATTTCTAAAACTAGACATGTTGAAATTCCTTTTCTGCTTGTTCCTTCTCTTACAAATTATGCTTAATTTGTTGAATCCAACGAACCTGCATCTATTGGGATCATTATGATTTTTCTTCATACTTTCTTCTGCATTGTTTTTTTTCAGAAATTTTGATTTTTCATTGTAATCACTATAGCTAGCACTACAGCCAGCACTATTCCCATCATCACTGTTTCTTCCTTGTGGAGTTTGAAGAACATTGTGTTCATTCAGTGTTTTCAAAAATGTAAAAAAATATTTCTGTAACCTCTTATCGATTTTTCTCTTCGTCTTTGTAAAAACGAGCTTTGAATATTCTTCATTGTTCCAGTGTTCAATAAAGACATTTACAAAATTTTCATTTTTTCTACGAACATTTTGCTGATGCAAATTTGTATACAAATTTAAAAAATTTTCTATATTCATGATTGATGAGGTGCATAACAACTTTGAAATGCTTGTCCCGTTTAGGTATACCCTTTGGTTTGAGGTTTTCTCAATTCCTTCTCTTTTTTTTTTCCTTTTTCTTTCATTTTCTAAATTTCTCAAATTTTCTACATTTCCCACTTTGGGTATGGCCATGTAAAAGTCTTCTTCACTGGATGCTCTTAAAATCCTCGACAGCAGACCTAAACGAGGGGTGGTGGTGGAATACTGTTAAAAAAAGGAAGAAAAAAAAAAGACGCAGCAAAAACAGGTGCAATAAAATAGACACAATAAAATAGACACAATAAAGCAGGTGCAATAAAACAGGTGCAATAAAACAGGTGCAATAAAACAGATGCAATAAAACAGGTGCAATAAAACAGATGCAATAAAATAGACGCAGCAAACCAGAACATTATCACAGAGATCACATTTAGCTGCACGTGGGAATGTGGAAAGTGAAAAAAAAAATAGTCCTCCATCCACGCTTTGCTTAATCGACATGTACGAAGCACTAGAAAATATCTTACCAGCATCGTACGTCATCTCGATGAAATATTTCAAAAAAACGGGAAGAGAAAGGAATGTGTCTGACATTAGAAACTCCCTGTTGTAGTATCTGGTCCCATTTTGAAAAACAAAAAAGAATTGATGGGCAACTTCCTTACATATCATATATTCAAAGTGATAGTCTTTGTTAATTCCAAGATAGACGTATGCATACAGGAAATGCAAAAGTGGTTTTATTATTTTCAAAAAAATGTATCTACATAGATTTTCCAGGTTTGTTTTCCTCACACTAACGAACAGATAATAGTACTTATACACATAACTAAGCAATTCACTTCCTCTTGGAAAAATAAATAAGTTCTTATCATAACCGTGTGAAAGATCTCTGATAGATGCATTGGAAAAGATGTTATTACTCTCAGCAGTGGTGATTGTCTTCAACCCGTGTACTTGAGCCTCCTTACAGTAGTGTTCGTGTGAAAGACCATAAATAATATTCAAAAAATAATTATATTCAATTATCTGTTTCTCGTTTGAAATTCCATTTTCTCCTCCCTCCTCCTCTACATTAGCAGTAGTGGTGTTGGTCGAAGTTTGAAGTTCATAAAATGGAAAAAATTTTTTTTTTAAAATTTCGTGCTTATCAGATGCATAACTTGAACAAAGAAATGCCAGGAATTCAATGCACTCCAAGTGACTTTTAACCGTATTATATATTTCTAAGGGAGTGCTTAAACATTCATGTATAATTATTTTTCTTATATTTTCATCATAAAAGTGCATATAATTTGCAACTGCATTGACAAACGTGATGAATACCTCTCCTAATGGAATTACGTCATAATCGGGCTGTGTCCAACAATTATGCATTTCTTTTTTTTTTTTCACATTTTCTTTTGGTTCGTTTGTCTTTTTCTCTTTCCCCGTTTTATTTATTCTGCTCATGCTGCTTACTTTGCTCATGCTTCTTGTTCTGCTTATGCTGCTTACTTTGCTTACTTTGCTTATTCTGTTTATTCTTTTTTTAAATAAACTGTTTTGCGTCTCTGCATTCTGCTCACCCCAACATTTGACATCCATCGTTATGTTTTTTTCATTACTCCAAACAGCACCCGGGTTTTTGACTCTACTTTTAGTAATATGTTTCTTTTTGCTACCCTTATGAAACATAATTTTTGAAAAGACTCGCACAAATAGTTTAATGTATCTCACGATTGTTCCAATTTTCGAAAAATAAAAAAAGAGATGAATATATTTTTGATAAAATGGGGAAGAAAAATAATTCTGAAATGGTTTAAAGTGAAGCCGTAAAAGTTTTTCATTTTTTTTCTTTTTCCAAAAAACTATTTCGTGATTGACACAAATGACATTTTTACTAATGTATATATCACCTCTTTTTAATTTTTTCAGTTTTTCTTTCAACGTGATTGATCCATTTTGTTTTGTGAAAGCTTTACTTCTTTTCATTTCTCGCACCCTCCTCCCGTCCCGAGTCTCTGTAGTGGTGCCACCGGCAGTGGCCCTCGAGGTAGTAGTGTTAATAGCAATGGTAGTGGAGTACTTCGTCTTATGATGAACTGAGAACATGTCACTTTCATGCCCTAGTAGACATGCCATGATTTGATATTTCCACGTGTTGATCATGTTCTGATTCTGCTTTGAATTGTTATTATTAAAAACAAGATGAAAAAAACGTTTCATAATAAAAAATCGATACTCTTCAATTCTGTTATTTATACTATAAATAATATTTTTGTGTAGGGTAACATAAATGCTATTAATGATACTTAAAAAATTCCTTTGGTATTTCCCTTTCTTTCTTTTTTTTAATATTTCTCTTTCTATTTTTTTCAAAGCAGATGTGTCGTTTGTATAAGATTTATTCCACAGGTAGCGACCCAACCTTTGATTGTCCTTCCTCTCGCTATTCTTACCAATGTTATTACTACAACTATTAAAGCAGTTTTTAGCACTATCATTTGCACTATCATTACTCCTATCACTGTCTCCTTGAACATTCAGATGATTAAAGAGATGCTTCCACCACTCACTATAAATTGATTTTCCCTCGAGTCTCCACTTTACACATGAGTATGAAGCAACGGTTCCACCTTTCATATCCAGTTCTTCTTCATCTTGATAAATGTCTTCACCTCTAAAGGAAAATATTTCCTTTGGTCGGAGCATTCCCATGGATGTGTTGTTTCTTTGGGTAAACGTACTTTCCATGAGCACCTCACACTCGTTAGAATCATTCAGGGTATTACAATTCCAACCATTTTCTCTTAATTTTTTTCCACCACACATGTGATAATTTCCTCTTATCGAATCCATGACGAGAACCTTCTCTCCACCGATAGACGCCTTACCTTTATGAACAAAGGAAAATAAACTCTTTCTATGTTCATCCAGAAATGCATCATTCACATTTGCACTAAAGAGACTGAAGTTGTAATAACAAGCTTCCTTTATGCTTTGCTGAGATTCATGAAAGCTCATGTCTTGCTGTCGCAACTGTGGTGCATCTATTCGATTTGAAAAACGTGTGAAGATACTTTTATTTTGGTATAGAGATATCATGTTATGTTCCTTTGAATGTGTCAAATGGTTGAAATTTCCATCATGTGTCTGAATTGATGTATCATTTATGTCTAATCCTGCGTTCTGATCACGTAAGGGAAGTGTATTCCAAAGATGGAAATTTCCATGAATGTTATTAAAAATTTCATTATTTCGAATATCATCAATATGCGTATTCACATTTGTTATTTCTCTGCCGCTGGGAGATGTCATAAAAATATGCTTACCACACATAAATGTTAAACTATTAAATTCATTTAACTTGGAAATTAACTTAGATGTAAATTCATCCTGAAACGACAAAATAAAATTACACAAAGTGTCATATAAATTTGCATTCAAATCATAATTTAGTTCATTGAAATTTATTTTTATTTGCAACCGAAATAACAAGTTGTATGACAATGTGGAAATGTTTCTAATTCGTATATTTTCCTCAAACTCGTTTAAATTATACATGTTTTTTTGTTCTTTTCTTTTTTTTTCCTCTTTCATATTCGTTCGTCCAGTATGTCCAATTTGAATGAATGAATTTTCCTTGTCTGCTTCCATTTCATTAACACTGTTATATATTGTAATGTCAGACAATTTCAGCAACAAATTCAGGAATTTCTCATGACATGTGAATTCTAAAACAGTTTCATTCTTTATTAACAACTTGTCTAAGGAAAAATAAGATTTTATATACAAATACAAGCATATGAAATCCAAATAATACTTCCTATCTAGGAGTAAAAAGCAAAAGTACATAATCGATGTGTATAATTGCGAGAATTGGAAATCTCTTGAGTGAATATTTCCTAGATGAAAAAAATCTTCCCTGGGATTTCCTCTCTCCTCATGTTCATTCTCTGTCAATCCATATTCTATATTACCACTTTTGTCTTGGTCATTTCCAATCCATTTGTAATGTCTTTTCAATACTTCGTAAAAATTTGATACTCCCACACCTGCACACACATCGAATGCATATTGTTCATCTACATACTTCAAGTCATACTTATACTTATAATTGTAAAAAGTGTTGAAAAGTAAAAAATTTACTTTTGTCTTATACAGTATGTTAGTGTATATAAACTTTTTTATTTCCAATTTTATTCTTTTTAATATTTTTTCATTCCTTATAGGATACGAGTTAGTTTCAATGCAACACCACTCATCGATTATTTTCACTAATGATAGATTAGATGAATCAATTTTCCCATTTTTATTCCTTAACCGGCTATTCCTCTCTTTCTTAATGCACATATTCGGGTTCATCATTCCTTATGTCATTCAAGCGATCCTGGAACATCAGTTCGAATGAGCGAACGTTTTACATCTAATGGGACAGAGCATCAGATCTTGAGAATTCTAGATCCTCCAATCTGATCTTATCAAATATGCTTAATTTCGTTTGTACATGTGCTCAAGGGGCGAAGCGGTGAAATGGGCCGAGGTGAAATAACGAAATAGTATAATAGTATAATATTATGATAAACTAAAAATTAACATTTCACGTCTTTTCCCATGCATGTACCAACTGCATTTTGAAGAAACTTCCCTTGTGGAAATTTAAAATAAAAAGAGTGACAAAAGGAGAAAGGTGCATGTCCAATTTTGCACAATAAAATCTATGCTATGACGACTTACAAATTAAAGCGGGGGAGGGGAGGGGGAGAAATATTCGTGAAGAAGACTCAATTTTTTTTTTTTTTTTCTCTCTTCTTGCTACTTAACAAATACTTTAAATAAAACCATCAAATGGATATTCATTAAAACATGTATATTACAAATATACATATGCGAGTGCATGTCATATGTGTGTATGTATAGATATAAACCAACGCTCCTTCGGTTCTACCAAGCCGGTTAAATTTTCACTTACAAAAATAAAGTAAACCTATGTGGAAGATAAAAAAAAAAAAAAAAAAAAAAAAAACATGGTGGGGGAGAGAGCAGTAGGATCGAATCTAGTAATAGCAATACAAGTACTACTGGTATTTTTTACCAAATCGTGTTCTCACTTTTTTTTTTTTTTTTTTTTTTTATTTATTACACATGTGTGCATAAGTATATGTACAAGTGCATGTATTTATTCTTTTGCTTTTTTTTTCTTCATTTTTGCTCCCTACATATCAATTTTGTGGGAAGAGAAAAATATGAATAGTTTGAATTATGAATCATCACAAAATGGGAGGGAAATACTCTCCTTTGCGTTCCACGTTATGAGCCCAAGGCGTCAAACTAATGACGAGATTATTTTTTGACGCGATTATTTTTTGACGAGATTATTTTTTGACGAGTTCATTTTTTGACGAGTTCATTTTTTGATGAGATTACTCTGTATCCCCGTTCGTACGTAATCATATGCACACATAACTTTGCATGTACGAGTGTATGTATGTATGTATGCATGCATTTTGGAACACACATAATGAAGCAAAATTCACAGCTTGCATTTCCCAACCATGAACTCTGAACCATGAACCTAAATCCACACACACATATACTCCCCTTGCTATTCTGCCATATTTTAAACTAATTGCATGATTGCAACTCATTTCCAAAGTATATTTCCATTTAGACACCTTCAGATGAAAGGATTGATCTTACTGTTCATGTTATTTTATGGATCTAGGGGTGAGGACAAAAATATATTTTCCTTTTTCCTTCCCTCTCCCCCTTTTTTTTTTTTTTTTTTTTTTTGGGAAGTCATTAATTCTCATTAAAAAAAAAAATTAATCCCAAGAATTAACTTGCGTGTGAATAATGGCTGTCTTTATTTTAGCTTATCCGATAAGAGAGGGAAATCAAGTTACACTTATCGTGACCTTTTTGTTTTTGGGCAATACATGTGAAATGTTAATATGTGTATATGTTTGTATATGTGTGTATATGTGCGTATGTGTGTGTATATGCATGTATGTATATTTGTGCATGTGCGAGGAATACACTAATGCACAATTTCTCCCGTGCCCCTCTTGCATACTTAACCACTTCCACCCTTCTCACCCAATTCGAAGGAGTGACAAATAGACTTAAAGGAAGCAACGCCATGGCATTCTGGAAAGCACAGTGCTTCCTCCTCAAGAGGAACATACAAGTAAGGCTTCAAAAATGGAGTGAACTTCGAGTGTCGAAATTGTTGAATAGTGGGAAGTGATACGAACAACGGAGCGAAAAATGAAACAAAAAGTGAAACAAAAAGTGAAATGAAAAACGAGAGCGCGAATGCATGTGCATGCGAACGAATAACACTATTAAGTTACATACCCAACTATGGAATTTTTTTTTTCTTTTTTTCTTTTTTTTTTTATAAGCACTTTTCACACACGATTTTTAACATACACAATTTGGTGTGCTATTAATTTTTGTAGAGCGGGGGATGCGGTGGAAAAAAAAAAAAAAAAAATTTCTCATGTGATTCTACTCCTGCTGTCCTCTCTTGCACTTGAATTTGTTTTCACGTTTGTATTTATTTTTATCTTTTCTTTTATTTTTGATATTCTGTTAACCCTTATTTTTACTTTTACCTTAGTCTCCATCCCCAAGTTAAGGGAAAAAAAAAAAAAAAAAAAAAGGGATGGAAAATGGGAGTAATAAACTCCTTAGTGTAAAATTAAAACAAGTACTACAAGTGTGAAATTAAATGTTCCATTACAGTGTGTAAAGAGCAAAATATTTATGAGGACTAAAAAGGAAAATGTGCATTTTTTTTTTTTTTTTTTTTTTTTTCTTTTTCGTTTTCTAAATTTTGGAATGTAAATGCCTTTATTTCCATTCTGGATTGACATGTGTAAGTGATGTATGCGTGCAGCATACGTGAGCCAATGTATATGTACTTGTATGCATATGTACATGTATGAATGCCATGCTGTGGTTTTTTTTTTTTTTTTTTTTGAGAACAATATATATACAATCTGCACGACATATGTGGCACACTAGTTAGGATGAGCACAGCAAAAAAATAAAATAAAAATAATAATTAGCCAAATTTGTGTTTGCGGAATCAGGTTATTAAGCCGTGCATATACTGAGTCCTACTTTTCTATACAAAAACGGGGGAACCACATCTTTGTGTTCCTCTTAGGATGTTGTGTATGCATGTACGAGACGAAATTTTAAATAAGTGAAAATATTTGCAGTGAGAAAAAAAAATGGAGCAAAATAAAGCAAAGTAAAATATAAAATGAGTGTGAGAACGCGAAACAAATTGGCGACACAGAGGAAAAACACTTTAATGCTTAATATCCGGTGTTCCAAAAACACACCCCTGGGCGTAAGCACGTTTTTACGTGTACCCATAGAGTATGCTTACAAGTGATTTTCATGTGAAAAATTCCTTAATTCATAGGTGTAAATACACGTGTATACATATATATATATATATTTTTCCCCTCCCACAATTTATTCGCAAAAGCAGGAATATCTACAACTGTCCGCAGTTTTTTTTTTTTTTCCGTTCATATTTCGTTCACCTTTCATTCGCCTTTCATTCGCCTTTCGCTCATTTTTCTCTCATTTTTCGCACATTTTTCGCACATTTTTCGTTCATCTTTGACTCATTTTTCTACTTTTAATTTCTTCTCGCGCCCCTTATTTTGTGCACGTGATACACACACATGTTATCTGCGGAAAACGTATTGTATTTGTTGGAGCGCATCGTGTCGCTCGATATACATGCTCTTTTGTACCTAACTATGCTTGGACAAGTACCAGTGGTTTAAAGTGAAATAAATAGGGGAAAACGAAAGAGAAGTTCTGCAAGTAAAAACCTTCGTAGTTGTAGCAGCAGTTGTCGTTATCAATGCACTCTCTCTCCCTCCCCCCCAACCCCCTCTCTACATTTTTGTTTAATGATTCTTTATGCCCATATACGTATGTAGACAGATGTAGTTTGCTTTTTATGTGAATACGTTTGCAATTTATTTTTTTATGTCCATGCATCCAACAAATATACCTTCTCGGAACTGCTACACATGCAAAAGAGTGAGACCTTGGCACATACTGCTGCATCATCGATAAAGTGTAAGTTTACCTGCACATGTGCGAATTCATATATACATATTGATAAATGCAAGAATTCTCCTTCAGAGGATGTATATATATATATATATATATATATATATATATATATATATATATATATATATATATGCATATATCCATGTGTTCCCTTGCCCTCGTTTTGAGATACAAGCATTGTGATAATACTTGATGCGGAGTTTGTAAATAGGAATTATCTTTTTCCTTTATTTGGGAATTATAAAAAAAAAAAAAAAAAAAAAAAAAAATATTTGAAAAAATAGCTAGCTATAGTGCAAGCAACCATTTTTTTCATCTACATTCACCTGAACAGTTCAGAAAAAAAAAAAAAAAAAAATCCAATTTGTGCTCCCCGTCCCTCACCTAAAGACATATAGACACAGACAAGCATCTACATGTGCACACCATAATCTGCACGTTCATCCCTCCTTTTCAGAGAAATATAGACGTCCGACATTTCAGCAAAAGAAAAATGAGTAGAGATGTGATAACCCCAAGTAATGGCGAAATGCCAGGAAGGGAGAAAACAAATGAATATCATGTTGAAACAAATAAAGAGCTCCAAGTAAATTTAAATTTTCATAATAATAATATAATTTCAAATATATTTTCGAATTTAAGTTTATTCGATCATATTTCTAACATTTTTACAATTAATAAAAAGACATATATGTTAAAATATTGTAATAAGTTGAATGAAGATAATTTTTATATTTCTTATTTTCAAAAAATAAATGACAAATTTATGCAAATATCACCATGGCATGACATTGATTTGATGAATGAAGATGGCACATATAACATGATAGTCGAAATAACAAAATATAATTATATAAAATTGGAAATACAGTTAACAGAAAATTTTAATGTAATTAAGCAAGACACGAAAAAGGGAAAATTAAGATATTACCATAACTCAATTTATTGGAATTATGGTGCATTACCCAGAACATATGAGTACCCGAAGCACATTTATAGCATTCGAACTAAGGATAATAACGATTGGTTTTTCACAGGAGACGACGATCCGCTCGATGTAGTAGACATAGGACACAACTGTCTCAAGATGGGGCAGATTGTTCCCGTAAAGGTAGGTTCCTTCCATACGCACTGACTTATTTGTACATCCGCACGTGTGCAAATCCTTATATTCGCCAATATTTTATTCCTCTCCATATGTCTCCTTTTTCATTTTTTTTTTTTTTTTTTTTTTTTTTTTTGGGTGGGTGGAACCAGATTCTGGGAGCGTTTACGCTGATTGATGAGGGACAACTGGACTGGAAAATCATCGCCATAAATGTTAGTAAAAATAAAATATATTTAAAATACTTTTTCCATGATGCAAGTTACTTCTTCACGAGTTGCATATTTTCGATGCCCCCTTTTTTTCTCGTGATCACGTTAACACGTGCTTATACAAACGAACCAGTTAGCCAACTAGTTAACTAACTAGCTAACTAACTAGCTAACTAACTAACTAACAAATCGCCCCCCGCTCCACCTTTGCAGAAACACGACAAACACTTCGATGAAGTGAATTCATTGGATGATGTTGAGAAATACTATCCCCACACACTGAACTTACTGCTGGAGTGGTTTCGTTCATACAAAATGGCAGAGTCCAAAAAATTAAATATCATATCGAAAAAATTGTATACCAGAAAAGAGAGTGAAGATTTAATCAAAAAGACACACGAATATTACTTAGAATTTGTGCGTGATTTAAAGCAGTACGAATCTGATCGAATTAGTGAAAGTACATGTGAAGTTAGCACTAAACAGCCATCAATTTGTAGTCAAATCAGTTTCGGCAATTTTCCAATCAAGACACAAGACGATTCTCTGCATAATACACTTCTGCAGGATATTAAAATTTCATACCATATGCCAGACCCAATGTACACTCCAAATGAACACATATGGATCCCCTAAACTGTGGATCCCCTTTTCCTATCGAATGTCAAGCTGGAGAGACGATCAATGGGCGATCCCACATGTTAATGGTTTTATTTGCCACATTAGTGGTTTCGATTTCGGTTGCACTTGCCACGTTTGCGGGTTTCGATTTCGGTTGCACTTGCCACGTTTGCGGGTTTCGATTTCGGTTGCACTTGCCACGTTTGCGGGTTTCGATTTCGGTTGCATTTGTTGTTGGCTTAATGGCTGAGCTCGTGTGTGATGGCCCTCGAGGGGGACATGCAAAAGTGGGCCCCCAAAATTTGACACACCTCTCCCAAGTTTCTAACGGGCGTGATCATTTGCATTTCCCTGTCATGGTCATACTTTAATTCGATATTGCACACGTAGATACGTTCAAATTAATTTGACTTTTTTGTTTTTACCAACTATTCACTCATTTCTATTTAAAAAAATTCCTCCTCCCCAAGAAAAAAAAAAAAAAAAAAAAACTCGAAACTGTTAAGATATTCTTCCATAATAATATTAATACTATTAATATTTAAAAAAAAAAAAAAAAAAAAAAAAAATGCAAAACTTAGTTGACCGATGGTCACCACTTTTAATGGTCTATGTGCGCACTTATGGAGTACGTCCAGCAGGGATAATCTCCACCGTTTTTTTTTTTTTTTTTTTTATTTATCTATCTACTACCTATGTACTACCTATCTATTATATGTCTACTACCTATCTACTATCTATTTACTACCTATCTACTACCTATCTACTATCTATTTACTACCTATCTACTACCTATCTACTATCTATTTACTACCTATCTACTACCTATCTACTATCTATTTACTACCTATCTACTACCTATCTACTATCTATTTACTACCTATCTACTACCTATCTACTATCTATTTACTACCTATCTACTATCTATCTTCCGTGTGTGTGCACGCACGAAGTTGCTCTTTTCTTCCTCTGCGCGGAACACTCAAGATGCTTTAAATATAGATCCCCACATATACCTGTGATTATTATCTTTGTAAATGTTGTATATTAAACAATATTCTCTTTTCATCATTTTTTGAATTTGGTTATCATCAGAATAAGTGATATCATATAGAGGGAATTCGTCACTCTTTTTATTTTGATTCACAAGTTCTATCTCATTTGTATTATGAGATTTGGTGTCCCAAGCAGTTTCATTATCACTCAGAGACCATATCGAGTCTGAGCTATTAACCGGATGGTTGAAAAAATCCTTAATAATGGTATGATTACATATTGAAAGAAAAAAGAAATGGTTATCCATGTCGATTACAATGTCTTTTTTAGTAACATATGGTCGTAAGGGAAAATATAAAACAAATCCATAAATATTTTCTTTCCACATATAATATTTTGCTCTCCCTTCAATTTGTTCACCAATGTCATACCCTTTTAAACTTTGCTTCTTTTTAATATTATCTGTATATCCTCTACTGAATTTATTTTCACTTATTTCTTTTTTGAAATTATCAAAGTATTTTTCTGTTCTTTCTTTTCCTCCTTCGTCTAGCTGTGGATACAAATCTCTCCACATATAATGGTTTGGATCATACTTCATTTCATTTTCTAATTTCTTCATCAAAAATTCGCTCTTTATTCCAATGTCCTTTTTCGATTCATATTCTTCCGTTCTTCTCATTATTTCTATTCTGCGCTCGGAATGGGCAACCTCTCCCTTTGCACCAGCCGCTAAGTTTTGAGCATCCTCCCCATTTTTAGAATCCGCCCCATTTTGAGCATCTGCCCCATTTTGAGCATCTGCCCCATTTTGAGCATCCGCCCCATTTTGAGCATCTGCCCCATTCTTAGAATCCGCCCCATTTTTAGAATCCGCCCCATTTTTAGAACCCGCCCCATTTTTAGAATCCGCCCCATTTTTAGAATCCGCCCCGTTTGAATCCTCAAGTTTGTTTTCTTCTGTGGCACTTCCCACCCCCGCGGGTGTGCAAACCAAGTTGGTGGAGGCCCCAGAGGAGTATGACTGGAGAAAGGAATTAGTCTTTTGCTCATCAGAAAACATCTCTGGAGTTATTCCCATCCATTTCTCATTAATTCCGTAAATATTGCACAGATAAATTTCCATTTTTACCCAACTTTCATTGGTAATTACATCATAAATATTCCTTTCTTCATCATTTGTTAGTTCCTCATTTGGTGATAGTCCACGAAAAAATAAATTATTCCTAATATAGAAAATTGCTTTTTCTAGCTTTTTCATTGTTAAAATACATTTTTGTATAATATTATGACTATACATTAGAGGAAATTCAAGCATGGTTGAATTTGTGTTCTTATTGTTTAAAATAATTCGATCATTATATGTATCATAGATGTTAAACTCCACAGTTACATTTGACTTCATGTAACGCTCCTTGTCAATGTAGGTGTCTAAATCACAATTCAAAATGGGGTTTGATGATAGCGTTTCTGTTACTTCTTTATCTAATTCGTCGTCTAATTTTTTATCCACATCTGGATTTGTGACTTTCTGTTTTCTTGAATCCAATATTTCATCTTCCCCTTCAGTCACTAGCTGTTTCAGTATGTTTCCCCTGTATAAAGCGAAAAAATATTTTCTCAAATTTTTTTTGTTGTACAGTTTTAGAGGCTCCATTTGTGCTTCTTCTTTCTTATCATTCGCTTTATTAAAATGAAAATGGTTAAAAATTCTTTCATTTTTGTCTTTGCTGTAACTGTCCGAGAGGTCTTTCTCTAGTAAGAACTCTCCTTCCATCCCATTCGCATGTTCACTAGATTTGGCATGTTCACTAGATTTGGCATGTTCACTAGATTTGGCATGTTCACCAGATTTGGCATGTTGGCTTAATTGGCCGGGTTGGCCTGATTGCACCCCCAATTGGGCCAATTCTGAAGAACCCTTTAATCCAGGGTCGTTCCATTCTTTCCGTTTGGAAGGGGTTAATCCAACATACGCACTGTGCATCCATTTGCACACAGCATCAACTAAACTCTTGGAATTAACATACACATTTGCCCCATACACATGTTTCAAAACATCATATATTCCTAGATCTAGTAACTTGTTGGAGAAAACATCTTCTTGTCCTTTTAAATTTTCGATAACTTTTTTTTTTTTTTTTATTTCTCTCTTTTCGATCACATCATCTTCTTTACCTTTAATGTAATCTTCTGCTCTTTCCATTGCTTTGGCTAGATTTTCTTCATTCATTCTCTTATCCACCTTTTGATTGTCTCTTTCGTTTTGGTTAACTTCATTGTGAGAGTCCATATTCATGTTTTCATTTCCCTTCTCTTCATCATCTTTATCATTCGAAGGGCCTCCTTCATTTTTGTTCCGGAAAATATGTAGAGTCGATGCTTCCCCCAACTTTTCTTTTGTCCCTTTCTTTCCTTCATTCAAATCGGTGTTATTAATCCCAAGTGAAGCTTTATCATCTGTCTCCTTACTCCCATCGCTGCTCCCATTGTTACTGCTATCGCCACTCCCATCGCTAATTTTAGCGTAAATGTTTAGTTTTCTCATTCCATTTCTTTCGGTCTGCCAGTTTTCACGTAATGAAAATGCTGCCCATTTGTTGATGCTGTGGCTTCTCTTATCGAAGTAGTGGCAGCAGTAGCAGCTGGGGTAGAGGTCGTGGTAGTTGTAGTAGTGTGTGGGTATACATTTCCCTCTGTAGATGTAACATATTTTACTTCCCCTCTTGTTTGAGAATCCTAACTGTTTCTCTTCTTTTGGCCAAGTTTTATCTTTTCCTGATGGATAACAGGGTCGACAAAACTGGAATGCACATGTCCTGGCAAGTCTTCTTGAAGAACTAATTTCTTTATAGTTTAAACTGGGAAAAGGTGTGATAGAGGAACCTTTTATGTAACTTTTTTTTTTTCTCCTATTTTTACATGCACTTCTCTTTTGAAAAATCAGACTTAAATTTAACTTATCTTGGTCAATTATACTTTTGCATGAATGGAAGAGAATCACACATATACCCACGAATATGTATAGCTTTTTCATCCTCATGTGGATCAACCTCTTAAATCTTTCATAATCTCTATGTTCTTGAGGTTTAACCCTGTCGTATACGCGTGCGTACGTACATGTACAAGTACATACATAGGTGTATGTGCCAAGGTATGCTTTTTTTTCCACGTTTTCCGACTACTTTCTCTTGTGACAAGTCCCCTCCAAAGGTATTCACATAACACGGAGGCGTGGAAATGTTCTCTTTTTTTTTCTCCCTTTTTTCTTTTCTTTCCTTTTCTTTCCTTTTCTTTTCTTTTCTTTCCTTTTCTTTTCTTTCCTTTTCTTTCCTTTTCTTTCCTTTTCTTTTCTTTTCTTTTCTTTCCTTTTCTTTCCTTTTCTTTCCTTTTTATTTTTTTATTTTTCGAGTGCCAATTTTCACGTGACACAATTATCTTTATGCTTGTGGAAGGTGCCAAATGGGGAATCCGATATAGTGCTATAAATAAAGTTACCCATTTAGTCATAAAACCAGCATTCTATTATGAGGACAGATACGTGCAATAATGAGTAGTTAACACCATTTGAAGAATCATATTTCCATTTTTGTATAAAAAGAGATAGTGAGAAGTTAAGATACCTTTATCGATGTTGTCTCCCCCCTTCACAATTAATTCTAAAGGGGTGCACCTTCATAGCATTCACAAAGCATGTCATTCCCCGAACTAAATTGCTAAACATGAACTCTTTCATGTGTGCACATATATAGAACTACATGCACAAGTATAGGAAAGTGTACAAGTATGTATGTCTGTATCCAAGCTACGTAAAAAGAAAAGAAACTTATATACAAATTGACATTACAGAAAACTTCGAATTGCAAATGGGTTACATGAATATTATGAAACGGAATGACGAACGAACAGACAATTTCTCATAGTCCTTATTTTCAGTACTCATTTGTGGACGCAAGCAAATGAATAGGAGTGGGGAAAGAATGCCAAATATATTATACTTTATTTCCGGTATATTAAAAGTGGTACACGAAAAGGTAGAATGTGGGAGGGTTGGTCAGGGAGGGGGGAGAGTAAAATTTCCCTACACTCATGGAACATAAATTATAGGTGCGTGTTAACCATCCATACATACATTAACATGTGCTTCCTCATGCATATATACCAGCATATGAGATATATGTGTTCTATTTATACACTTGAGAAAAAAGAAAAAAAAAAAAAAACTACCGTTGTACCTGACACACATTAAAACCACCGAACTGTTTGGTAAAATTACATTGGTTTAAAGCATGTACAAGAAAAATTTTTGCTTATTGTAATTGAGAATATTCCATTTAATGACATTTTGCATATTCGCTTTATAAACACATTTCCATATGTATCTTTCTCCATGCCTTACATATCAACACGCATGCACACTTGTAAAAAGAAAAAAAAAAAAAAAAAAAAAGGATATATTAATTCAACCTTACGTGAATTTTTAACCCAACTATGTAAAAACAAGTTTTCCACATTATCCATAAATGACAAAACATAGTAACAGCAAGGTTGGGTTGATGTTTACACATAAGCTGTTACCCCTTCCTAGATGATTATCTCGCTGCATTTCCCCTCCCCCTTGTATGTTTCCTTTTGTGACACATTCATTTTCGTAACACACTTACCTTTGTAACATATTTCCACTTTTTCAAACAAAGTTAGCTCGAAAAAAAAAAAAAAAAATCAGTTGACCAAATTGTATGAACAGGCAATAAATTTTTGTAAAATTTTATTCCAAAATAGCGAAAAGGGAAAAAGTAGACAAAACAAGCTAAAAAAAAAAAAAAAAACATATATATATATATATATATATATATATATATATATATATATATGTTTATATACGTGTTTATGCATATGTTTATATATTTATGTATGCATGTACAGGCAAAATTTTTTTTTTTTTTTTTTTTTTCTTTTTAACGTTTGAATTGTTCAGCGAAAATTTTTAATGCGCAAACGTTTGATCAGTTCATTGCTTTCAAAAAAAAAACTTTATTGAAGTAAAAGCGTGGAAGGGCTTTTTCACGAATAGCGCCAAGAGTAAACTTTTATATGATGTCAAGGGACACGTGCAGATAGTATACACACCCACATAGTTATAGCGTACGAAGTGCAGACAGGATACACACCCATACGTAGTAATCTCGTACGAAGTGCAAACATAGTGCTAACCCCACACACACACACACTCCCTAACCTACCTTGTTCCTAATTCCACGAAGCATAAAATACGAAAGCGTGTACTTAACCCATATTTGTATTCCCACGACACAATTTCATGGCCCCCTAAACCACCACATTTGCACCCATGTATTTGCATCCTGGTGTCAAAAAAAACATTTCCAATCTTCACATATTACACACAGCATACAGAAAATTTTACTGAATGTATATTTTTCTGCACTGACAAGTTTTTCGATAACGCAGAGTGACACAAGTGATGTTTATATTCTTCACCCAATACATAATTATAATCAGGCACGACGAATTCAAAACATCAATCCAATAAAAGTGATTCACAAAAAAAAAATGAACGGGGGAAACGATGTAGTGCCAAGACTTGGGTTCGATGAAATGAAAAGTGAGATGAACAAATATGGTGTTGAAATAACGCAGAGTACGTTGAAAAACCCAACGACAGAAGATGTGCAAGGAGTGTATAGCATATGCATAAAGTACATTTTAAACAAAGATATTAACAACATACGAATTGAAGAATTCACTGGAGATTTAAAAAGTGCAATGCCATCAATTGATGGAATTCAAATTCTACCAAATGAAGGGAAAAATCATTTACAAGCTATTGGAAATTTACGATTTATTCGACACTGTGAAAAAATTAACAGAATACTAGGAGTAGATAATACATTAAGCTATTTATTTAAACCTATAAGTAGTCACATAACAAAATTGATAAATGCCTTTATACACTTTATGAAATATAAAGAACAATTATACATTGAGAACGATGCTAAAATAAAACAAATTGAAGCAGCGAAAAACGAAGATGTATTACTTGATAATGAACTTAAAACGGTTAAGAGTGAATTGCATTCCCTGCTGTCCAATTATGAAGATATAAAAACTAGCATTCTTAACGAAAAAAACACAAAAAGAAATTACGAAGAAGAAATTATTGAAAGTCAAAATTTGTTAAACTCACAGCAGAGTATACTTATTTCGTTAAAATCGACGAAAGACAAAATTGTTAACGAAACGAATGAATTAATTTTCCAATTTTCTCGTTTTCGACAAAAAAAAGAAGATCTGGAAGATCAAATTGTACCTTCACCTGAAAAATTACAGGAATATAACAACGAATTGAAAGATTTACTATTTGAACATTTATCATATTTCGAATCAGACAAAAAAAAAAATGAAGAAATTAAAAACAAAATAAATGTTGCTGACTTGTGTATAAAAAAACTCGTTGAACTGTTAACCACCTTAACGAGTCATTTAAATGAAACAGTCAAATGTCATATTGATAAAAAAGAAGATATAAAAAATTTAGAAAAAAATATAAAATCATTAAAAACAGAAAAAGAAAATTTAACAAATAAAAAAAATGAACAAGAAAAAATTCTAAATGACACAGAACAGTATTTCTTAGAACAGAAAAATAAATGGAATGACAAACTCGAGGAAGAAGAAAAAAATATTACCCAGGTCCAAAGAAAGGTTAACCAAATGTATGAACAAGTAGAAAATGTTAATAATAAAACCAACAGGGAGGTTCAAGAAATTAATTCCATCATGAAACGTATTCAAGACACGGTTAATGACTACACAAGAAATATTGCTGCCATAGATGAATTAACTCAAAATACGAGGAATTCTCATGATATGCTAGCGAAAAAAATTCGAAGTCACGTGCAACCCTGTGTACAAATCCCTACATAAGTCCCCCGGCCCATGTACGTACATATTAAAATAGGTAATATAGGCACATGACACATTTATGCATTCAGCGGTTCCGCAGGGTGTTGTGAAAATTATACCGCGATTGTTGATTAGCCACTAACTTTTTTTCTCTCTCTTTTTTTTTCTCCTTTTTTCTTCCATTTTCCTTCCATTTTCCTTCCATTTTCTTCCATTTTCCTTCCATTTTCCTTCCATTTTCTTTCATTTTCCTTACATTTTCCTTCCATTTTCCTTCCATTTTCCTTCCTTTATCTCGTGTTTCCATCAATTCATTTGCTACCCCATTTTAGTGATCCTCCCAGTGGTTGTAAATTTCTACCAAAAATTGAAAAAACTTTTTTTCGTTTGCAAAAATGCCTGAACTGTTCAGGCAAATTCGGTTTGTGAAAATATAGGATTTGCTGTTTTTTTTTTTTTTTTTTTTTTTTTTTTTTTTTTTTTTTAAATGCTTAACGGCAAGGTAAAAATGAAACGAATTGTTTCGAACAAAACGGTGTGCTGTTTTTTTCTCCTTTCATTCCTGCTTTGTGAATAATAGCATATATATGGTCTATAAATGGACTGATTTGGTAGGTGGGGTGAAAGAGAGAAAGGGAAGCATATGAAAAGATACACGTTCTTTAAGGGAAGTTTTTTCTTAGAAATAAACAATCCGAGAAAAAGCGCCTTAACAAAAAGGAGACAAGCAAGTCATTCATTTAACATTCCATCCTATTACAGAAAAAACTAATCCTTTTTTTAATTCTAGAAAATTATGATGTGCTGCATGTGAAAAATGCTGTGCTTTCGTAAGGTCAGGGGTGGGGTATGATGTCAATGAGCAGAGGGGTGACAAATGGGCATATTACAGTTTGTTGCAGGATTGCGAAAAATGGAATATGTAAAAAAGTGCATGTGTCTGTATATATATATATATATATATATATATATATATATATATACGTGGAAAAAAAGGAAAAGAAAAATACGGCACGTGAAACGAATTAGGTACGTGAAAAAAATAAAGCAAATGTTAGTTGTAATTTAATAATTTTCTAAAAATATTTCATATAGAGCGGGGAGGGGAGATAAAAAATAACAGTGATAAATAAAAAAAAAAAAAAAAAATAGTCAAGTAAAATATCGTGATGAATTCATTTAAAAATGTATGGCAAATAAATTACTATTAAAAATATTCAAAAATATAGCGGGGGACAGGGGTAATAAAATAAGCATACTCATGGCTGTAATAAATAGAAATATTTACACGTGCAAAAATGTAAGTGAATATATATATATATATATATATATATATGTAGAAATATAAATGTGTAACCATAAGTGCACGCATCAGCTGACATGTATTTCACATAACCAACAAGATGGGGAGAATTATTACATGGGCAAAATTAAGAAGTGTTTTATTAAAATAAATTCGATGGTTCAGTTTATTTCAAAAGTGTCTGCGCTGTGCTGAGTGTTTGTGGTTGTTCCATCTTACATTGCATTGCTACTATTCTGCATTTCTATAGACAGGCTGCAAAGTGGGATATAAGCAGGAGTGTATGCAGGAGTGTATGCAGGAGTGTATGCAGGAGTGTATGCAGGAGTGTATGCAGGAGTGTATGCAGGAGTGTATGCAGGAGTGTATGCTGAAGTGTAAGCAGAAGTGTAAGTAGAAGTGTATGGGGACGTATGAACAGTAAGATTTTTCCTGCACATCGTTTACCTTTTCACTGCAGAGTTGTTTCCGCTACTACCAATCTGTTTGTAGTTCTTGTAACTTTCGCGATAAATAAAAAACAAAGGACATGCCAGAACTAAGGCACCAGCAATCTACAAAAAAAAAAAAAAAAAAAAAAATCAGAAACATTTATCATAAGCTTTTGAACGATTAAAATGGTTCAAACAAAATAAAAGTCGCTCTAAAAATAATGAAGACATTTTTGAACTCACGTAATTTCCAATGAATGTTGGAAGCAAGTTGCTAAAGTAAACTTTAGACCATGTGACATCTGTCTCTATCATCAAGGCAAGATTGAGTGTGTAAATATTTGCGATTATATGTTCATATCCTGCTATGGCAAATGCATAGACAGCGAAAAATACACTGAAAACTATTCCGGATCCATCCTTAATTGTAAGGACGAAATAAACAGCTAAACAAACAAAAATGTTACATCCAACTGCTTGACATATGCATTGAATAAATGTATGTTTCACTTTTTTTGTAGAAATATCATTTATAAATTGAAAAATATGATTTTTATCTATATCACTATTCTTTTTAAATGCTCCTGATCCATGGGAAACGAAAAATGCAAATGCTACTGCACCGACATAATTGCCAAAGAGAGAGATGCTCATCACTCGTATGTATTCTATTACAGATATTGTTCCTTGTAATAAAGCTGTTGTAACAGCTAAAGTATTTCCCGTAAATAAATCTGATCCCGTTGCTATGATACATAAAAAAGCTATTGGAAAGGTGAATCCGTATACGAATATGCTCATTGAAATCCCTACGTGCTCTCGCAATTTGTGGTAGTAGAAGTGGCCCCCTGCGCGCGTGTAAACGTATGTGTAAGTAAACGTATGTACAAGCAAACATATGTATGTGTATGTAAACGTATGTACAAGCAAACATATGTATGTGTAAGTAAACGTATGTATAAGCAAACATATGTATAAGCAAACATATGTATAAGCAAACATATGTATAAGCAAACATATGTATAAGCAAACATATGTATGTGTTCAATTTTCGCGTTCGGATGAAGTGGGGGTAAGATGACGCTGAGAAAAAAAAAAAAAGATCCCCTAGAATGGGCAACATACAAACATATGCGAATAACATGCAGATATACATATCTTGGAAAGATGTGCGTCTCTCTCGAATCTAACCTGCTATGCCTGATGCATGAGCACAGAGACCAACAAAAATTCCAGCCAATATAGCCTTCATCAACAATGTCCAATTCGAGTAATGGGCTTTGGATTTGCCATACTCAACACATCGAATGTAGGATTCCTCACTAGAGCATGTAGTCTTTACACTTAAAGGATCTATGACATATTTGTTGCTACCCTTTGGCATTTTAAAATTGAAATGGGGAGAGACGTAGGGGAAACAAGGGAAAGAAGCTGGAGAGGGCGCGGACGTACGAAGAAAAAAACAAAAATAAAATGCAAAATGCGCAAAATAGAAAATGTACAATATGCAAAATGCGCAAAATAGAAAATGTACAATATGCAAAATGCGCAAAATAGAAAATGTGCAATATGCAAAATGCGCAAAAAACAAAATGTACAATATGCAAAATGCGCAAAAAACAAAATGTACAATATGCAAAATGTACAATATGCAAAATGCGCAAAATAGAAAATACACAATATGCAAAATGCGCAAAACGCAGGATAAACAAAAGTGGAGATAAAATAGTGGGAAAGGGGAAGGGAAAAAAGTCTTCTTAATTAATTGAAAATCATTCGACTTATAATCCCAAAGATAGCCAAAAATTCAGAACAAAAAGGAAAAAAAAAAAAATTAAGGTAAAAAATTCAAAAACGGAAATGAAAAGGTGGATATGATAAATATTTCGGAGAAAAAAAAAAAAAAAAAAAAAAATTAGAGATGAAGCAAAAGATTTTTTTTTTTTTTTTTTTTATTTAGTATTCACTCCAGCAATTAGGGAGGAAATGCATATTTGCATGCGTTTACTGGAAAAAAAGATCATCATATAATACACTTTTACGTATGGAGAAGTGCAGTAGGGGTTGTGGTTTATGTGTTTATGTTAATATGTATACATATATATGTATGTGTAAAATACATATATTTTATTATATATGAATTTATTTACATATGCAACATTGCGACAATGAAACCTTTGGGCGTTGAAAAAAGTCTATATAATTACCGTGTAACTGTTTAATGGGCGATGGGACCTTAGTTTGGGCAAACACGAAGGTGAAATGCAAAATTCAAGCGTTTGAAAAATTTTCAAATTGATATAGCATAGTGGGTAAACAAATGGACAGTGGCCAGTACACAAGGTAAAAGTTATTTAACCAAAGATAAATTCGGGCGCTATATTCTGAACGTACATGTGCACATATACGTATACATATGCGTATACATATATGTATACACATATATATATATATATATATATATATAATATACAAATGCAGGAGCACCCACCCATTATATCCGTACCTACACTAATGTCATCACAAATATAAGCAGCTCATTAATTGCTAAGCGGGTAGAGACTGTGGGAACTTGCACATGATATGTGAACCCTAAGCAATCATGCAACATCAGGAGGTGATTATATCTCCACTTTTCACAATAATTAAAGTACAAATATGTTGGAGTGAAGAAAGGAAACTCTGAAGGGAAGATTGAATATGACAGAAGAAAACTTAAACAATTAGTTGTAAACGTCATGTGTGTTGGTTTATTTTGTGTGATAGCGACAGGTGGGAGGGAACACTGAAATACACATGTATATTAATACATTATACTTGTTTTCGTCTATTCGCTTTCCCAATTTGATAATTTTTATAAACTTCCAAACGCTTAAATTTGTTTTTTTTCACCTGAACGTGTGCATGTAATTTTTTAACCAATTTTTTTTTTTTTTTTTTTAAAATGGGGAAAAGGGGAAATAATGAAAAGAAAAAGAAAAAAAATTGGATAAAAAATTACATGCACACGTTCAGGTGAAAAAAAACAAATTTAACAGAATGTATAAACTAGCAAAGCGACACAGAACGCTATTACGAAATAGAAATTTCTTTTCTCTTGAAATTGAAAACAATTTTGAACGGATTTACATTTTGTTACAAAAAAATTATTTCCTTAAGGTGTTCCGATTTATTCTCATATGTTGTATGAAACCATTACACTTAAATAGTAGGGGAATATAAATAAGCGCATATTCAAACATGTGAAAAGCTACACAATTAACAGATTATTTATTAGGGAATTCTATAGCAAGCTCATTTGTAAAGTGAATGAAAATGAAATTCTTTCTTTATTCATGTTTTTTTTTTTTTTTTTTTTTTTTTTTTTTTTCTATTCGTTTTATATGATAACATTCAATCTGTGTAAAAATGTACACAACACAGTGTTTTTTGTTTGGTGATAGCATATAATGCATCAACTTTATATTTTGCAAAATTTTGCTCTCCCTCCGTATCACTTTGAATTGTTAACTTAGTGTGACCTTTTTGTATTACTTCGCTTCATCATTTTATTTGTCCTTGGCTTCATCATTTTATTTGTCCTTGGCTTCGTCATTTTATTTATACATTGCTTTATTTTTACTTTGCCTTGTTATTTTTTTTTTTTTTTTTTCTCACTTTGCAATCGAAACTTTCCTGCATTATTTTACGCACAATTTATTTGTCTGCTTCCACGTATCCCCGTCCCCATCTTCATCTTTTTCACAATTCTGGAAGGAGAGGATGTATATATATAATAACACACATTGTGAAAATATATCACATTTGACACATAATTATTGTCAGAATCTTCCTCTTGAGTGTTTTATTAATGTTTCTCAAATTCTGGAGCCCCTTTTTTTTTTTTTTTTTTTTTTTTTTAAACGTTCCTTGCTTTCGCCGCATAAGGTGCAAACACGTTTTACATTCATCACACCAAGTCGCAAAAACATTTATGCTATTTTATAAAATAATGGACATTAGCTGTATTTTTTTGAAGAAACATATTTGCATTTTCTTCTCCACCCCCCCCTTTCTACCTTTTTTTTTTTTTTTTTTTTTTTTTTCCCGTTTTTGGGTTTACTACTCTGATTATAATACCCGCTTTGTTTTTTGTTTTTTTTTTTTTCACGAATTTAGAAATATGTGCAAAGCGGTTTTCTCTCCTTTGTGGAGAAGCAAAAATATATAAGAAAATATAGTATAATTGTGAAAGAACACATTTTGGGAACAGAAAAAAAAAAAAAAAAATATACATATGAACACATGTACATATATACATATATACATATATATATATATGTTTAAATTGGGGTTGTGAAAAAATTGAAGCCGTGTTATGGAGTTTTTTTTTTTTTTTTTTTTTTTCTTCTTCTTCTTCTTCTCCTTTTTCCGCATCTTCTGTTTCTTCCTTTGTTTTCTCCCATTATAATGCCACTTTATTTTATTTTTATTTCATTTTTTTGTTAACATAAAAATAGGAATAAAAAAAAAAAAAAAAAAAAAAAAAATAGCTGGAAATTGGGAAATTGGTTCATCTCCCCAAGGTCCAAAGGCACGTGGAGTATAGGGTGACCATCCATTTCAGAAAATTTACCTAACTCTCTGGTTATTACTTTTTTCTATTTATAAAATTGAAAAAATTGTAACAATTCCTAGATTGTATTATCAACGCAGACACGGTAAAAAAAAAAAAAAAAAATTAAATTAATCGAAAGCGAGATATGAGAGTTATATCAAATATGACGAAATGAATGTTTATTTTTTGAAGATACAGCAAAAGTTATAGAATTTCCTTTTATTTTTATATGTTATGTATTTTTTCCTCTTTTTTACAGAGGGATTTCATTTTTTTTTTTTTTTTTTCCCCCTCTTTTTGTTACATTATATAGAGAGGATCCATAAATATATATATTTTAGATCATCCCCTCTTTAAGCCATATATATATATATATGTATAGGCAAACGTACATGCACACACATTGTTAGCCATTTTTACTTCCATCCTCCCATTAGACAAATACAACAAACGTTGCGTTTATATCCTACTTCTTGAAGAACACAAAAAGAGATTCATCACTGAGCTCCTTGTTCACAGAGGAACAAATCAGAATCAGATGCGTGGTCATGTCAGACTATGTAGTTTACATGTAACATATGTATTTCCCTCCTTTTGTATGTAGATATACAAGAAACGACAGAAAGTGTATATTTATTCTGTGTTCCTTCACTACCCCAAACCACGTCGAAGGACATTTTCATGTGTGTGAAAAAAAAAATATATATATATATACTAACAAATGAAGGTTGGAAAATTATATTCAAAGAATAAAGAAAAGGAACATGAAAAGAACAACACAGGAGGGGATAACTCCTCCAACATGAATGCTTTTAAAAGACTTTCATCCAAAGTGTTAGGAGATTCAATAAATAATTTTGATTTAAACAAGACATTAAATGATATAGATGATTATGTGAAACATTATCCATTTATAAATGATTTAGGAAAGAAGTATGGTATAAAACCATCTTATATAATTGTAGGAGTATCTGGTTTTTTACTTATTTCACTTATTTTTGGTTGGGGTGCAGCTTTAATATGTAACATACTTGGATTTGCATATCCAGGTAACTACACACTCGTTTCATGAGGAAAAAAACTTTTCTCGTGCAAAAAAGAAACGATGTACATACCTTTGAATGTACATACCTTTGAATGTACATACCTTTGAATGTACATACCTTTGAATGTACATACCTTTGAATGCACATACCTTTGAATGCACATACCTTTGAATGTACATACCTTTGAATGTACATACCTTTGAATGTACATACCTTTGAATGTACATACCTTTGAATGTACATACCTTTGAATGTACATACCTTTGAATGTACATACCTTTGAATGTACATACCTTAGAATGCACATACCTTTGAATGTACATACCTTTGAATGTACATACCTTAGAATGCACATACCTTTGAATGCACATACCTTTGAATGCACATACAAAAATGATGAATTTTTTTTCTCCTATCATCCCTCTTCCCTTTTCTCAGCATACCAATCGTTCAAAGCAGTAGAATCACAAAGTAAAGATGAAACGAAACTGTGGCTCACATATTGGGTAGTATATTCCCTCTTTTTTTTTTTCGAATATCTAATTGATATTATTTTATTTTGGGTTCCTTTCTATTATTTGTTAAAATTACTTTTTCTTTTCTACTTGTATATGCCACAAGTCAGAGGAGCAGAAACTGTATACAATTTTATTGTTAGACCAATATTACTCAAACATGAAAAAACAATAGACGATACTGTTAACAAAATTAGTCAAACGGCTACTAGCCATTTAACACAAATTACTGGGAATCTTACAGAAAAGATAATCCAAGATGGTATGCGCAGAAGAAACATCTAACGTAGACAGTGACGAGACGAACGATCTGCTGGTGGTGGTGGTGTAATTTGAAAACAATACGTGAAAGAAAAAAAGGAAAAAAATGGGATAAAAATTGAGGGGAAATAGGATAAGGATAAGCAGAGAATAGCATGTGGTGGAAGTAGCCCATTTTTGACTTATTCATTTTTTCACTATTTCACTTTTTCACTATTTCACTTTTTCACTTTTTCACTTTTTCATTTTTTCACTTTTTCACTTTTCCACTTTTTCACTTTTCCACTGCGACAGCATAAATACGCTACATTTTAAAAGAAAAAAAAAGTACCTCCCAATTTTAACTCATCGAAGGGTCCTCACATGATGAAGCAATTGTATATATATACATACATGCATTATACATTCACATTGGGAAGTGGAAATTCATCCTGCTAACTCTACCGATTCTATTGACTCTACCTCTTTGGGGTGAACATTTTTGTCCATATTAGTTTATCAAAACATATGTCTCATCCTGCATGCATATACATTTAGATGTTATTTTATTTTTTTTTTTTTTTTTTTGACCCGAAATTTGTTCTGATAGCAGTTCAAAGTTTAACCCTCAATCAACCAGTTTCTCTTTTTTTTTTTTTTTTTCCTCTTTTTTGTTTTAAAAATTTACATAATTAAATAACTTTTTAAATATTATCTGCCATACATGCGTTTAAATAAGGACATACACACGTACTTATGCATGTACATGTGTATATATATGAATATATGGACAAGCAGGTCTGCGTTAATAATTGATAAAACTGTGGAGTTGGCAAAGTGTATGGATATGTACATGCACCTGTAAATGAATTCTTAGAGGTGGGACGCAAGCAGAGTGAAATCAATAATTACATAACGATGATGATATCCTTCTGCTGAAAAAAAAAAAAAAATAAAGAACACATATCCCACTTGCTAGCAGTTTTGGATCCTGGATCTTACATATGGAAAAAGAGGATCCAAGGAATGGCATGTTGGTAGTAGGTAAAAGGTATGGCATGTTGGTAGCTAACTTTTACATACCCATTTTACCTATAACATGGTATATATATATATATATATATATATATATATATATATATATATATATATATATATATATAACCAATAAAATATTCATTCTTCACGTTCTGTTCAATGTATTTGTTGTAATAACTTATGTAAGTCACATGTGCTAGCAGGGTAGTGAAAAATACATCATGGGAGGGTTGCTAATGTGTTTTACATGCGTCCGATGTATTTTCTCACTCCACATTTTCATCGCAAACTTTTCTTTTTCCCGAAATCATGGCACACGTGCTATTCATTCGAAAGGTTACATTTTACAGACGTTCCACTGTATGCACATTTCTCATGTATACATATATATATATATATACATATATATAACACTATTCATGCGTATGGTGGATATATGTACCAAATTGTGGAATATATTACAATATAATGTGTGCTTTTTATGTGAATTTGTTCCCATAGTAGTGTTAATGATTTTACACAGAATTATATCAAAATCAGAAACATATATTTTGCGCAAAAAATCTTATACCCGTATTGTTGGCATATTGGTCATCCACCCTCCCCTTAGTGCTTTTAAAAATATTCTTCACAAAGTTTTATTTTATAATTTTTCCCTCTTTTTTTTTTTTTTTCTTTTTTTTGTCAAAACTTGTGCAATGATGCGAAAAAGCACGAAATTAAGGGAGGAAAAAGTGAAGAAAAAAAAAAAAAAAAAAGGAAGAAATATAAAAACTGAAAGGCGGTGGGGTTGGTCGTGATAGGGTAAATGCATATATATATATATATATATATATCATACCGCGACACAAGTTTCGACAAAAAAAAAAAAAAAAAAAAAAAAGATCCTAAAGGGGGAACTGCATATACATGTATTCATAAATGTATGTATACATATATATATATCTACACATGAGTACAAGTAAAAAATATGTATCCTCTCACGAGGCCATATTATATGAATTTGTAGAGAAAAAACTGAGAAAAAAATGAAAAAATAATAAGAGGAAAACACATTCAACGAACGTTTAAAAAGAAAACAGAAAAAAAAGTACCAATAAAAAAAGAAAATAATATCATACCTACCACCATCCATTCATTATTCCGGGAGCATGTGCACCCAATTTAAGTATGAAAACTTTTTTTTTCCTTTCATTTTTCAACTTATATGCTTATTAAACGCACTTACAATTTTACCAAGCTTTCTTAAAATTTCTAAACTTTCTTTTATGCCATCCTAATTTGTTCCACGTTTTCAAACAGGTTCATTTTTTTTTTCCTTTTTTTTTTTTTTATAAGCAACATTGCTGATTTGTGGTTCCACCTATCTTTAGAGAAAAAATAAATAAAAAAATTAGCAAACAAAAAAAAAAAAAAAAAAAAAAAAAAAAAAAAAAAAAAAAAAAAAAAAAAAAAAAAAAAAAAAAAAAAAAAAAAAAAAAAAAAAAAAAAAAAAAAAAAAAAAAAAAAAAAAAAAAAAAAAAAAAAAAAAAAAAAAAAAAAAAAAAAAAAAAAAAAAAAACAAAAAAAATAGCAAAAAAAAAAAAAAAAAAAAAAAAAGAAATAACAAATAAGCAAATAAAAGTGACAGCCTTGTTTTGAAGCAAAATCCCCCGTTTGCAATCCGGCACTTTATTTTATTTTTCCTTCACACCAAATTTCAAGCGCTTTAACGTGGTTACAGGGTAAGAATTGAAAGAAAAGGGAGATATATATACAAGCACGCATACACATACATACATATATATATATATATATATATATATATACACGTACATATATATATACATGTATACACGTGTATATGTTTATTTTTCCCCCTCTCCCGATCAGATGGTTCGAATGAGCGTATTGGCAGATTGCTTAAAAACAATTAACAATGCAGAGAAAAGAGGTAGGCGACAGGTCTTGATTCGACCTTCATCCAAAGTGGTAATTAAGTTCTTACAGTACATGCAGAAGAAGGGATACATAGGAAATTTTGAAATAGTAGATGATCACAGATCCGGAAAAATTGTCGTGAATTTGTTAGGAAGAATAAACAAATGTGCAGTCATATCCCCAAGGTAACGTGAGAAGGCAGCAGCAACAGCAGCTGCCCTGTGTGCCCGGCCAGCTGGGGGAAAACAGACTCAGCGAGCTCGCACCCCTGGTCATGCATACCATGCTTGTATGAATACATGTCATACATAAATAATTACACGTGTGAAGCACTGGAATTTGCACTTGATGAGCTACCTTTTTTCCCCCACCAGTTGGTTCACCCCTTCTGTCACGTTTTTCTGCTTCAAAATTCACAATCTTCATTCCCAACACAGGTACGACGTGAAACTGGAAGAAATTGAAAAAATTATTACAAACATCCTTCCCAGTAGACTTTTTGGTCATTTGATTTTAACCACACCTTACGGAATTATGGATCACGAAGAGGCAAGAAGAAAACACACTGGAGGTAAGGTTCTCGGATTTTTCTTTTAAGCATGGAGAGAGAGAAAGAAAGAGAGAAAGAGAGGTGGGGTTATTCACTAATTTTCAAGTTGAACAGTTCGATGAAACAAATGGAAAAAGGTTGTATGTTGTATACCACATGGAAGATAGAAAAAATGTGGAAACATAAATGGGTGTGCCAAGTTTAGATTTGTTTTTGTTTTGGAAAAATGCCTTTGGAAAAAAAAAAAAAAAAATCCACAAATAGGAGATGATATATATATATATACATACAGCTCAGATGAAAAAAAGACCAAATCGAGAGAAATGAAAATGGGGATATACACTAGTGCGAAGAAAAGAAATCATGCACGCACATTCCCCCCTTTTTTTTTTTTTTTTTTTTTTTTTTTTTTTGCACACTACATTTTTATCTCTATTCTAATTTTTTAAAAACTTAAATCCATGCACATTTATATGCACGTGTTTTTTTTTTTTTTTCTTTTTCCCATTCATGTGTGTAAACATTTTGAGGAATTAAAAAAAATGACGTGTATAATCCGCATGAAAACAAACAATGACATAAAGAGGAATTAAAAAAAGGAGGGGGAGATGGGACGAACTCCTATATATGCACACACCCGCCCCCCATAAATAAGCACACATATATATATATATATATACATTTATATATATATATACATTTATATATATATATACATTTATATACACCATTTGAAGGATACAAATGGGAACACTGAATTTTAAGGAGTACAAACAACTGCATGCAGCACTGCAAAAAGCGTGGTGAGGACGAGATCAAATGAGGTTAAAGTGGAGGTAAGCAATCTTCAAGTTTGGCAGGCTTCAAATGAGGTAAATGAAAAGTGGAGTTCGTGGGTTAGTATATTATGGGGTCATCAGGCTATTCTCTCCGCTAGCTTGCCCATGATATTCACAAACAATCAAACAAACAAGCAAGAAAACAAAAAAAAAAAAAAAAAAAAAAAAAAAAAATACATAAAAATATGTAAAAGAATAAAAAAAGGCACTTCAAAAGTTAGCATTCAAGACAAATGAGGAATATATACGAGATGATGAAAAGTGAGCGACAACAAAGTGTTGTCAAAAAAAAAAAAAAATTGAAAAAAAGTATCACCCTTAAAACGAAAAAAAAAAAAAAAAAAAAAAAAATTCACGCCAGGTGCAATATTATGCTATGCATGGGAAAATGGTTTTTTGCAGGCAATTGGTTTTTGTTTTTGCTTATGTTTTTTCTTTTTCTTTTGCTTATGTTTTTGCTTTTGCTTTTGCTTATTTTTTTTTTTTTCCTCTTCTGCTCATTCGGCATACTGTGCACTTCTTCTTCTCATGAATCCCATCGTGCACTCCTCCTTCTCATGAATCCCATCGTGCACTCCTCCTTCTCATGAATCCCATCGTGCACTCCTCCTCCCCGTTTTGTATCTCCATCGAGCATGGTTGCATCACCCGCTGGTGGATTTCTATGGCATCTCGGATGCCCTGTCCATATTCCTCAAGGGGAACTTAATAAAAGAGTTGAATAGACACCTGCAGATAGGGCATTTTTCCTGTCTGAGAGATTTCATACAATCGTAACAAAAGGAAGAGTGTCTACATGGCATGAGTAAGGTGTCTTTGTAAGACGTCATGCAAATGAGACATTCCTTATCGTGCTCTTCATGTCCATAGATATCTAGAATGTCCACAAATTGGAAGGATTGGTTTTTCTTTTTACTTTTATGAAGCATGGCAGTTGTTGTTGAACCATTTTCACTCATCACACAGATATCTTTAATTATAAAAGGTTTATATTTGTCCTTCATTTTTTTAAAGTCGACTAGAACTACTTCTGATATATTTTCATTGTTACAGTATTTGGCTTTTTTCCCATTATCTTTTACTGTTTTTCCAATTCCCACAAAAGGTGTAGAATTCAACATGGAGGGAGATCCTGGTGGGGAAGGAACGCTGTTTATAACAATTACGAGTGGAATTCTGATTTGTTCTTCTGTCATATAATTATTTAGAATTTTTTCATCTAAAGGATTATTTTCATCAAGTTTATCTTTTTTTAATTTTTCTTTCACTTCATCTAGATAGGTATTCTTTTCAATTTCAATTTGGTTTAGAATATCTGTAACACAGAAATTTTCATCATGAGGCATTGTGTATGTAATATTTTCCCCGGTACTGAAGAACGAGCTTGAGGTTTTATAGAAACATGAATTGAAATTAATAAATGTGTTATTATAAATGGGAGCTGATAATGACGAATGGTTATGATAATTCTGAAAATTCTGATAATCCTTATTATGATCGTGGCTAAGACCAGGGCGATACTTATGATGAGGATCGTAATTTTCATCACCTCTAATTGTGTGTCCACTTCTTCCTTCTCCTCCTCCTCCCCCAACCCCATGTTCCTCTTCTTCTGTAGTATTGTAAATATTATTTTTTTCATTATCAAGCAAATATGCCATTGCATCAGAAGACGATGGCTTCGACTGTAATGTTTTACTAAATCCCTCTTTAAAAAAATTTTTAAAATTATCTATACATATGACAGTATTTTTCCCATTCGTACATTTCTTACCTGCTTCTATCTTCTCATGAATCACATGATTTATTTCATTAAGCAGGACACCCCAGTAAAGAGTCACGTAAACACAATTATTTGTTGAAAAGGTAAATGTAATTGTATACTTGAAATAATTATTCATATCATTAGCACTCGAACTCAAGTAACTTTTGAATAATTGAATATTATCGTTAATCGTTATGTTCAGGTTTATTTTTTCTACATTCTTGGGCGTGATTTTTTTTTTTATTCGAATAATGTCGTTCACGTGACTTCTGCACAGCATCTTAATTTCGTTGATGTACCTCGACATGTTCTGCATGTATATGGCCTGCGCAAGGGGAGGGAGGAAACAAACGGTGTGGCGGTGCAGAATGGCGGTGCAGATTGGCGGTGCAGAATGGCGGTGCAGAATGGCGGTGCAGATTGGCGGTGCAGAATGGCGGTGCAGAATGGCGGTGCAGAATGGCGGTGCAGAATGGCGGTGCAGAATGGCGGTGCAGATTGGCGGTGCAGAATGGCAATACAGCGGGGTGTACCCCCTTTTACTAGGCTCTGGTGTTGGCACACCATATCAAATTAAGCATAGGCTAAAGAAAAAAAAAAAAGGGGGAGAAAAATTGACGCTCAATTTTTATATTCTTACCTTTCTGTCCCTCAAATATTTCATAATATTGTAAGAAGTGTAGTATCTTGATATTATCGATAGTCCCCATAAAAATATAATAAAAAATATAAGGAAACATAAGGTGTTCATAAAACTGGACATATTAAATATACACCAAATGTCTTCATCTTTGCAGTTATTGGACATGACAGTGTTCTTATACATATCAAGATCGTACTCATCAATAATGTTCATTGTGATGGAAGATTATTTGAAAAAAAAAAAAAAAAAAAAAAAAAGGGGGAGGGTAAAGTGGAGTACAGTAGTATATGGTGGGAAGGAGGTATTGTTGGTTTAACATAAAAGCAAGCCTATGATTTGGGAGTTGGAGATTGGTAGGGAAATATATTGTTTCTGTCCTCTTCAAATTTGTTAAAAAATCTTTTACAGAAATGAAAATTGCATTGTTTCGAAATTTCCCTTTCCTTCCCTCTACTTGTTATCGCCATGCGCACACAGCAAGCTTCGTTTGTGCCTTAAGTTTTTTAAGACCCTCGTTCCTAATTCTGCATACATGTATTTGTGTATATATATATATATATATATATGTATGTAACAGGTTTTTCCTTCAATACCTACTTTCTATTTTCCTCAGTGTCAGCAGTAATAAGTTTCATTTATCCACACTCGGATAATCTCCCCCCACCCACAACACCATTCACAAATGAGGACACTGAAAAGGAATTAAAAAAAATCACGCTAAATCCTCGTCACTAATGTAAAAACAAAAAAAAAAAAAAACACAATTTTCCTTTTCACTCAGCTATTTTTCCTATACAAAAGAAAAGGATGTGCATAGGGCAGTCACAGAGAGAAAAAAAAAAAAAAAAAAAAAAAAAATTCTGACCAGTCAGGTTATTTTTCTCCTTCCTCCAAAATGGTGAAGAAGTGATTGGACTAAAGGAGGGCATCGCATCGTTTTATCATATGAGTTGGCATCCCCGTAGCAAAAAAAAAAAAAAAAAAATAAATAAATAAATAAATAAATAAAATAACTTTTTGCAAATCTTATTGAAGATATAGGATAAACAAAAATAAACATCATATCTCTGTAGTTTTACATTTCAGAAACGAACACCACTTTTTTTTTTTTTTTTTTTTTTTTTTTTTTTTTCTTTTTTTCTTCCATCCTTGTGACGAACAGCTTCATTCACGCGGTTGCAAAGGGTTTGGCACATTTTTTCAAATTTTTCTTTTCACAGCTTTGTTGCAGTTTTGTTTGTAGCTTTTTTTTCTTTTTCTTCTTCTTCTTCTTCTTTTTTGCATTCTTTTATGTATTTAAATTGATTCAGTTTTTTTTTTTTTTTTTAACTGCACTCAATAAGTGGAACTTTATTAACACTTGTTAAGGAGAAAAAGTGATGCAAAATTCAGTGTAGAAAGGCATGTAAATATATAATGTTTGCTCTGATGCGTTTCCCTGTTCACAGAGCAGGATTAACAACACCGGATTGATAAGGTAGGGAAAAAAAAAAAAATATAACGAACAAATTGTGCAGCAAATGTTATGAGAAAAAAAAAGTGGAAAATGCCGTGGGGTCACAATGATCAACAAAGGTGTAAAACGTGGAAAAAATATAAAATAAAAATTAAAATAAAATGAATGAATGAATGAATGAATAAGCGTGAGCTAGCCACAACACGACAAAGGTTACGCGCAACAACATTTTCCTTTTTCTCCCTTGTTTTATACAAGTGTAAAAAAAAAAAAAAAAAAAAAAAAATCAGACACCCCCCGTGAAGAAGAAATAACCAAAAAAATTTTAAACATATATTAGAGGAAATGGGATACCTGAACACACTAAAAGTTTGGTTTTTCTCGTCTACCCTTAAATCAAATAGTGTAGAGAACATATATTGTAAGATGAACAAATCTTCAACATTTCGATCAAAGTATCAATTTACCTTTTTCTATTTATACTGCATTAGAAGTAAGAAGAAAATCGTCCATATGTATTGTCCTCCTTGTGTGTTGTGTTGTTCTTTCTTTCTTTCTTTTTTTTTTTTTTTTTTTTTTTTTCAAGCCCGCCTCTTCCCAATTTTCCTCCCTTATATAACATATCTTTCAACACGAATGAATAATAATAACAGCTTTTGAGAGAAATTTTTTTTTTCATTCTTTATGCTTGAATTGCTCTGTCATGTCACTAGTGGGGAATGAATACGTACCACGTCTCCCTCATTTCAGTTAAAATTCCCTCAGCATATGCATACGTGTTTTTGCGTGTGTTTTTGCGTGTGTTTTTTTTTTTTTTTTTTTTTTTCTTTTTCCTTATGAGCATGTTAATAATTGCTATTCGATGGGAAGTCTCGTCCATATACTTGCATGGCCCAAACTTAACACGCTGTTAAAGGTTCCATGTGTTCGTGTGTATATGGATGTGTATGGGCATACAGATGTAGGGGTGTACGATATATGGGTGTACGATATATGGGTGTTAAATATTCAAAAATGGTGGAAAAGTTCTGCATGTAAAAAAAAAAAAAATAGACGTTGGTTGCATACATATGGGAGAGGGGGGGAGGGGAGGAGGAGGTGATGAACGGCAGCCATTACTATACACTAGTCTGAAGGATGCAACTTTGGTTCTGTATACTGATACGTGTGTATGTATAAAAATACATATATATAGTGGCATTTATACACACATGCAAACGTACGTTCATACATACAAACGTACGTGCATACATACAAACGTACAAGCGTGTGTATGTTTTGCTCAGGGCAACGCTATGTTTTAATGATTCAACTGTTCCATATAATCCACAGCCACATGCATGGCATTGTTTAAAATATCTGAATCTATATTCTGGAATTCATAAGAGGAATCTTTGCAAATCCATGAGAAATTAACTAAATAGGGCAAATTGTCCTTATTCATATGATCATCGCTTGTCAAAATGAACTTGTAAATATCAACTAGCGCTTCCTTCACATCTATGTCTTTGTAATTCTTCTTTTCGATTTCTGTTTTAAACATTTCTTTATTCTTCCCAATTACCACTCCTGAATATTTGTAACATGCTCCGTTCGGTTCGACACAGTAAATTTCACCTGTACATGTCCCGCGAAGGAGAGGGTAAAATGAGACAACAATGGCAGTAGCAATGGCAGTAGCAATGGCAGAAGCAATGGCAGAAGCAATGGCAGAAGCAGCAACAACAACATATGAAGGGGCAAAAATAAATATGAATGTAGATGGGCACAGTCTAGTGGTGATGTGACAAAAAAGCAAACTCATGAGTAGTAAGTACTAATGGGGGAGTACGTGCACGTGTCTAGAGATACCTTTCTCGTTTTCATCAAAGGACGCTAATATAATGGACGATGCAAATGGACGCAGGTGCCAATACAAGGTATACGCATGTATATACAGAGATATTCTATTTGCTAATATATGAAGAGGGATATTGGTGTGGAAATTGAGAAAATAATTGTTGGCTTCGCTTTTAGCACGGTCAATTATGTTCCTTGCATCTCCATCCAACCCTGCATATGTTATGATAATGTTGTTATTGATATGATATATTCTGTTATAACTATTCTTCTTAATCATTTTATTTTTCTGAAGATTGGAATTAATGCAACAAGTTATTATACCATCTCGACACTCTAAGCTTAATGCTGTATTGTTATTATTGATTGATTTGTAAATATACTCCACTTGGTATAGCCTCCCATCTGGAGAAAATGTAGAAACTGATAAATCATACCCCGCGCTTAATCCTGCCATTTATTTCGACTTTCTACTTTTTCTCGCTTGCTTAAAAAATGGCTTATATATATATATATATATAAACACAACGCAAGTGTGTATGTATTTATATATTTATGTATGTATCCCTCACATAGGAGTATTTGCAACACGAAAGGTGATTCTTCTCTTCACACTTGCGTGACACGTCTTCAATGACAAGAAAACAGAGGAGGTATGAAGGTTGAGGGGGAAGAGTTGGTGTGCATGCTCTTCACACTTTTTACTCGGTTGTGATGATTTACAATGGGCTTATAAAAAATAAAAAGGGGAAACGTGTACTTTTGCGTTATGGAGTGTGTACAAGTATGCACTCAAATATGCACTGATGTTTTATGCATTTCTTTTATTTTATATACATATATATATATATATTCTTTTTTTTTTTTTTTTTTTTTTTTTTTTTTTTGCTCTAGTTATCGCTGGAGTAGGCTCTTCCTCGCGGTTGCTGTTTTTTTATTAACACTTGGAGAGTTGCAAAAATGGTTATTTAGGGGTTATCTCCAGACTAAAAGTTCAAAAGGGATACATATATATGTATGCATAAGAATATAAGGCCTTTCTCCCATGCAGGATTTCAAAAAGTTCTTTTCTTGCAGCTAATGTTTTTTTATTACGTACTTGCAGTTAAGGCATGCTCGTGGCTAATACATCTGTACCAATTTTTTGCAAAAAAAATATTCGACAGTGACTTGGGATATGTGTTGTGTGTTCCCCCTTAGCTATAGCTCGGGGGAAGTTCCGTTCTTCTTTTATTTGTTCAAAAAGGTAAACAAAAATAAAAAATATACATATACAAATGTATATACACATGCATATTCAAGTTAGTGAATGTACAAGGAGAGGGTATGCATGTATCCAACAAGGCGGGGAGGGGGAAAAGTCGCGAAAACAGGGAAGGCACGTAAAAATAAGCACACTCGAAAATCTATCTCCACCGAGTTTATATGGCACCAAGCCTGAGCCTACAAAATATAAGTTCTACCTCATATGCATAAACTTGGCATAATTGCCATAAAAATTGTCGAAAAATTGTCGAAAAATTGTCGAAAAATTGTCGAAAATTTTCACGTCATTTCATGGCGTTCCCATTTAGGTGTTCCTCACCTCATTCCTCTCTTTGGCCTCGTTTTACATTCTTTTTTTTTTTTTTTTTTTTTTTTTTTTTCTTTGGTACTCTTAATTTTTCTTTTGCAAAGTGCATACAAGTTCTCCATTTGCAATTTGATCTCTCATTATGTTGATAAAGGAAAATTATATTTTCCTTTTATTTTATACACACGTTGCTTCGTTCATTTTTTTGAAAATCAGTGTGATTATAAAGGAACATAAAAGCTGTTCATGCGATGTGCCCATAAACGTGCCACAATTTTCTTAACCCATGCTGAATGTTTTTTATGTGGAAAGTGAAAAAAAAAAAAAAAAAAAAAAAAAAAAAACGAACGAATGAATGAATGAATGAATGAATGAACGAAAGAAAAGTCCTTGAATTTTGAACAACAATTGCACAACCTATCCTAAGAATAAAAAGAGTTCTGTCCGTGCTCCACCATTTTGTAAATTGACAGAGGTTAAACATTCTCTTTGAACAACTGGATCTACGAGTGTCTGCATGCGAATAAGTTCACTCTAGAACACCCGTGTGAATATTTCTTCAACTGTGTGTGAAAGAAGAGGGGTGCAGGTGGGGGGGCGTGAAAGAGGAAACACACAAAAAACAAAATATCCATAAAAATATGAACAAAAATATCCATAAAAATATGAACAAAAATATGCACAAAAATATGAACAAAAATATGAACAAAAATATGCACAAAAATATGAACAAAAATATCCATAAAAATATGAACAAAAATATGCACAAAAATATGAACAAAAATATGCACAAAAATATGAACAAAAATATGCACAAAAATATGAACAAAAATATGCACAAAAATATGCACAAAAATATGAACAAAAATATGAACAAAAATATGCACAAAAATATGCACAAAAATATGAACAAAAATATGCACAAAAATATGAACAAAAATATGCACAAAAATATGCACAAAAGTTGCGATCCAAGTTGAGGCCAAAGTCGAAGACACAAGCGTCAACGAAAAACAAACGAAAGGGAAAAGAAAAGTCGCACGTTTGTCTAACCATTCCCCAGCACCCCAAGAAGTAATCCATTTTAATGTTCCTCCATCTTCGGTCTCCTGGAGATGTGTCACTTATAGGAAAAAAAGCCACATATAAAGTTTGTCTAAAATCCAGAAAAGTACACATATATACATATCCTACTATTCTTCTTTGAGAAGTATGATATATTTTTCCATTTCTACAAGTTGCACCTTTTTATATTTATAATGGAACGATTTGACCGCGAACAACAGAACTGCTTATACATGTCGGATTTTATAAAACTTAAGAAATAGGAATGTCAAAATAAATAAAGACAAAATGAATAAGAAAAAAAAACTTGTAGAATAATATGCTCATAAGAATGCGTCCAATCCTATGCATAAATAAATGTTCATGAAATATTACTAAAGACAGAAAAAGAAAAAAAAAAAAAAAAAAAAAAAATTCTCTGATGAGACCAACCAACTGGTTATGTTGAAAACAACAAAAATAAAAACTTGTCATTCGTATGGTAACTGTTTCCATTTTCAGACGTAAAAAAAAAAAATAAAATAAAGACAATTAAGGACATACGCAAAAAATGCAACATCGTCTTGTATTTGTTTTTTTCTACATTTCTTTCTTTCATGTGAACCGAATGAGATCCCTGGAGAACAAATAAATGCGTGAAATAGAGCCTTAAAATAGGGGCTTGAAATCGAGGTGTAAAAGAATGAACTGATAAATAAGCACAAAAATGCATGTTCCTTGTCCCAGAAAAAAAAAAAAAAAAAAAAAAAAACTAATTATGCATGCATGCCGTGTAAGCTCTCCATTCAAAAGAAAAAAAATAAATAAATAAATAAATAATAAAAATAAATGGACAAATATATGGAAAAGTATATGAACAAGTGCATGAACAAATGTGTGAACAAAAAGTGGAACATAACAGAACAATTCGAACATAGTTAAAAAAAAAAATAAAAAAAATAAAAAAAAAAGTCATACTGTGCTGATATTTACACATGTTTTTTTTTTTTTTTTACAAACTCTTGGTCTACATGCTAGTACGTGGAGAGTTGTGCTTGTTCACACTTTCATCCATCACTCTCCACTCAATATAACAGAGCGATTAAATCTGTACATAAGTGCTCATATATATACACATACACATCTATACAGATATGAACGAATGTATTTACCTATTTTGCTTATTTCCAATTTCTAAACCAGCATAAATTTTGCTGCAAATGAAAAACACAGGTGTAAAAAAAGAAAGAGAAGAAAAAAAAAAAAAAGAACCCCCTCAAGACGTTACTTCTCCCATTATGTGTTAACTTATAACACAGAAGGAACATTCGAAAGAGAAATACAAATAAATACATCATGAAAAAATGAGAAATAAAATAATTTTGCTAACATATTTGTATACACTAGTGGGGGCTCTTTTTCAGGTCTTCTTTGAAACAGTACTTGATTCATTTTGAGTCTGCATCAGCCCGGGTTCGTATCTGTTTTTTTTTTTTTTTTTTTTTTTTTTTTTATTAATTACTCTCCTCTTCTTCCCCTTTTTCTCTTGTTAGACGAACAGTCCACAGAACCTTTTTCTTCACTTTGGCATTTTCCATACTTCGATAGTTCACCCTCTGTGCTATGCTTGAATCTGAGTTATAAACTTTTTTTTTTTTTTTTCATCTGCACACGGTCAGAAAAAATAGTAATAAGTGTGACACCCCACCGAATGAGACAAACAAAAGCCCAATGAAGTTACTCACATGTGGCATACTGTTGTTTGCACTATGGAGTCATGCTCTACTTGGAGGTGGAAGACATTTAGATAAATTCGAGCCTTCCTTAAAAGAAGAAGGAGAACTATTTATGGATTATTCATATAGATGTGAACACAGTGGATTCATAAATTTGTTGAAAAGAAATCCTTTATACTTCTGCTTCTTCGTTGGAGAAGGAGATTCTTCGTCCTATGGATTAATGCTGAGAACATTCAATTCGGATGAAAAGTGGGGAATTCCAAAAGAGGTATTAATTACAAAACAGAAAATCACCATGTTTTCATTTATAGATGATTATATAGAAGAAAAACTGATACTTATATATACATATGATACAAAGATAAGAATGACAGTATTCAATAATTACATTGAATCACCAACACAAGTTGACAAGATAGGTTTAAATTATGAAATATTTATCAAGGCAAATACAATTTCTCAAATTACATATCTTTTTAAAAATAAAAAATCTATACTTGTATGTGGATTGAATAGACATAATAACATACTCTGTTCATATTCTTTCGATTATGGATTGACAATGAAGGATGCAAATTCAATAGAACTTATATTAAAGGTCAAAATACCAATGGTGCAATATAGGATGTATGTAAAATTGAAACATGAATATATATATGTCAACATGTATGATGATATCAATGAGAACAATTATTATGAATTTAAATGCACAAAAATGGGTGAACAAGAATACACATGTGATGTTATGAACAACCCATTCAAAGAAGGAAATCAATTTAAATATAAATCTATTTTGAGAAACCGTATGTTTCAAACCATTGTTTATCAGATGAATGATAAATGTTATATAAGTTGGTCTTTCAACTCAACAAGTATTAACAATGAAATAACTCAAATAATTTCAGATTCTTCTTGTTCTCATGTCTCTCTCATTCATAAGGGAACCTCATTAGTTGTCACTTACCAGAGGGAGACGAATCCCCATTCCTCCTTGGGACCCCAATTTTATCGCATTTTTGAGGTAAGTCTCCATCAGAATGCATATGCCAAAGGGAATGTGACAGAAGAACAAAAGGGGTTGCCTATGATCACACGATTGCACACATTGCATCCTGGGATTCGAATACTGATCATGCATGTGATATTATGCCAGTCTCGATTATACCCTAAAGTGTATGCCAACTTCTAATGCCAACTTCTAATGCCAACTTCTGTGTCCAATTCTAGTGCCAACTTCTAACACCACTTTCACCCCACGCAGAACCTGCGAATGAAGGAATATGGATGCGAGTTTCGCTCAGGAGGGAGCCTGTACGTGACGAACACATTTCTGAACAAGCAGTGCAACATAGAGATAATGCAGGCAGAGAAAAATTTTGCAAACGAAGATGAGATAAGTTTCAACATAGTAGTTCCAAACCACTTCACAATTGAGGAATCCTCATGTTTTGTGTCAAACGAAATGTATAATAATGACAAAACAACATTGTATTACCTAGAACAAGAAGAAGTAGAAGAAGAAAAAATAACCATCTTTACATTTTTGTTCTATCGATATATAACAAGCCATACAAAAGTAAAGGAAAGTTCTTGTATTCTTAAAGATGAAAGTAAAAAAGAGAAATTACAAATTTTTTTGAATTTAGAAGAACAATATAAAGAGTACGAATGTAACATTTCTTCAAATGATTTATGTGATTTTTTTATTCAAGAAAAGAGTAATATAATTATACATTTTGATGAAAATAACTGGACTGTAGACAAAGAATTATTACGTGCATCATTAGTAATATATGGTGGGATACATATTCCTCTCCATAATTTACTCAGTACATCAAGTATTAACGAATTAATTCATTTTAAAGAAAATGAGGTTTCCATATTTATACCTGCAATTATACCAAGTGTAAGGACAGCAAAAATTCCATTTACAAATAAACAAAATGGCACAATAAAATATGCATATTTAAGACTACAGAAAAATCTAAATCCGTTGAAAAAAGTATTGGGTATAAATTTCTCGTCCATATTTGATATTCATTATAAATATTTTAAACATTATCAAGAAAATGTAAAATTTATCATGAATGAATTTAATGAAACTAACTACATAGGAATGATATGTGAAACTCATATTCAAATTACAACACCTCCGTGTACTTTAACTTTGGTTGATCATTCAAATAAAAACTTTCATATTCATTCTGTATTTCCAAACAAAGTACCTTTTCTATACAAATACACAAAGAAGAAATTTTCACATATGAATGATTTATACATAAGTGAAACTCGTTTTGTCGTTTTCAAAAATTTTAACACCATTCTGGAAAATAAAAATATAAAATACCTTTACTTTAAATGTGTATGCAACACCAAGAACGCTGAAGGTATAGATTCCTTTAACCAAGTTGATTTTGTTATCACAACTGAAAAAATATCATCTGACGTTATTCACTCACGCAAGGTTATTGCACTCCCGAAGAACTTCAAAGAGGGTCCCAATAATGATGATAAATCTGATAAATCTGATGATGCTGGTAATGCTAATAATGCTGATAATGCTAACGATGCTGATAATGCTAACGATGCTGATAATGCCGACGATGCTGACAATGCTGATGAGGACAAGTCTGATTATGGTGAGCAAATTTCACAAAATAACAGAGAAAATATAAATAATTTTATGCGCAACAAACAATATGCTCAAAACAGAGGATCAACAAAACATACTAATAAATTGTCGGGAATATCTGACAATTTCTACACAAGTTCTGGATCTTCTTGGAATCTTTCCATTTACATAAGTCTCATTTACTTCTTTTCCTCTTATTGTGTATACATATAATACTGCTAGTGCGAAAAAAAAAAAAAAAAAAAAAAAAAAAAAAAAAGACCTAAGACACAAACATATACCTAGCATTATCTCCATTTGGAGAAATTAATCTGCACCGCTACCCAAACAATTTTCACATTTTTCCCAAAAAAAAATCGATGAACTTCAAGGAAAATATCCCTTTTTACACAAAGGTGTTACAACCAAATGACATCAAATATAACTTCAATTTTCACATATTCATGTTTTTACACACATAAAAAAAAAAATAAAATAAATTCTCAATTTTGGTTTCTCCCACTTGCATGAAAATGCATAACGTGCTTATATTCATCCCATTTGACATTTTCATTATTGTAAAAAAAATTGTTCAAGAAAATTATTGTCTCTCTATTCATATTTTATATGGCTACCGTAAGATAGCACTCAAGGAAATATGGAAAAAAAAAAAAAAAAAAAAAAAATTCAGGCTCACCTCTACCTACCACCCACTGCTTTCTTTTAACTATTAACGTGTGCATACTTTTTAGGATAAGGAAGATCACCTAATCTGGAAACACACATAAAGATTCGTCCACAATGAATGAAAAGAATTAAGCATTAGCACATGGCATGACAGTAACACATTTATTGTTTGATTCGTGTTGATTTATAAAATCGTGTTCGAGAAAGAAAAGATGAAAAGGAAGGAAAAAAAAAAAAAAAAAAAAAAATAGAACAAAATAGACCAAAATAGCATAAAATAGAATAAAACGAAATTAATGACAAAATTGTAGGTGGAAACACACACGAGAAACACGTGAATGTAATACATTTTCAAGCTCACACACATGTGTGCCTTTCCGCATGCAAATTAAGAACGAGTTCAGGTTTTTTTTTTTTTTTTTTTTTTTCCCTTAACAAATTCACAAAGAAAAGTTATAGAGAGGGGGTGGTGGTGGTGGTGGTNNTTTTTTCCTTAACAAAATCACAAAGAAAGGTTATAGAGAGGGGGTGGTGGGGGTGGTGGTGGTGGTGGTGGTGGTGGTGGTGGTGGTGGTGGTGGTGGCCAGGATTGTTTACATGAACACTTTTAAAAAAAAAAAATTATATACATGATGGGGAAGGGGTAGGAAGAAAAGAATGTAATATATAAGCTTCCTGCGATTCCACTTTTCACATTGAAAAAAAAAAAAAAAAAAAAATGCATACAAGAGGACTTATTCATAGTTCATTTATCTATGAAAAAAAACACATATGCATAAAAATTTCATAAAATTTAAAAATTACTGAAGGATAAAAAGAAAGTATTACGTAAAAAAAATAGAAAAATTTTTAGTTCGTTAAAAATGAGAACTTTTGGCATAGTTCTTAGGGTTACAGATTTTCTTCACATGACAAGAATTTACCTGACATGGTCAGAATTTTCCTGATGCGTTGTGAGTATACACACCTGACATGGTCAGAAATTTCTTGGTGATATATGAAAATTTATCTTGACATTCTCCATAGATCCTCCAACAAGCTATACACATTTGAGCAGTATTTAATAATCTCGCAGAAAAACTGTGCATCACCACGTTTAATGCTATGCAGTTACTCCATTTTGATAAATCCATATTATTGGGATGAGGGGAGGGAGGCAAGGAAAAAAAAAAAAAAAAAAAAAAAAAAAAAGGCAAACAAAGAAAGACAAAGAAATGCAAAGGATGGAACGAATAAAACATATGATGTGTAAGCAAATGGACGAATAACAAACGCACATATGGCCACTCACAAATGAGAAGCAAAATTTGGAAAAAACTAGCCTCATAAGATTATTCCCCTCGACACACAGTTCTCTCCTACTCACACCAGAGTGCGCAGAAAAATAGCAGTAGAACCAGTAAGCACATATCATAACAAGGAGGAGGACGTGCATCCATAATGGAACACATATAAACATTTTCCTGAATAGTGAGAAATAAACTCACCAATTAAAAGTAATACGTTCCGTTTCGCTTGTAATACCTAAGCAACTGTTCGTTTAAGTACAAATGTACATCCTCAAACCACTTGTGCTTCAACGCTTCATTGGCTGTTATTCTGTTTTTGTAATCATAACTCAAGAATTGATCAATTAAGTCTATACCATGATCGCTAAGAATTCTTCTCCCATAAATGTCAGTAAAAATTATCTCCAGCATTTTAATTCTATCAACCTTAAATTGGGGTAATTCCCCAATAAATTCCTTTTTAAGTAAATTGTCAAAATCGTCATTTGGTATTCCTCTGAACACAAGAATTTTAAACAAAACTGAAGATTCAAACTTTGATGTTACAGGAACAAAACCTAACAAACATTCACACATTGTTATACCAACAGACCAGATATCAACTGAGTAATTGTACAAGGTGCTGTTACATAATATTTCTGGGGGTCTATATTGTAAAGTTATTATATTGCAATCCTTAGTTTCTGCTTTTAAAAAATGATCATAGACCCCTAGGCCAAAATCTGCAATTTTTACAATCCATTCTTTGGAATCATTTAATCCATCAGATAAGTACTGAATATTTTTGATAAGTGTATTTGCTGGTTTTATATCCCTATGAATGATGAATTTTTTGTGAAAATGATTTATTCCTTGTAACATTTGATAAATAATAACCTTTGTTTGCATTTCAGATAGAGATGGCATATCTGGGTAAAATGATCGATTTTCTATTTTTTTCAAAGGTAGATACACATACTTCACATAATTATGTATATGATCATAGGACATATCAATTCGTTCATTTGGTAAATGTTGAGCTGTACACTGTTTAATATGTTGAATAAAAGCTGTGTGTCTTTTCTTGGCCTTATTCAAAATGTCATTCAAACTACAATCACATTTTTCTATTACTAGGAATAGATCCCAATTTTCGATATAATCATTATTTTTACTTTCAATTTTTTTTAATTTTTTAGAATGTTTTCTAAACTTTAATTTATCTATACTTTTATTGGTTTTTATTCTATTATATTCAGTTCTCCATTGTTCACCACCATGTTTCAAATTTGTTATTTTCATTTTCTTCTTGGTGTGTAAAGAAGACAAATCATTGCTTCGATCTTTCTTTATATCTTTCCTTGTGCAGATCGTCGACCCATATGTGCTTTTAAAATATCCATCACCACAAGCATTGCTTGAAGTATTTTCAATCCCTCCAACATCGGTATTATAACTTCTCAAACTTTTAACAGTCTTGTTTGCATTTATATGGTTACCCAATTTTGGATTATTTAAACTTTCCTCCTTATCTATATTGTACATTACAAGATCCTTTTCCAAATCTTCAATTGTTATGCAACTTTTGGATATCAAATTTTTATACTTATTATTCCTCTCTACAGTTTCACGAGATGGAGAATACTGATTCCTCTCTACCTTACGATGCCTTTGAAAGCTAAAGTCATATTCTGCTGATAAATTCTCCGTGCGTATTTTTTGGTTTCGATGACTCTTTAATTTATTTTTTCTATATGTGTGAACTCGAAAACTGTCTAATAGACATACCACATTGGGATGAAATAAAATTCGCATAATGTTAAATTCGTTAATAGCAAATTCCTCAGAACCGAATTTGTATTTAAAATTTGGCCAGAAATACCGCAACACCTTTACAGCAAAATGAAGATACGAATCTCCTAAAGATTCTGCTTTGAATACTTTCCCATAAACACCTTCTCCTAACTTTTTTACAATTTTATATTTTTTCATAAAATCCCGAGGAAATAAGTTTAACAATTTATCTACTTTTATTTCAGAATTTTTATGATTAAAAGAAATGTTGGAAAATATTTTCTCATTTTCAATCATTTCTCTTTCGTATAAGGATTGTTTATCGTAGAGAAAACCGTCTATCAAATCTAAACGGAAATTTTTTAACTTTTCATCAGTTACATAATCTTTCAGTGCCATCTCTTCATCAATTATCTCATTATCTTTATTGAACATGTCATCAATTGTGTAGCTTTCATTTGTTCGGAAGTGTATTATCTCTTTCAATTTTTCCACTTCTTTACTATCCAAATGGAGGGTAGAATTCCAATATTTACTAAAAAATTCTTTTCTACTAAGTAACCAAAAATTTTTTATATATTTTTTCATCATAATTTCCTTTGTGTCCACATTTTTATTGATCACTATTTTTTCTCTCTTATTTATTAACAAATCTTGATGATTCAAAAGGATGTTTGAAATGTTGTCACGTTCTTTGTTTTCAACTTTGCTTACATCTTGAAATTTATTTTTACCCAACAATGTATTGTATAATGACATTCTAGGTCTCTTAAAAAGTTTCTCTCCTTCAAAATGATCATTTTTTATACTATATGTTGATGAATTCATTTTGTATTTTAAAAAATCCTCTTTCGATTTACAAATACTTTCTCTCCTTTTCTTGTCAATAAATTCTTCTAGATTTGATCTATCCTCGTACATGTTGCAAATATTGTTAATTAGGTTATTATTTATATTTCTTTTAAATTTGTATGAGCAATAATTCTCAAAATTCATTAAATTTTTTGAAAATAATTCTTCATCATACTTTGTTCCTTTCATTATGTTCTTGCTCGGGAGTGATCTAACAAGTAGCTCTTTATGCCTCCTATCATCCCTGTTAATTGATAAATTAATGAATTCTAAATAATCCTTGTTTCGTTCTTTGTAGCTGTAAACATGGCTTCCAATACTACTGGCACTGTCACTAATCCCATTTCTATCTCGAAGTTTATCGCCATTCCTATTTCCATTTCCGTCCTGCTTACCTGCATTATTTAACACTAACGCTCCTGTACTAACAGCTAACCGAGTTCTGTTCATATATTTGTTTTCTTCCTCTTTGCTGATATCATATAGATTGACTTTTCTCCTCTCTCCATTCAATCCATTGCACAGGCTATGTCTCAGCATGAAATTATTTTCCGATAGGGCTGAGGTGCGTTCATTTTCGATATCTACATTGCCTGTCAATCCATGCCCTTCTCGATCTTTTGATTCTTCCTTAAGTTTATATATGGAACTCCTATTTAACACAGTAGAAGAATCACAATTTCTAGAACTATACAAGTCTTTCAATTCTAAGGGATCTTTCATCAAATTATTACGTATTTCCTGTACGCTCTCATTTATGGAATTCTTGTTCACTCCCTTGATACTGTTCCTAAGATTAACCTCTTTTAACGACATGGAAGATCTACTAATGGCATATTCTTGATTGGTTTGATAAATATTGTTATTTTCAGTTTTGGTGTGTATTTCGTTACTTGATGAATTATTGGATCTGTACGAGTCCATGCTAAAATTATCCACGTGAATTTGGTTTAATTTGGACTTTTTATAATTCATCAGGTTGTGTTCTATGTTATTTTTCATGTTTAAGTACTTGTTTTGGTTTGTGACTCTGGTAGATAAGTGGCTAGTAAGGGTCTTACTATTAGCAGTAGTATCGTGATTATTGTTGTTGCCAATTAGTGCGTCATTATCGTTATCCATCAATTTATCCCCTGCACTTGCTGGTTTGTTAGAATGTTTATCTGTAACGTTTTTATTTTTAAAATAGTTCAAAATTGTGTAATTCGTATTGTTCACATTGTCATTTTTTCCATCAAACACTCGATTTTCTCCAACTTCATTAACAATTGCGCTCTTTTCTTTAATGGAAGAAACTCTGTTTATATGAGGATATATCTTTTCCTTTTCTATTCCTTTATATACAGTTTCCTTTTTGTTATTCTCTTTATTTCTTATGTTAATTAAACTTGTTGTTTCCAACTTGTCTTTTGTATTTTTGGAAATTTTTTCATTTTTTACTTTTTTTAAATTCTTTCTAATAACTTCATCATTTTTTGATTCGTCATTTAGAAAGACGTTTTTTTTTTTATTCATGTTTGATCTTCTTTTGTTTAAAACTTTTTTTTCGTTGTAAGAACTTTTTTCTACTAACGCATTATTTTTAATTCGTTTTGACGTAACTCTATCCATCAAGATATTGAAAATTAAAAAAAAAAAAAAAAAAAAAAAAAAAAACAGTGTGTGCAGAGAAAACAGCAAAACCAAACTGTAGTCACAATTTTTTTTTTTTTTTTTTTATGAAAAATGGCTAGTTATATGAACTGTTCATAATTTTGTTGTACACACATGTATTTGTGTTTAATATGTTTACATGAATTTTTTTTTTTTTTTTTTTTTTAAGTATAAGAACTGTCCACTAGGAGCAGTGAATACGTGTTATTTTCTTCTTTTTTTTTCTTCTTCTTTTTCTTCCTTTTCTCGTTGACTTGTATTATCTTTTTTTGCGAAAAGTTCACAACCTTTTCACTTGATTTTATATGTGTGTTAAAATGTATATGAACATGTACAAGCCTGTGCATATATAAACATGTGCAAACATGTAAGAATATATACATATGTATATAATTTTTAGTACCCCTGTGACAATATTTCTCAATGTGTAAATGTGTGTATTGAGCTAAGTTTTCATGTATTTATAAAATGTGATGCTTTCACTTCCATGAATTGTCATACAACTGATCGGAGTTTAGTGTTACACGTGCATGTAATTATCCAAGAGATCAGGTATGTGTTTATATATGCGCAGATATGTTTTATGATACAAGGGAATATATGATTGGTTGGAGAGTATCTCTTTAAAGTATTCCTCTTTTTTTTCCGCGCTCCATTTAGTACGAAAGTGAAGTGATGTATATATGTACGTGTGTATATTTGTATGTACGTGTGTATATTTGTATGTACGTGTGTATATATGTATATACGTGTGTATATATGTATGTACTTATATATATATGTATGTACTTATATATATATGTATGCATGTATATATATGTGCTGCCTTTGATACACCCAATTGATGGGCATATCTCTCAAACTGGTTGCGCTAGTAAGGGTGATAAGGAGGTGCATGTGCTGATGCAAAGAATTCATGTAAAGAGAAAATATTTGTAAATGAGAAATGTTGTAAACAAAGGAATGACAAAGTGTGTTTTGTGTACAAACGCAAGTTTGCTCTCATTTATTCACAAATAAGTATGCAATAAATATAATGGGTAACATGTAAATGAAATGATAAAAATGAGTGAAAAATAGATAAAAACGAATGGATGCAAATGGAGAATATGCATGAACTTTGTTTTTGCGCTACTTCAATTGCCCGATTTCACTTATCTTTTATTTGTTTTATTTGATTTGAATTCCCCTTTTGAATCTCTCTTTTTCTTCCCAAGTGTTAATACACAGAAATAAATGAAGGAGAGAATATAAAAAAAAAAAAAAAAAAAAGATCCCCAATGCAATGAAGTGGTGGTGCTGTTCAAATGCACACATATGTATGGGTACTCATGCAAATGCACATATATATTATGTTGATACTTTCACGTAGATGTATACGTGTATGTGTTTTTTTCTTTTTTTTTTTTTTTTAAAGAAAATCATTTCCAGCTCATACACAAATGAAAACTCAGGTAACTATTTTACCCAAGCAATGAAAAATTTTCAATCGTCAAACTAAAGGAAATTCGTGGATACACATAAAATGTATGCATTAAAAATATAATCAATTTCCCTATTTAAGCGTTTGATTAAAATATTCTATTTTTCTATTTGCTATTCTGGAATTCATTTCTAGTTTTTCTTAAATTTTTTTTTTTTTTTTTTTTTTGTTATTCTCGTATGCTCCAAGTTCTTACCTATTTTTCTCCAACATTAGACGGTAAATAGGAAATACATGTATATGTATTTTGCATGTACAATATACACAGTTGTATAAAATTAAATACTTGAGTATATTTCAAAATGCACACTACATATAATCCTTCACTTATTATTTTGGGAAACACACAATTGGCTTAAGTGTGATATGAATGTGTATGTGTTGCTTGGGAAGTATCCTGCGAGTGTTAACCCCAAGTGTACTTTGATTACGCTTGTGTTGTATACATACACACATGTGTCACAATGTTCATGATTAAGTCAAAATATCCAATTAAACTCATCAGCTTATATATATATATATACATATTTCACCATATGCACATTTACACAATCAGTTACAAAAAACACTCACTCTATTCGTACTTGAGCAGTGGATAAATTAGAAACAAAAAAAAAAAAAAAAAAAAAAAAATGGAGACTGGGAAAAAGTAAATTTAAATTGGAAGTTAACTTTAATAGTCAACTCCAAATCAAAAATAATTCATTTCAAATTCATACCAAATTCAATGTAAATTAAAATCCTTACGAATGGTAAAAATAGAGATTCCTCTTGAATGCTACTCCCACATATTGCATACAGATAAACGTAATTAATGAGGGTTAGTTTTACACGAACTGGAATAAAATGTAAAAAAAAAAAAAAAAAAAAAAAATTAACACAAAATAAATAAAAAAGAAAAGAATTGGATGAAATGTCCCAGAAAAGTGATAATAAGGGTGCAAATGCTTTAACATTATTATTCATGTGTAAATTTGTCACCGGTGTGTTTTTAGTATGCATATGTACATGTAAAACTGCTTATTTATAGTATACTCCTCTTTTCCCAAACTAGTTCACTTGAAATTTTGAACTTGATACAGAATTCATTGTGCATGCAACACTTCAAAAATAAAAATATATATTAACCTTTCTTTCTGAGGATGTGCATACAGGGTGATTTTCGTCACTTTGGACATCACCCTGTATGCACGAATGCAAACCGATTCACGTTCTTCTGCTCTCCCTGATCATAAATTTGTATTTCCATCCTGAAATTGCACATTTTATGTGAGACGAACATTCTCCCCAGCTGCTTTTTCGTCACACTTGAGAATTTTCAAAAAAAAAAAAAAAAAAAAAAAAAAATTAAAACCAATGTGAAATAAAGTAAAATTAAAACCAGTGTGAAAAAAAGTAAAAATAAAACCCATGTGAAATAAGATAAACAGGTAAAAAATAAAGAAAAACAATGTATAATGTAAAAATGAACATTTCCTCTGAATCACCGAATGAGAATAGAAAAATTATTTTCAAAAATTAAAGTGTCTTTTATTGTATTATTTTTTCATATAGCATTTCTATGCATACGTTAAGGAATTCCCCCTCTTTATCCATTTATTTGCATTCACTGTTGTCCAAAAGGAGAACAAATGAATATTTTTATACACGAATTAAAAAGTGCCCATTATCGCTCTAATATGCTTATTTTTTATTTTTACGAGTTTGCTGAATTTCCATTTCTCGAATTTGTTGGATGCTTACAAAAGTCATGATCATCAGTACACATCAAGTGCCAAATTTAAAAGAAAATTATTTTTATTTATAACATTTTTTTTTTTTTCTTTTTTACGCCTACATCGAAACATATATATATGCTCAACAGGTACTTTTTCTTAAACTGTGTATTACTCTTTATTGTCCTTACAAAAAGGCTGCAAGGTGGGTAAAATTTGTCAAAAAAAAAAACAAAAAGCAAAAAATAAAAAAGCCTTAATCCAAAGTAATTAAATGAAAAGCGTTTTTTTTTTTTTTTTTTTTTTTTTTTTTTTTTTTTTTTTTTTTTTTTTTTTTTCTTTTTGCACTGTTCATAACTCGAACTGATATCTAATAGACCAGATTTAATGACACTATCAAATGGTATATCTGTACCTGTCATGCTATAAAGATATGAAGAGATCAAACGATAAATATAATTAAACAGTGGTCTTTTATTAACTTCTTAATGGGGAAAGGGAGTTGTGGAGAGCTGGGTATTCATAATTACTCCATAAAAAGGTACATATTTGTATATGAACAGAATGTTTTAAAAAATAAAGTAAAAAAAAAAAAAAAAAAAAAAAACTACGTGTTAATGTTAATAGATATGTGGCAGCGCGTAAGAACATGAAAATATATATGCACGTATATATACACCTTTTCATAATCATACAAATATGGTAAAATCTATGTCGTAAATGGTATTATATTAAACGGTATGACGTTTAATTTAAAAGGAAAAAATAAAATAAAATCGAGGGGACGAAAGGGTACGCGCAAATACGAAAATTTTTTTTTCTTTTCCTCCTTCGTAAAACAACATTCAAAAGACTGCTTGAATAGCACACCTTATTGAAAAAAATGCATATTTTTTTTTTACAAATTCAATACTTGGAAGTTTTCCTTATCCATTTTGGAACAGACAGATTTCTGTCTCTTCTAGTCACCTTCTTCGCCATTCCTTTCTACATACGCGCTTTGATTTTCAAGCATCTTCTCCCTCATTGTTTTCATGCGATGAAGATATGCTAATGGCCTCGGCTTGATCCACATTCTCATCGTGTGGTTCGTCGTTGTGAAGTGTGTAATCCTGTGTAATGTTCATATTTGAAGGGTTCAGAAAAAGCAAATTGTTTCCTGTTTTATTAGTTTTGTCCAAACGGGTAGACTGTGAAAGATCGTCGTTCAATTCGTCGTCATTTTCGACATCGTCCTCATTTTCGCCATTTTCGATATCGTCCTCATTTTTGACATTTTCAACATAGTCATAGTTTTCACCATAATAAGGGTTCGGGCTCCCTTCTCCATTTCTGTTTGAGTCATCCATGGGTTCATTTTCTGAAACCACTCCTTCCTCTTTCTCTTCTTCCTGTTGTCCCCTTGCGTTGAGTTCATCGTCTTGTATATACTCTCCGTCATCCCCCTGTCCCATTTCCTTCGCGCTATACTCTTCATGCCCATCATCCTCATCATAATCATTCTCCTTCCCCTCCTCTTCTTGTCGTTGTTCTTGTTCTCCTTCAGTGTTGTATTCATCATCGACCTCTTCTTCATTTTCATACTCCTCATTTTTGTATTCTTCATTCTCGTATTCTTCATTCTCGTATTCTTCATTCTCGTATTCTTCATTCTCGTACTCTCCATTCTCGTACTCTCCATTCTCGTAATCATCCATTTGTCCGTCCTCACCATCTTCGTCATCTGCATCTTCTTCATCCGCATCTTCTTCATCCGCATCTTCTTCATCCGCATCTTCTTCATCCGCATCTTCTTCATCCGCATCTTCTTCATCCGCATCTTCTTCATCCGCATCTTCATCATCCGCATCTTCATCATCCGCATCTTCATCATCCGCATCTTCATCATCCGCATCTTCATCATCCGCATCTTCTTCATCCCCCTCTTCTTCATTCTCCTCCTCACGAAGTCCTCCATTCATATTATTATCGTTCCTTTCACAATCTTCATCGGATGAAATAATGTAACAACTCCTGTTACTGTCCATTTCATGATTTTCCCTCTCCACTGATTGCAAAATTTCTTCTGCATTATTATACTCATTTGTGTTCGAATTTATCAAAACTTTTTTATCATAAATGTCACTGTAATTGTGTAATACTCTTGAGTTGTTCATTCCACTGTCAGACTCGAAAAATATGTTTTTTTTTTTTTTTACATTTGAATGTTCTTTAACGTTATTTTCCTCTTTCCTTCCTTCATCCTCCTCGTATTCATAACTTTCACCTTCTTGAGAAAATTCTGCCTTTCCAACATCTACATGATTTTCTAATTCTCTAGTATCGTCATGTTGCCAGACTTGCCCATCCCACCCGTGGATTTCCTCCCCGTGCATGTTACTACTGTTTATATTTAGGGGAGATTTTTTTAATTTTTTAAAATTCCTCATAGATGCGTAGCAATTGGAGTTCATCATTTCAGAGTCAGAATTGTATTTTCTTTTTTTTTTTTTTTTTTCCTTCCTTTCACACGAACCGTAATTGTGCTCCGACAAATTCGAGCTGTATGGCTTAGCCAAGTGTTCCTTGGGTTCACTTAATTTTTTCATTATGAAATTCGTAAACGTGTCATGCGCATGCGCTTCACGCTGGTCTTGGTGAATTTCGTTCTGGTGAATTTCGTTCTGGTGAATTTCGTTCTGGTGAATTTCGTTCTGGTGAATTCCGCTCTGGTGAATTTCGTTCTGGTGAATTTCGTTCTGGTGAATTTCGTTCTGGTGAATTTCGTTCTGGTGAATTTCATTCTGGTGAATTTCTTTCTGGTGAATTTCGTTCTGGTGAAATCGGTCTTGATGATCGTCCAGTTCACTTCCACTGAGGTGGACGTACGCTGAACAGCTTGCAGGAGCATGGGGGATTCCTCCCATATTGTGTGACTCTCCTCTCCAGGTAAACTCATTCCTGGCCTCAATTTCACCACTTGGTAATCCTTCTTGTGATGCTTCCAGAGAAATATCCTCCTTGATATCTACACATGTCATCTTCGAGGCATCTCCTTCACTGCAACAGGACTCGGATAAGCGCTTCTTCTTCTTTCGATCCTCCACTTGATCCTTATCTCTTTCACAAGATTGATCATTCGCTAGATTCTCATAATCATCCGTTCCTTTGCACGACTTAGAAACACTCACTGCAATTTCCTGTGCAAGAATTGTATCAGAGTCTTCTAAACTTTTCATAACGAAATTATTTTCCTTGGGATTAATTACCGATTCACAATTCTTCATTTGTTCATTTTCTTCCTTACCTACTTGTCCATTTTCTTCCTTACCTACTTGTCCATTTTCTTCCTTACCTACTTGTCCATTTTCTTCCTTACCTACTTGTCCATTTTCTTCCTTACCTACTTGTCCATTTTCTTCCTTACCTACTTGTCCATTTTCTTCATTACCTACTTGTCCATTTTCTTCATTACCTACTTGTCCATTTTCTTCATTACCTACTTGTCCATTTTCTTCATTACATGATTCTTGGAGTGATTTGTTTTCTTCATTTGCATCACGAATGATACCTCTAAATATGTCCCTAATAAAATCAGTGACATTACTTTTAACTTGTTCATTAGAATCACAATCAATATTTTTCTCTGGGTTCTCATTGCCTATACATGTGTCATCAGTGCATGATGGCTGTGCCTCTCCTCCCTTACACATCTCCTCTTCTAAAATATTCTCCTCATATCTTTCCAATGTTTCATTAGAAGAAGAATTATTACCATCATGTTCATTTGATGGAATCATAACATCTCCATGCAAAGGTTCCAAATTGTCCTGTGATCCTTTTCCCAAGTTATCTTGATCGGCGTTGCTGAATTCTCCTCCTGTACATCTACCACTCTCGTCATCCACTTTTCCAATTGTGTGCACCATATTAATAGCTTCACCAATTGACAACGAATCACTAGTAGGATTCTCTTTGCTGTTCATACTTTCCATGATATGTTGGTTTTTTTCTATATTTGGATTTGCATTTCCTTCTTCATCAAAGGTGAGACATACAGGTTCTATACCACTTTCCTCGCCTTTCATGGACATATTTGCATCTACATTAGATGTAGCCCACGCGGGAAATACTTCAGAGGGTAAAATGTTGGAACTTTGCATCTTCTCATCTGGCAATGGAATTGTATATGACATGCGATTCTGCGAAGAATCGAATCCAGTAAATGACGATTCTGTGCACTGTGCTTCTTCCAAGGGTTCCGCTATGGGTTCACTTTTGTTCTCGTTTGGATTCTCACATGGGTCCTCGTTTGGGTTCTCACATGGGTCCTCGTTTGGGTTCTCACATGGGTCCTCGTTTGGGTTCTCACGTGGGTCCTCGTTTGGGTTCTCACATGGGTCCTCGTTTGGGTTCTCACATGGGTCCTCGTTTGGGTTCTCACGTGGGTCCTCGTTTGGGTTCTCATCATGAGAAAGGTGATGATTATCCAAGAAACATGCCTCTCGAAGATGCACGTTCTCATCGGTCCCCCACTCCCCTTGACAATTCAACAAATGCACTTGTCCCTTTTCTACTATTAAATTAAAATTGTAAGCAAATTTTTGAATGTTCTGAAAAGTTTCTTCTATAAAATTGTAATTTATGTTTGACCAATCTCCTCCACCACTGCTCCTATTATATTCGTGCTTCTCCAATTCAGAGTTCCCTGGTTCGCTTTGATCCATTGTTGGAATATCACTGTAATTTTGCAATTCATCAATAATCGAATCGTACATGTAAAAATGGAAAGAATTCTTCAAATTCCTAAGTTTGTTAAGGATAGAATCTTCCACTTTTCTTCTCGAGTTTACAATTTTGAAAATGTCACAAAATATAATATTATGTCTGATCAAGTAAATAATAAAACTTTTATATCTACCTAAATTCTTCATATTGTGTTTATTTAATTCTTCTTTATTTTTTAAATTATTTTTTAAATTTTTTATGGAACTTTCATTAATCTGAATATTGTCCTTTAGTTGAATAATTTCATCTAAATTATTCACTCTTATTATTTCATTTTGTTTATTTTCATTCTTCAAATTTTTGATGAATTCGTTTAGACTTTCTATACTTTGTTCAAGGGAATTTACTTGGTTCTTCAGAACCTGAATTTCTTTCATATTCCTGTTAATAATGTATAAATAGCATGACCCAAGCTTAAAGAGCTTCAAAATATTACACTTGATGATTACTATTTGTTCATTGATGCACATGGGACCAATTCCATCCCTGCTGTTATTGCATGTCGACAAATTAAGATTCTCATTTGGAACGGCTAACCCTGGAGCATCTACACATGGAGTGGAAGAACCCCTTGATAAACTTTTCAACATGTTCAAAATCTCATCTGATGATGCACTCATGGCATTTTCAAGACTCGAGAAGTTTCCAGTTGCCTTGCCAAGTGTGAATCCATTGAGTAAGTCGTCTAACTTATTGTTGTACTTATTCTTCAAACTTTCTATAATATCATCCTTTTCCTTTATATGCTTATTTATATTCATTTTGTATTTCTCCATAATGATAACAGATTCTTTTAATTTATCCATACTATGAGACATGTTCGACATGTTATCATTCAATTTTCTTATTTGATCTTCTTTTTCTTTCACTTCTTCTTTCAACTTGTCAATAAATTCATTTTTATTTTCCAATTCTGCTGTGAGATCTATGTTTTCATTTATGTATTTGTATATTTCCACCGATACTGTCGTCTTCTCGTTTTGTGCGTTGGATTCCCCTGGTTCTGTAGTTTCATGATGCTCCTTCTGTGATGCATCGTCAACCATTGCTTTCATTTGATTATTTTTATTCATCAGTTTTTTAATCTCAAAATTTAGTTCATTAATTTTTTTCTCCTTCTGGTTAATAATAGCAAGATATTCACTTACCTGTTGTTGCAATTTCTCGTTTTGAACAATGTTGATATCATTATTTTTGGTGCAAAGAAAAAATTCATTTTCTTTTTTCAAATGTTCTATTTTTTTTTCCTGTTCTTCCTTACTGATAAGAAGGATTCTATTTTGTTCTGTCATTACATCTAGGTCAGTTTTTATCTTGTTAATAAAAATCACATTATTGCTATTTTTTTGTTCTAATTCCTTTTCGATTTTTTTATTTTCATTTTCTTTTTTCGACAGTTTGGATTCTAATATTTTTATTTTCATAATGTACTTTTCTTCATTCAAGTGTACTTTTTCAAATTCATTCGCTAAGTTTTGTAATTCAATTCTAGATTTTTCCAAATTAAATTTAAGATTAACTATAAAATCGCTATCCTTATCATTGATTACATTTTTACTTGTAAGATTTGTTTGTAACTCTATAATATGCTTTTGCTGTTGTAGGTATTTTCTTTTTTCCAATTTAAGTTTTTCCTTTAGTTGACTATTTTCACATTTTACTTTTTCTCTTAATGTACAATTATGATGTAATTCTTCTTGTAATTCTTTATTAAGTTCCACAAGTTGTTCTAATCTATTTTTCAAAATTTCATTATCGTTGATATTTATTTGTTTTTGAAATATTTCATTTAAATGTCTGTTATCTTTTTTAATATTTGTCAAGAGCTCATTCAATTTTTTTATTTCTTCCTTATACGAGTTCTTTAAAACTTCCATCTCGTTCATTAACTTTTTGTTATTATCTACCTCAGTGTGATACTTTTCTAGTATATCCTTTAACTCATTTTGTAAATTTACTTTATCATTTTTAAGAAGATTCACATATTCTTCTTCCTTCTGTTTAATATTTAACTGATCTTTTTTCTCATTTTCCAATATTTTTAATTTCAATTCCATGTTGTCATAATCACATTTTAACTCTTTCATTTGAAGTACTTTTTCTTCAATATCAATTTTCAATTTATCAATTTCATCGTTTAATTTACCCTTCGTTTTGTCAATCTCCTTCTCATATTTACATTTCTCTACTCCTAACAATTCATTTATGCGTTTTAATTTATCTTCATTCAATTGGTTTAGACAAAGAAATTCCTTGTGTCTTTCCAATTGTTCATTGCACAAATTTTTCAATCTCTTAATTTCTTCTTTGCTGCATACACTGAAACATCTCCAGGTTTCTATTACACCTACAAGAATTTCTTTTTCTCCTTTCAGTTTCATTATTTCTTTTTCCAAATCTGATTTACTATCTTGTAGCTTTTTCATTAATAACTCTTGTTCTGCTGTGTGTTCAAATTCCTGTATAATGAAATTGTATCCCTTTTCATTTCTAAAAATTGACTCGTTCGTGTAGTGCATCAGTTCATTACTCGTTGCAATGCTGGGCACACTATTAACCAGATTACCCTTTGCATCCGCATGTTTATGAACTATTTCCACATCTGATAAACCATTCGGATGGGATGAAGTTTGCCCATTTTTTGCATCTTCACATGGGGACATGCGAAATATGCACTTACGAAGCACAGTGATCTGCTTAATCCTCTCGTTTAACTCATTCTTTATTAAACAAATTTTATTCTCAAGATCTTTAATTTTTTGTGATAATTTATCATTCTCTATTTTCAAATTGTTAATATCGAAAATATGTTTTTTATTATTATCTTTTTCTTCAACCCAGAGTGCATTCAAATTATTTAAGCGAATATCATAATCATATTTTACCTGTTCGTTAAGAGTAAAAAAGGAGTTAAGTTTTTCCTTCAAAAATTGGTTGCTTTCTTTCTCTTCCTGTATTAATGAATGAAGATATGTTTTTTCCTTTTCGTGTAATTTCATCATTTCTACATTTTGTTCATTCAGTTTTAAATTTCGAATCTGCTTATTTGACAGTTCTCTTTCCATAATAGATTTTTCCTTTTTCAGCTGTTCATATTTACCGTTTAGAAGATTATTTTTACATATATGTTCCTTGCATTCATTTTCCAACATTGTATGTTTAGTATTCATACATTTCATATCTTGTTCATTTTTTTGAATTATATTTTCTAAATTTTCTTTTTCTTTACAGAGAATTTCAACATCATATTCTAGTTTTTTCCCACGTTCATATAAATTAGCTTCATTTAAATTCATATCCATGATTTTCTTTGTATTCTGTGTAATTGCATTTTCATACATTTTTGCTAATTTTACAATTTTCTCAAACCTATTTAACAGTAAATCAAAAGATATTTCTACATTACTAAAGTTTAGATTAAATAAATTATAATATCTTTCATACACATTTTTCTCTTTTTCATCCATACTATACAAGTTCAAACTTATAATTGTGTTGAAAATGTTATTTATATTGATGAAATGGTTGTGATAAAACTGCTTATACTTTTGTATCACTTTTGATTCTTCTAAGAAATGCAAAAGTTCTTCTTCACTGTACTTCTTCTTCCATTTACACAATTCCTCTGCAATTCGTGTAGTGTCTATCACACTTTCAACACAACTCTTTTCATTATTCCCTTGAAATTTTTCATTTAAAGTTTGCAAGATGAATGAAAAACCATTTTCCAATAAATGATCTATTCTGAATTCCTCATTGTACTTAGATATTCGATGAAACATTTCTAATGTAATCATATAATCATCCATATAATGAAATAAATCGCTACGTCTGAAGTAGCTAATCTGTTTATTTTCAATATTAACAATTGATTTTTCTAAATTTTTTAAAATTTGTCTACAATTTTCTTCCTTTCCATCTATTGCTTTCAATGGAAGAGTCCTCTTAAAAATACTTTTACTATCATCCACATTGATACTAGATATATCCGTAGTCATATCACTTGATTGAACAAGTGAACTCGTGTTCATCTTGGATGGTGTTTTTTCATTAAAATCTTGGTTGCTCATGCCAATTTTAACATGCTGATATACAATGTCATTCACAGTAGTTTCAATCAAAGATTCAATAGATAAATTTTTTCCATTCTTATTCATGTGGATCATGGAAGACAAATTAGGAATGGATGAAATTACTTTAAGAAAAGTTTCTTTTTCTAACTTGAGTCTAAAATTTTCTTCCTTAAATGCTTGTATCATATTTTCCTTCTCTTTAACTCTTTTTTCTACACATTTCAGCTGTTCTAACTTTTCGTGCAAAACATTTTCAATGTGCATCTTCTCATTTTGTAACATAATCGGGTCGTCAATGTAGTTATTTCTTTTAAATAAATTAAGGTCACCTTTTATCCTAGAATTTTTTGCATTAGCACAATATTTTTCAAAGTTGGTATTTGATCTAGAAAGAGCAATAATTTTTATCTGTGCCTCATTCAGCAGATAATTTAAACTTTTAAATTTTTCCTTCTTAATTTTTATGTACTTTTTACTACTACGGTGTGCTCTGTTCCTTGTCTTATGTGCATTACGTGGGTTATGCAGCTGATTCAACTGATTCGATTGGTGTGGATCATGAGAATCCTTCTCATCTAGCTCGTCTTCCCAATCACCAGTATCTTCCAAGTCGTCTGAATCCGGTTGAGGGGTATTAAAAATTACTTCATACGTGTACAATGCAGAGAAGCAATTAATGTCCTCAAACAGATTTGAAGCAATTTCATACTTCTCACAGACGTGCTTAATATCACTATTTTTTCTCAGTATAATTACATTACAACTTCGTGTGTTTAAAAATTCGTGTGTTACGGAAAAAATGACATTGTTTTTTTCTACAACTTTTTTATACATTTTTTCAAAATATTTTAAGGCCTCTTTCAAATTATCCATTTTGCACCTAACTTGTTGTAGATTTCTTTTTAAGTTTTCATTTTTTTCTTTAAATTTATCTCTCTCTTTTTCTGCATCTAATAATTTTTTAACACTATCTTCAGAAGTTGCAAGTGATTTTGTTAATATTTCCTTAGCTTTATTTAAATTTTCCACAGAATTTTTCCTTAAACTCTCTTCCTTAGTAATTATATCACGAAGGGAAGATATTTCTTCCTTGGCTTCTTTCTGAATTTTAAAATTGTTTTTTTCACATTGGAGATATTTATTAAATAACTTTTCCCTTTCTGTTTTTAATTGTTCCACTTTTTCTTTTAATTTTGAATTTTCCGTTTTTATTATATCTATTTCGTTATTCTTATCTGATTCATATTTATGTTTTTCTTTCATCAAATTGTTAAGTTCAATAGTCAAGTGTTCATTCTTTTGTATTATTTCTTTATATCTTTCTTCAATTGTTGCCACTTTAATTTTCATATCATCGTATTCGTTCTTGTAAAATGAAAAATAACTACTACCTCCTTCACCAATACCACTTCCATTTGCTACTACCTCCCCATTATGTAAACCACTTTCGATGTTTTTTCTTTCGATTACATTTTTCAAATTAGCACATTCTTTTTCTACTTGATTATTCCTTTTCTGCAATTCTTTCACTTGTTCATTTTTTCTTGAACACTCTTCCTTCGTCCTAATTAATATATCCATTACTAAATTATAATCTTTTATTTTCATTTGCAACTTGCTTCGCAGTTTTGTTATAAGATCATCTTTATCTACATGCTTCGTGTTGTCAAACAGTTCGTCTTCATCTAAACTTTTTATTTCATTAATGCAAAGTGATTGTATCACATCTCCATGGTTCTGATTGCAGTTATCGATTCTCTGGAATCCATGGTCATAGCCCTGCACATAATTCTGGTTAAAGCTATGAACTCCATTTTGATCTCCATTTTTGGTTTTGTTTATTGCACAATTTGAAGAACTGCACTCCGTGTTCTTCACTTGAGTTGAATAAAAATTCATGTCATCACTACATGTACCGTTAGAGGGAAACAGACTTTGAAATTCTTCATCGTTTATAATTCCACTTTCCATTTCTTCATTTCGAGACACGTTGCTCTTCCATTTGTTACTCCTTTGGCTTTGCTGCTCTTTCCTTCCATCACACAGTTTACTTCTACTAAGATTTCCTTCATATGATTTACTTTCACTATTCTGTGAGTTCAAATCCATCTTTTACCCAAAACGGTTAGAAGTAGTAAGGGATCAATACGAGGGAGGGAAAAAAAAAAAAAAAAAAAAAAAAAAAAAAAAACTTTGTCCTGTCAAGTGAACCATCCAGCATGTACACACACAAGAAAAAAAAAAAAAAAAAAAAAAAAAAATAGAGACAATACAGAGGGGGTAAGAGAAGGAAGAACAGTTCATAAAAAATATTCTCAAAATGGATTTCAAAAAAATGATTCAATAGTTGAAGATATGACTTTTAATCATCATTGAGTCCCCATTCATCCTTCCTTCTTATCCTAGCAAAGGGTTTGTATATGTGTGTCTGTGTGTGTGTTTTTTTTTTTTTTTTTTTTTTTGGAGATATGAAAACTTGCAGGCTACAAATAAAATATATACCGCATACAAACACACACGCACAATCATGAGTATATTAAGAGGAATCCATTTCTCCTCCTTCAAATCGTCCTAGTTCTGTTTAACTCTTAGTGTCCAAGTGCAACAGACACTGGCCTAGAGTAATAAAAACTGTAGAAGGACACGCTCGATATGTTATAATAAAATTGGAATTGCATGTGGAATGGTGGAGAGATAGTTGATTAAAAAGGTGGCAAGTGGTATGTAGTGCCACACAACATGAGAGGGTGAAAGGGTGAGTGCATGGGTGGTATGTCCAAAATGGTCATGTGATGTGTATACATTATACCAAATGGATAGATATATGATATCTTCCCTCTCTCCCACTCCAAATACACAACAACCTCATAATTTTTTTGAAAAAATTCTCTCCATCTTTTTCTATTCTTCATTCCAAATTGAACAAAAGTAACTGAATTTTAGATTCCATTTCTATCTCTCATCAATCGTTAAGCTTATTTAAATGATAAACAGCAAAAAAAAAAAAAAAAAAAAAAAAAAAAAAAAAAATGGCAACTTATAAAACTTAACGACAATTCATCAAATGATGAGAGAGAAAATTCTATTTGCAGATAAATGGTCTCCGCACTTCAATGCCTAAGCTACAATTATATATTTTCCCCAAATATTAAAAATGAACTGTTTTTTTTTTTTTTTTTTTTTTTTTTACATTTTCATAATTATTCCTTATATAGCTTAATTGAAAATGTAAAATTGTTTTTTTTTTTTTTTTTTTTTTTTTATTTTTGCGGCACTATTGCATTTTCTTTTTTTTCTTTTTTTTCTTTGTTTTGTTTCAATTTTGTTAATTATATTTTTGCTACTTTGCTTATTTGGTATATCGCTTATTTGGTATATTACTCATTTTGTATATTATTTGCTTTGTTTTTATTTTACTTAATTTTACATTATTTTTTTATTTTTTTTTTTTTTGTGACGCCTTTGCGTTCGCCCTTAACCGCTTCTTATGCGGCATGATGGTGTGATGGGCTGCATGTGGAAAAAGAGTAAATGGTTTGTTTTTTCTCCTTCGTAAGAGAGGAAAAGAATTTTTTTTTTTTTTCCTTCGAAATCTTTTGTGTTTCTTTTCTTTTTCTGTGACACTATTGTATTTCCCTTCGTTTTCCCTTTTTTCCATTTTTTTGAATTTTTGAATTTTTGTAAATGGTGGAAAACAGGTTATTGTTCCATGCCATAGGACTAATATAGTTGCTAATGGGGATAATGTGGAGTTATAAACCTTTCTATAGCTTTTTCCGCTTCTCCCTTTTTTTTTTTTTTTTTTTTTTTTCCCACTTCCCATGTGCTTGTAGGATATCACACGTTTGTTAAATATTACACACTTGTAGAATATCACACATTTGTAGCATATCACACATTTATGGAATATCACACATTTGTAGAATATCACACATTTGTAGAATATCACACACTTGTAGAATATCACACACTTGTAGAATATCACACATTTGTAGAATATCACAAAATTGTACAACATTATGATATAAATATGCAATTTGACTTGAAATATATACTGTAACAAAGTTCTTCATTTTGAAAGTTGTTTTATTTTATTTTTTTTTCTTAGGGATGCCTCAGCGTGGTATGACCAAGAATATACGTGTGCATGAAAGTGAATAACTGTCCCAAAATGTATGTCTTTATGGATCTCGAAGTGATCAACCAAATAACACAACTGATACTCGCTTATTTCATCCCACGTCATTTCAATCGGTTCACCTCAGTTGGTCCACTTCAATCGGTTCACCTCAGTTGGTCCATTTCAATCGGTCCACTTCAGTCGGTCCACTTCAGTCGGTCCACTTCAGTCGGTCCACTTCAATCGGTTCCCCCTCTTTTTTTTACTTCTTTGTGCACTCACACATTTGGAATCTATAACTGGAGCCACCAACTGAGCTTCTAAAAATAGGCAAAACAAAATTAACTTATTAGCGTTTATGATGAAATCACTACACAAAATATGTGTTATATATTTTTCTTCTGAACAGTTAATAAAACCAAAAGAGTGCAGAAAAAAAAAAAAAAAAAAAAAAAAAAAAAAAAAAAAAAAAAAAAAAAAAAAAAAAAAAAAAAAAAAAAAAAAAAAAAAAAAAAAAAAAAAAAAAAAAAAAAAAAAAAAAAAAAAAAAAAAAAAAAAAAAAAAAAAAAAAAAAAAAAAAAAAAAAAAAAAAAAAAAAAAAAAAAAATTTTAGAAAAAAAAAAAAAAAAAAAAAAAAAAAAAAACATAAAAAAAAAAAAAAAAAAAAAAAAAATAGCCTGTTATATATTTTTCTTCTGAAAAGTAAATTAAAAAAACCAAAAAGAGGGAAAAAAAAAAAAAAAAAAAAAAAAAAAAAAAAACTACCAAAGGCATAGTTAAGAAATACATAATATGCTTGTGTTGAAAACGCCCGCATAAATTTTTGACTAAAACGTTGGAGATCACAAACACAGATATTTAAAAATTATCCATGCTGAGCTCATTAAAAATCAATGTAACATAATTCCTGCGAGAAGGAATAACAAAATAATAAAACAAAATAAAACAAAATGTAGTAATAATCATACGGATATGAGAGAAAATCAAATCACCTACGCCATCCAGTAGTAATGGCCTTACCAGACATTAACCATTATGGTGATAAAAGAATGAGATCATCATGAGCTGTTCACATCTGGTTCCAAGAAAAGGTAATTACATTTTTCATCATTTTACAACAATTCAGCAAAAAATATTTCCAGCGCACTCTTTTACGACCTATGGATAATGGTCGGGCAACTGCATGCTCCTCCTCCTCCTCTCTCTCTTCTTTTCTCACTTATGAATGACACATATGTGAGTGTATAAAGTGTTAAAGCAATTAAAAATGTATTCTTAAAAAGGTTATCATTGAAATTGTACACGCATATGTACATGTATATTTCCTAAGTGAATACACACACACACATACCTAGGAACAGAATTGTGTTTATATTAATCAAGGTTAAAAGAGAGAGCGAAAAAAAAAAAAAAAAAAAAAAAAAAAAAAAAAAAAAAGAAATATAAACAAATAACCGCACATGTTAAGGAAAAAAAAAAAAGATAAGATTGGCAGAAATTAGATGAATATCTATATTCCTAACACGTGTGTCATTAAACAAGGGACGTATACAAAAAAAAAAAAAAAAGAAAAAAAAAAAAAAAAAAAAAAAAAAAAAAAAAAAAAAAAAAAAAAAAAAAAAACATATAGAGGAGGAGAAGAGACCAGGCGAGGCGCGGCGAGAGGGACATGACAGAACAGAACATGTGCAACAATTCAATTAATAATGAAGCATTATGGGCTAGCATAAAGAAAAAGGAAAAAATGAGACCAATCCTTGTTGGGATAAAACACACATTCACTAAAACAGACGTAGGTATATTTTATAAGAAATAAATACAGCGTGAGGTTTGCAATTCAAACATGATTTATTTTAGAAGAGAACAATTGAAAAGAGATTTGCCAATGAGACTTCCCTATAATGACTACATGTGTTATTACGTACACATATGTTCAAGTCCATGCATATATTCACGCACATATGCATATATGTATATATATATATATATATATATATATACGTATATACACATTCCGGGGGCGCCTTACAGGAGAAACCTCCTCTGAAGAGACGAGAAGGCACAAGCACTTTCCAAAAATTCATCTTTCCTACTTATGATCCTTGTCGTTTGAACTGTAACCTCCTCGTACATTGGGGTCCCTCCAATCAAGTACTAAAAACAAATGGATCAAAGAGGTAGTTGCGCACATCAAAATTTTCAGCAATAGAATTTGTTGAATTTTTATTTTGAAAAAAAACAGAAGCCAAGTAATTTACACAATAAGTCTCGTAAATTTGAATGTTATTGATAATTAATATTTCTGAAAAAATGTCGCAGTTTTTAAATTTGTTCATAATCTTGTGTATACGCTTTTGTCTTATGTCTTGGATTAGACCTGCAAAAAATGGACCAGGCAAAAAGGTGGACAATAAAAAAAAAAAAAAAAAAAAAAAAAAAAATTAATTTATACCACAAAAATTGGTGAAAAAAAAATTCTCAATATTCAGATAAGAAGGTCGTTGCCCCTCTCTCACTGTGTTTTTCAGCATAAAGTGCAATGTCGTATAATAATAAAAAAAAAAAAAAAAAAAATACCAAGAAATACTAAATCGATTTTCATCAAAATTTCATATATTTTTTCCTAACCTGCCACTTTTAGAATGTATTTGTAAGGAGTACGTTGGCCAATGGTTTCTATCGGAGTGGAATTTTTAAAGGAGTTGTTTTCAAGAAACATAGAAGATATTTCAAAAAAGAATGGACTAGGTAAATCAGTGAGTTCATACATGTCTTCAAATTCCTTTTTGTATATATTTTTTAAATTATCTATGTAGAACCAAAAAGGGAATTCAACTGTTGCTAGTCCTTCTTCACTTAACTCTTTGGCTATGTAGAGGGGATACCATTGTCTTTGTCCAGATTTCATTTTTTTAAAATCGAAACCTTCCACCTCAGAAAGATCCAAGTATGGAATATCAGCGAGAGCCTTAACAACAATTAATTCATCTAAAGCTTTCTGCCATATTATATGATTAATAGATTCTTCAAATAAATAATAAATAGATATTTTATTTAATTCTAGAAAATGTGGATTGAATTTCATTGGCAAATATTCAATGTGTTCTTCTACATGCTTACTGGATGACAGAATATTTTTATTTATAAAAGAAGGTGCAGAAATATTTTTATCATTTATGTATAGAGCTTGATTAATAGTTTCAATATTATCTTGCTGCAATTCACTGTTTTGTAAGTAAGTATATATATTAATCAAATTATCGAAGACGTAATTTTTCTTAAATTGTTTTCCTTTAACAAACAAGACATTACTTTGAAAGCAATTATATGCATTGGATAATTGTGGAGGGAAATTCTTCATACCTTTAAAACTTCTATACAGATTGTATATTTTTTCATACACACTTGTTAATATTTTTTTTGTTGAATAATTTTCTTCTGAATCTAATTCAGATATCGCTGAGTCCAGTTTATCTAAAATTGTCTCAAGTAATATCAAATGATCATTGTTTATTTTTATATTCTTATTTCCAATTAGGTATTGATCTCTTATATAGAAAATATTGTAAACTTCTTCACATGACTCTATATTCTTAATTGGAAGTTTTGGAAAATTTTCCAGAACTACATTCGATTCGTTATTAGCTAATTCGATGGATCCCAATTTAGTAAATGATATTTCATTAAAATGGAAATTACTCTCATTTCCTACACTCTTATTACTTCCTCCTCCTCCTCCTGCTTTTTTATATTCACTACTATTGTTTTTATAATTACTAGCTTTACTATTGCTATGAACTCTATTAGTCACATATGCCTTCCGACGTGATTTTTCGCTCATAAAAATTCTTCTTTTGCTTTTTTTTATTGATGTTTTACATAATTTGGCTTTTTTATTTCTTTTTCTTTTAAATATGGAAAACACATCTGACATTTTTATTGAAAAAAGAGAAAAAAAAAAAAAAAAAAAAAAAAAAAATTCTTCTTTTTTTTCTTCCTTTTTTTTTTTTTTCTTCTTCTTTTTCTTCCTTTTTTTTTGCTTGCTTCCCCTCCTTTGATGCATTAATAACTTTTTCGTTTCTTCAAATGCTGCTTAGTAGCGTGTCTGGGCATATTCCTCGTCGTTGTTTCACCGTCTCACTTCTATACTCTGTGTAGGGCATCCAATCTGGATAATAGGTTACGTGCGCAGAACATGCCAAGTATGCTACCTGTCACTTCACCCTGTCTTTCACTTTTCCCTATCTTTAATTCATCTGTCTGGAGATTTGTGAATTCTCTAATTCACCAACTAACAATCTCCCAATAAGCTCACGTCAATGATTAATTCTTTCTTTTTCTTTTTTTTTCTCTTTTGCGCACCCTAATGTGTCTATCTCCAGTTCTCTATTTGCATTCATTCTTCTGTTTCCTTTTCACTTATTTATGTAACCTGGTCCCTCCCTCCACACACACACACACACATACACAAACTCTGACGATTTGACCAGAGAGTTTAACTCTACTTTTTATTCAGATGAAGCGTTACTCTCCTCTTCTCTTTTTTTGTTCCTGTGTACGTGCCTATGTGTATGTTTTTTTTCCCGTGATTTTGAGGAACGAGAAACACTGTTACTCTTGAGAATTATCGGTGCTACTGTTGTTATTGTTCATTCAGTTTGGATTTGTTTTCTTTGTTTTTCTTTGCTTAATGTTGCTTATTTATTTATTGTTTTTTTTTTTTTTTT